ATGCATATTCCAGCTGCTTATGCGTTAAACACAATAATTTCGTTTTGTGAGTCTATTAATTGGCAATGAAATAGGCAATTATGTTCATTTTAGAAATACCGATTGCAAATATTCACTTTTTTTTTGATAATCTTTAGCGGTTATTTTCCTAATATTTGAACTTGTGTTTTGTTAGACTCCTAATCCTGCTTGAAATCAGAGTTTTTTTTTAGTTATTTCAACTATAACACACACTAGATATTTTAAATTCATAAATATAATATTATTGACTTCAACTAAAGTCACATCTTTTAGATCTGGGAGATATGTTATGGAAAGGTCCAATGGATTGTTTTCACTAACTCTTTGTTAGCACTTGTGCCAAATTTATTTTGTCCGGGTCTTTGTGTTAATTGCAAAGTTATTCACACTAGAATCATTTTTAAAATTACATGATACTTCAGTGTATTAGACAAAAGTGAATGTTTTGGTTTACAGAAGCATACTTTGAATACCCTATACACGTTTTTTTTTAAGTATGGAAGTTGAAGTTTTTTAATATTAAAAAGGAAGCTTTTATTTCAATTTTTGACAGTTATTTAGTCTACTGTTGGTTTAGTACGCTTCAAAACTTCTTTTTGGGGTCTTTGAGATTTTTCTAGAAGATGGTTATTAGTAGTTATTATAACCGATTGTAAGAATCCCTATTACACGATTAAAATAGTGATAAAAAATGTCACTGATGCCAATTGTACAAAATTTTAAATCATGGGATTGTGCTTTTCAATAGAAATAATTTTATTAATAATTTTTGTTAACATAAAAACCGGTTTAATGACAAATTTCCAACATTAAAACAAATTGTAATAATTAAGGTGACCAAGAAACCAAAAAAAAAAAATAGAATTAATCCCAATGATGAATTAAATGATTGAAATTGCTGTATATAGTATGAAATTGATGTATATAGTATGGAATTGATGAAATTATTTTTTCAAATTTGCAATAAAGATGTTTCATCCCTAATTTTTGGAGTGAAATGGCCTTGTTCAACCGATTTTACAAGTTTAACCGTTTCTTACACTTAAACCTTTATTATACTCACAATTGACAAACCCTTGATGACTGAAAAATTACCCATGATTCTCGCTTAAATTTCTTGATAACAGTTTTGATTTTTTTTTTAAAATAATTATTTTAACAAATTTTTTGGAAGTCCAGTAAGTTTCGAAATTATCAAGCATTTTGACATTTTGGTTATCAAAACTGAAATTTTCGGTTGGTCGGACCCTTGTCTTTGGATTTTTTTAAAAAAAAAATTATATTGTCAACTAACTTTATTTATTTATTTTTTTTTTTTTGACTTGTGATTAACCAGTTATAGTTAAAAAACCCCTTGAGAATAGTTTAAGATAAGGTTAACGGGAATCAAAACCAAGTTTTAGACTGTGATCATTAACTTTTTCAGTCATCTCCATCGTTTTCTCTTTCCCCAAATCCCTTCAGGTTTCCTAACATTTGGGTCTATGATTTTTTTTTATTTCCATTATTTGTTATCTTCAACTTCAGAGGAAACTTGAATAGTGCAGATAAGGACCAATTGATACCTTTAGCTAAAACATGAGGTTGGTTTGTAAACCATTTTCATGCTTGAGTTAACATAGCTATAAGGTTTCATCACGTCACCTAATTGAAAGATAGACTGTCTTTTTAAAGTGCTACTTAAGAATTAATCCATGATTTTTATTTAATTGTAAGCTTATACTCTTATTTTGATTAAGCTTGTTTGGTCAACGTAATCCTTATAAACCTTAAAAGCCTGGGTTCTATCGAGTATGAAAATCCTTACAAACGTGAATACAAAGTGTGTGATCCTAATTCCACATTATTTTAATGGGGAAGGTGGACCTGAACCGTTAATATCATAAAAACGTAATTACGTTTTTCATATGTGCACACACATGAAAACGAGATTTATTATCTGAGAAAACCGGAGTTTTCTTTTGGCAAGGCTCTTGCTTGATCTAACTAGTAACTTTTTTTTGACTTAAAAAAAGTGAAAAATGAAGAAAAAAATAAATATTATTTTGTTCAAATACTCTTTTGATTTCCCGCATATCAAACTTTCCTAAAATTTCAAACACGGTTTAAATGTGAAAAAAAGAGAAAAAAATATTTGTTAAAATATTTATGGGATTTTCGTTGCAAAATCTACATAAACTAACGTCTTCTTTCCGCATACATTCGCCGATTTCGCCGAAACAGCCAGGTTTCTCTCCTTTTGTAAACAAAAAAAAAAAATTACACTAGCTGGTGGATCTCGTACATTTCATATCGGCTAAAAAAACACATTAAACTTTTTCATTTATTCAAAATCTCGAAAACATGAAAAAAAAAGATGATATTCAAATGCACTAGAGTATGACAGTGCAAGCATATCTTTTATCTATAGGTGCTTTACATAATTAATACGCTTATAAGCGTATTTTTTTTTTTTGCTTTTTTTTGGCCTGCTTTAGATTAAAAAATATTTTTCGCATTAAAACTAGCAAACCTGTTAACCATACGCAAGTATCAGCATCTGGCTTTTTTAGGGAATGTGGAGAAAATTGTAGGAATTCCACCTATTTTTGCTCGTTAACAGTGCTGCACTTGAAATTTCTGCCTCTATCAAATGTTACTGAGACCTTCGACTTGATTGATTATTAAGGCTAAGGCAATTTTTCGCGACAGACCAGGATGTGGCCTACCAATCATAGCCAGTTCGTCTTTTTATTCACTGATACATATTTCAAGGATTTGTTTCCCCACCAGTCACTTCTCTACTCTTACCGTAAATCATATCTTGGGAGTCCTTTAACACTCCTCACAAAGATTCTCGATGAAATACTCAATTCCAAGTATAAAATTTGGCCTTATGTCCGCGGTAGAGTGTCATTGCTTGCTTGTTTGCTTACTTTTTGTTTCGCAGAAACACTATCCAGATAACCGTTATGTGGAATTCCTCGTGAAGTCGTACCAAAGTCTTTGAATTAATTGTAAACTGTATACTAATTTTAATTAAAGAAGTTGTAAAAACATCAAAAGCAAAATTAAAGCAATCCAGAATAACCAATCGTGGGCACGAATACAACTGCATGGATTCCAACTGTGGGAGGAGTTTAGAGGCACGTTGTGTAAAGTAATTTGCCCACAGGTGGTAAGAAACAAAGGTGTGCGCACGAAAACCAGTTTGAAATGGAATTTGAACAAAAAAAAAATGGGAGTAAACCCATGGCGTCACGGTCATAATATACGACGCCAAGTTTGTATCCGCAAAGAAAGTCATGGAAAGTTTTTGAACTTGAATTCTTCCAATAAATTATAACTTATAAGGTATAATTATGATTAGCCATAGCTTATGGTTAACGATTTATGGGCCAAAGACTGTCTAACCCCCAAGGTTTTTGTTTTAATTTTTACTAAAACTTATCTCAAAATGCGTGACGTTGGCTGCTTGTTTCCATTCTCCAACAACTGACCTGCACCAATTCTGGTAATTTGCCGGTGTTCCCGTTTGGCTACTATGGTTATGCTGCCACTTTTTAATGACCTGAGAAAAAAAAAGAGACTTTGGACCTCTCGTGACAATCAACCAAAGATCCAAAGATCCAGCGCTGGCACCAGTTTTTCAAATGATTTGTTTTATTTTTTTTTTTCATTATTAAATGGGATAATGACACACCACAAATATCTAATTTCACGAGAAAAAACAAAAAAAGAAACCAATGAACATTTCATAATCCAAATACTAGGGACTTGGTAAAAGCAAAACGACAAAAAACGAAATTGCGACTGATTTGATGAAATACTTTTTTAACCTTTTTCTTTTTGTTATAGCTGTGGATCCATAATAACGAAAAAACTTGTAACCAAAAAAGAAAGTGAATCGGAGCGCCATATTTTCTACATATTGCTGGACTACTCGAGAATCAAAAAAAAAAAAAAAAATAATCTAATTTAACTTTTCAAATAATTAAACAACCTACAGAGCTTTTTCCCAGGATCTTGGAGAAATCGGAATTGGCTGGCCTCACTGGTATGCGGCTCTTTTTGTTATTCTTTAACATGACACTAAAAAAGGATCTCTAGTATTAATCATTCTCCCCCCTCTCATCCAACTAACATGCCCGCTAAAATCCACACTATACAATCCTATTTTACAAGACCTAATTTTAAAAATTTTGATACTAAACATTGGTTCAGAGGGTCTTTCCGACAATAAGAAAAAAAAAGTACAATAGTCATCGTCAAAAGATAAAATTGGTGCTACTGCCATTAGTACGATTTTTAGGTTTGGTTTATTGGCAACTTCAACTAATGAGCAATAAATCCCCCCAAAACTGTGTCTTTTCTTTTTAATAACACTTAACATTGCTAATCCTAGTACTGTAACAATCAAAGCCAATATTTTTAAATTATAGATTTTAAGCGTGCATAAAATTATGTCTGCACATGCACTTAATATCTTTGAGCACAAATTTAAGTACGGCTTCGATTACTACTTCAGTCAAATATTTATGTACACTTTGTAAATCCCACTTATTTTTGCTGGCAATTGCCAATAATAACCAAAGAACTGGTAGCACTTATATACAACATGTTGGTACGCAATCCTTTGTAAATAGTTTTGATGTAAGTTATGTGTAAAAAAGTTAATATTTACTGCACTTACTAATCCTATTTTAACTTAACCGCCAAAATATTGTTGAAAAACGTTCAACAACTGGTAACTGAGTAACTACGATTTGTTCAACAAACTAAAAAAAAACGTCAATTACAAAAGTTCAAATATTTGAATACTCAATTAATAGAAGAATGATATTCAAAATGTTTTTCTAGGGATTAACTATAAATAGAGGGTCGAATTCCTACTAATTTCACTTTTTTTTTCTTCTTATCATTACAAATCATCTTCTTAACTATCTCTCAAGTCTTTAAAAGTTTCTAACTTACAAATCTAATCAAAACAATAATCAAAAATGGTTGCCATCAAGTCTGTCACTCTCTTCTCTGTCCTCGCTGCCTTTGTTGCTGCTGCTCCTACTCCTGCTGCTCAGGAGTCCAAGGCTCTTACTGCTGAGGAGATTCTTGCTCCTTACGCTCCCGAGGTTGTCAAGCGTGAGGCTGCTCCCTCTTCTCTTCTTGACCTTTCTGCTGTCTCCACCCTCCTCCTTTCCATTGTTTCTTTCCTCACTTCCACTCTCTCTTCCCTTGGTTCCCTTGACCTCTCCGGCACTCTTGCCTCTGTTGCCACTCTTTTGACCAACATCACCACCGTTGTTGCTCAGCTCGTCAACACCCTCACTGGTGTCACTGTTGGCACTGGTCTTATTGGCACCCTCAACAGCCTTCTTTTGACCACCGGTCTTAAGACCCTCCTCAACCTCCTCCTCACCATTGTCAACCAGCTCGTTTCTGACCTGACTGGCAAGACTCTTGACTCTACCCTCCTCCAGGTTATCACCACTCTCCGTGACACCCTCAACAGTCTTTCCACTGCCCTTGGCTCTGCTGGTCTTGGTGATGGTGTTACCAGCATCATCACTTCCATTGTCAACCTCCTTGAAACTCTTCTTTAATTGTTTTAGTTTTAATTTTGATATTTATCTAGTTTAGTAATTTTTAATTAATTTTGTTTTTGAAATTTGAAATTTGAGATTTGATTTGAAATTTAATATTAATGTAGGTAGTTAAGTTCTAAATTACTTAATTTAGTAATCCATTTAAAAATATTATTTAAAATCTTCGCTTTATGTTTAATGGTCAATTTTAATAAACTTTAGCACACCTTTAAGGTAGAACTTAAGGTCCGTTATCGATAACCGTTTAAAATTATCGACAATTTTTCAATTTTATTTTAACAGCAAATAATAACAGCAAATAATAACTTATAAGTTAATTTGTTAATTAACAAATTTAATTTTTGTAAATTTGCAAATAATTAACTCTTGGAATTAAGAAGAACATTGGCAAATAGTTTTACTAGAAAAGTTTATTTAGTAAAATTAATTTATTTACAAAATTAATAATTATGTGCAACTCCAAAAACATGAAAATAAATGAAATAAAGCCTACTACTAATAGTTACTATCCAAAGCGTGGTAACCAATCTTTAAAGTTTAAGTAGTATCTGTAGCCATACTGTTATAGATAGAAGTGGACCAGGGGTAATTTTCGGGTTTAAAGAGAAATAAAAAAATATCTTAAAGGCGGAGTGACAAGATAAGCAAACATGGAGACCTTTTGGTCCAGACACATTCCACTGAATCAGAATAAAGTGGATTAAAGTTCTTGTTTACTGCAGACTAAGATCTAAAATTGCAGTTTCGTTTTTTGCCATGCCAATATTTGACGAAATGCCACCAAAAACTTTTGCTAACGCCCAAACGCATAGCTGCAGTTCACTCTAACAAGAAATTGAACAGAATCCAATTATTCCTTCGATATGGGCTTTCTTGGTTCAAATGACTTGCTATTCTCGAGCATATTGCGTAATTGTATTGCTTTTAGCCATACTGTAAAAGAATACATAGAAGAAAGAAAAAAATAATAGAAATTTAATATCCTTAAATAATTTTCTATAAATTCGGGTAGATTTCTTTAAGTATTCCTTTTTTTTTCTTCTTTTTTTCCTTATCATTATTATCAACACAAAATCTCTTAATAAACAATTTAAAACTACCTTGAAGTTATTAAACTTTCTCTAATACAACTACAAACAAACAAATTAATCAAAAATGGTTGCTATCAAGTCTGTCACTCTTTTCTCTGTCCTTGCTGCTCTTGTTGCTGCTGCTCCTGCTGCTGCTCCTGCCGCTTCTAACGAGCTTAAGGCCCGCTCTGCTGAGGAAATCCTTGCTCCTTATGTTGAGATTGCTAAGCGTGAAGCTGAGGCCTCTCCTGCTGGCGCCCTTAGTCTTACTTCTATCACCACTCTTATTCTTTCTCTCAGCGCCTTCCTTTCCTCTGCTCTCACATCCCTTTCTACTCTTGACCTTAACGGTGATTTGAGCGCTGTTGGTGATCTCCTCACTAACCTTACTACAGTTGTTACTCAGCTTATTACGGCTCTCACTGGCTTCACTGTTGGCTCTGGTCTCAGTGCTTCTCTCAGCACTCTTCTTATCAAGACTGGTCTTAAGACTCTTCTTAACCTCCTTCTTACCATTGTCAACCAGCTTGTTTCCGAGCTCACTGGCAAGACTCTTTCTACCACCCTCATCAGTATTATTGCTTCTCTTCGTGATACTCTTAACAACCTTTCCACTCTCCTTGGCTCTTCTGGTCTTGGCGATGGTGTTACCAGCATCATTGCCTCGATTGTTGCTCTTCTCAATACCCTCCTTTAAAAAGTTGGATCTGGAATCCAAATGTATTTATTTATTTATGTAGTATCTTAATTTTTATAAAAATTTGTAATTCAATGAAAAAAATTTAAATTCAAAAACATTAAAACAATATAGAGAACGGTTAATTGTTTAATTTAGTTTTTAAATATTTATAAATATGAATTTTTAAATTAATTTAACAAAATTTAAATTTCAATTTATTATTTGATTTAACTGGAATTTTTGAGCTTTAAAATGATATTTTTATGTTTCATCCGGTTATATTAATGATTAATTTTAATATTATAACTAGTATTAATTAAATATTTATTTTTACCAAAACACCTATATAGGTATCACATATATGTGATATTTAAATTTTCTTAATTATAATAAAATGTTTGCACTAATTATATATATGTTTATATTTCTATTTTTCCCAGAATTAAAATGTTAAATTGTTTGAACAATTTAACAGCTTTTTATAAATCAAGAGCTTAGACTAGTTTTAATACAATAATAGTGCCATCAATTTATTTATTTACTAAAAAACAAATTCATTTAAAGATTTTCATGTGTTTTAATTTTTGCCAATGCAATGGGGGAAAACGTGAATCAATTTACTATATATTAGCACATTTTTTTTTTATAAAATAGAAGGCTTTAGTTCATCATAAATGAAAGGCTACCGGAACGTTTCAAAGAACTGTTATAAAAGACATTCATAATTTTCAATGTCATTATTATAATCATTCTGATTAAATAAAACAATAGAAATAGAAAAAACAATATTTAAATAATATTTATACTTTAGTGAGCAGGCTAAAACCATCAAAATGAACCATTCTTAAACTAAAATGTTACAATGGTAGCTTATATTCAAACCATGAAATAAAAATTAATCAATGTACCACAGAAAAACACCAAGTGTTAATTATGAAATATTTGAAATGAGCATAAGAGTTTATGATAGCTATTATCTATTAACTATCAGTTTGAGTTTCCTCTCAAAAAAATATAAATACAGGGTCTAACTCTTATCTTACAACATCATTTTCTCAAAATTTTAGTCATTTATTAAAGAAATAAAGATTGGAGTCCAATAAATACTAAACAGTTTAAAATGGTTTCTATTTCTAACATTTTTATTATTTCGATCGCTATTGTTTTAGTTTCAAGCTTTCCAATTGATTCCAAGGTATCGGGAATAGTTGTTACTAAGACATCTGATTCTACTCCAGCTATCTTAATGGATTCAAAACCCCACACTAGTCATCTTACTGCTAAAGAAATACTTGCACCATTTATGGAAATTCAAAAGCGGGATGCACAGTCAAATAATATTATTGACATTTCGCCTATTATCACACTTATCAATGCGGCCACATCGTTCTTGCAATCCGCTCTAACATCTATTGTTAACTTAAATCCTACTAGCGCAGTAACTTCAGTAGGAGATCTCATCACCAATCTTACCACTGTTGTGGCACAGATTGTGAATTCAATAAATAATATTTCTAACCAAACTGGAACATCGGGAGCCCTTAACAGAATTTTGCTTATTACAGGAATTAGATATTTCCTTGATATTTTTAAGCAGGTTGTCAATGCTCTTGTTTCATTTTTAACTGGCCGAACTCTAGATGCACACACTGTTAACATGATCAAGGTTTTACGTGACACTCTTAATAATCTTTCCCGTTCTTTAAGTAAGTCTGGTATGGGCGATGAAGTAGTCAAAGTTGTGGTATCCATAGTCAATTTACTGAACAGTTTGATTGGGTAAATGAAAACTCAGAAATTTTGATTTTGTAACTAGACAGATTTTTTTTTCTTTTGCGTCAATAATAGCATGACAACCCTTATAAGCTATTTAAACCTTCATTATTTTTAATAAATTATTAATTATTTTTAATTTGAATTTTAATATTATCAGTATTTTATTTGTTCTTTTATTTTTATTCACGGGTCATAAGTATGTAACAAGGGTATCAAATCTATCATTTCAATTTTTTTTAATTTTGGTGACTTGCCGTCTTATTAATGTAACTTTTAGGTACAGAGTTTCTATTTTTTTGTCTCAGCATCATACCCTGATGATAGCCTTTAAAGCCAGTTTATGAGGAATATAGAGAATGGGTCAGTCATTTCCAACAATACCTTAACCACATTTGTCTACACTGACTTCTATTCATATTTTGATTTTTCTCTACCTAAAGAATTACTCATAATAATCTGCATGCTGATTAGAATTACCTAAGGAATGGACTCTCCTGATGTCCAAAGTGATCGAGTGAGATGAACACTCCACAATACCTCCAGAAAAAGAGACTTTTTAGGAATTAAAGTCAGTAACTTCTGAGATCAAAATATTTGTTTTCTTATTCTAATAACTCAATATTTTTTAAAAATCTTTGTTTGTTTTTATTTAAGAGTTATAGAATTATATAACATCAGTATGTGGGCTACCCTTTTTGTTCTTAATATATACCTTTTCATTGCATATCCAAAAGCCTGAAAATATCTTCTGATACCAGCTAACGAGGATCAAGAGGTCAAACACCAAACCTCCCCAACTTATTTCCATCTGTATTCATTGTTGCAGTAATAGTATTTTTTAATACCTTTAAGCAGAGATAAATCTTTCAATTTCTTGCAAGTCAATTAAATTGTTTTAGAGTGTCTACATATCCCTTTATGGATATATCCTTTTCAAATCTTTTCTTTCTTTTTCAAGCAAAGAAAATCTAACCCAAATATGTCTAGATGTTTCCAGCTATCCCAAATTGCAGTTTCAATTAAAAATTTTAATTTTTAATTTTTTGAATTATGCAAATCATTCAAAAAATTCGTTTTAATAAAAATTACATTTAGTCAGTATTTAATATATACACTAAAAAACTTTTTATTATATCAATTTAATTAAGCGTTAGTGGTTTAGCGGTAAAATTCGTCGTTGCCATCGACGAGCCCCCGGTTCGACTCCGGGCTGACGCATTTTTTGTTTTTTTTAGAAGTATTTTTTCCTTTTGTAAATTGGACTTTCAAGTCATAATTTTATTAGGGATATTAAATTTAATAAATAATTAAGTTTATTATAGTATGTAAAGTATAGCTCTGCTACATGTCTCACTATATTACAAGTTCGTCAATTATGTTTTATTAGGGGTAAGCGGATGTAGGATTATGTCTCTATTTTGTGGATTGTGCTTAAACGACACAGCCAAGTCTTTAAGTCAATAGACATGTGTTATTTGAAATAGTCATAATATTTTTATGAAAGAAATCAAGAAAGGTTGCATGAAAGAATAATGTCATTTATTAGCTGTTGATATCTATTAATAATGCAAGTTTTAATTAAAATAAATTTTATTGCGATAACAAGAACAATTATTGATTAGAGGAAAAAAAAGTATTGTTTTACCTGTAGCAGCGATTATCAAAATAGTTTTGAGAACAACAAAATTCTAAAAAAATCAGAAAAATAAGTAAATCTAAAGTATGTGTGGTCTGGAATAGCTGACAAAAAAATTGACTTATTCCATTTTTCATATTGCATAGGCTAGACGACAGTGAGATTCTTAAAAGTTTAATTGATACTTGTGTAGTCCAAAATAGTTTCTAATGTGGTTAATTTTTAATAACTGATAAAACAACGGGTTCACTGCTGTAATAACAATTGTATTTTTATGATTAAGAACTTATATAACAGAATAAAGATTGTTACACAAGAAGTAAGAAAGTTATCTTAGGAAAAATGAAAATAAGACCTTGATTAACTATTATAATTGAAACTATGGGAATTCTCAGGGAATAGAAAATTTGGGATTTATCAGAAAAAATTTTTAAATAAATAAATTTAACAAATATTCGTTAAATTAAAGACTAAGCATTATCAAACTGAAGTGAGAGGATTTATATTATCGCTTACTTTTTAGTATATATACCAAATTTCTTCTTTTTTTATTTGGCTAGAAAGACAACTGAAGACAAATGAGTTAAGTGAATCAACAATTACTATAGTCCATTGTAGCTATGATAAATTTACCATTATGATTATGAATATCATACATTACCCAAAGTTATTAAGCGAACATCCCCTAAGTTATAAAAAAAAATTACAAAATTTTCTATGAATATTGTACTTCCAAATCAGACCAATTGGAATGATAGATCAATACAAATATACACTTAAATGATGCTTATCAAGGCAATATTATTTGATTATCTCAATGTATTCAGACAAAGGCTTTTCCAATTACAACGAATGTTAGTTGATCCTGTTCCTTCTTTGGTATTAATATCAAAGTATATATAACCTTTTTTTATTCATGGCCAAATATAATATTAAAGTGACAACTATCAAAGTTGAGAATCAGATTTTGAACAAAAGTTTCAAATTTTTAATTGAAACTAGGTTCATGTAGGAAGTGTAATGAAATTTGTTTGATTGTATAAGCTATCAATAGAAATAGCATCAAGTATTTAGATGTAGATCAATCACCTAAAAGTTTTCAAGTTATTCTTTTAATTGGGTTCTTATAGCTCAAATCTGAAAGCAACAAATACAAATGTTTTTTTTTTTAACAAATATTGGTTTAAAATATGTACAAGATATACAGCCAAAACAAAAAGATATAAACATTACAACATGACAAAACAACGACCATCCCCTTGGATCATCTCACACCTTGTTTCCCACATTACGCAGACTTGGGAACAAAGTCAAGGTGAACGTGCTCGGCCTGGTAATTCCAACGCTTGATGACAGAGCCCTTCTTCTTCTTCTCAAGCTCAAGAATTTCAGCCTTCTTAAGGTTGAGGTCGAGTTCCCGTCTGGGCTTGATGGTCTTGAGATAACGTCTCTTCAAGTCGACCCGGTATCCTATAGGGAAACAGTCCGAATTAATAAGCTTCATGATTTCCTTTTTGCTCTTGGGGGTAATGGGGCCGGCTTCATAAAGAGCCTTAATAGCGGCAATCTTCTCCTGTCTCAGGGCAGCAGTTTCCTCCTTGGTAAGGTATTTAGTAAGATTGAACTCAGGGTTGAAGGCGACGGTATTAATGAGCTTGGCAATCACAGCTTCTTTGGCAGCAATCTTGGAAGCAAGCTCTTCCTCAGTGATACGGCCGGCAACCTTGTCAATATTGGTGTCAAGTTTGTATTCACGAAGAGCAAACTTGTGGGACTCATCAATAGAGCGGCCACCAGAAAGGTAGACACGGACAGTGACAAGGTAGTCAATAGCAGATTCGAGTTCAGTACCCTCAAGACCAGGGACAAGTTTTTGAAGATCGGCGGTAATTCTAGCACGCTTTTCAACACGGTTGGCAACACGTTCTTCCTTCTGCTTGGAGAGAGAATCTTGGAGAAGGTATTCCTTGCGAGACATGTTGTCACGTTCAGCTTCAGCGGCATTAGGGTCGACAATCTCGGCACGGCCAAATCTGCGGTTTGTAGGGAAAAAGTGAGGAGTGGGCAGGCGGTGAATCTTATTGAGAACGACACCAGCAAACTTGCGCTTGGGGTGGAAGGGGTCGAGGTAAAAACGAACGTAACCGGGTTCGAGGGCATACAGAGTATGGTCCTTACCAATGCCGACCTAATTAAAGAGTTAGTATGACAAAAATCCATAGATCAAAAAAGAATCACAAGTGGAAAAAATGTACACGACCATGTGTACAAGTCCAATTGTAAGCAATAAATATATATAATACTTACATTTTCACCGGGGTAAATCTTAGTGCCGCGTTGTCTGTAAATGATTTCACCAACTTGAACCTGCTGGCCATCACTCTTCTTAGAACCAAGACGTCTACCACGAGAATCCTTGTTACTGGTCTTAGAACCGGCGGCACGCTTAGTGGCATGACGAACAAAAGTGAGGACAGGCGATGAAAGCTGAACGGACTGCTTAGCAGCGGTGATGGAAGAGGAGGATGCACCAGAGAGAAGCTGGACAGTAGGGCCCGAAATACCGATGGGCTTAGAGAACTGAGTTCTCAGTGTTGAGATGAAGGTTCGGGACATGATGGGTGTGTAAATCTGGAGAGAACGAAAAAAGGTGCTACTTCAGATCCGATACGTTTGTATGAACCGAGGGGATTTTTTTTTTTTTTTGTTTTTTTTTTTGTTTTGGGTGGAAGGGGAATTTTTTTCACTTTTGGCTGTGGTGAAATTTTTTTTTGGAGGTTTGGCTTTAGGCGTTAGTGATTGGGCGGTAAGATTAAAATGACTATACCCTAACCCATTCACGTGACATAAAACTTTAATATTAAACCCGAATTTTTGGAAGCAATTTCTAATATCCAAATTCAAATTCAAATTCAAATTCAAAAAAATAATAAAAATAACAATGAATAAGCTCAATAAATATTTTAGTTTTAATGTATGGTTTTTATTTACTAATTTCTAAAAGTTTTATATATATATATTTTTTTTTTTTCTTCTTCAACTTCATCTTTTTCAATCACATCGTAAACACGCTCAGTTTTCGTCATCAGAAACAAGGTACTGGGCGTAATCCTCTGCAGATGCAAACAATGGCAAATCCTTGAGTCTTTGTCGTCTAGCCTTCTTTGCTGCCTTTTTAGCAGCTCTGGGATCCTCTTCCTCTTCTTCTTCCTCATCTTCATCATCATCACGGCTGCGTTTATTGGTCTTGCCCTTGGCAAGAGCGGCTTCAAATTGAGCTTCAAGGTCATCATTATCACCTTCCTCAAGATCGACTTCCTCGTCACTGCCAAGAACTCCATCTTCATCGTCAACCTCCTTCAAGAAACCAGAATCGTCGTCTTCTTCATCATCGTCTTCATCTTCATCCTCATCTTCACCGTCTTCAAGACCTTCCAGGTCCTCATCGTCATCCATATCAGACATGGACAAATCAAGGTCGCTTTCATCTTCTTCTCCAGCCTCAATGCTAGGATTGCTAGTCACAAGAGCCTTCCAAATCTCTTGTTCATCATCCAAATCAGCATCTTCAGCATCCGTTTCTTTTCTCTTTTCAACCTTCTTTTCACCAGACTTATTGTCTTGAACAAGATTGAAATAGTTGAAGAAAAAGCGGTCACCAACATCAACATCATCAATCTTCATATTCTTCCAGTCTTCGAAATTAACAGCCTTGTCAATTCCAGGTCCAGAGGCACCCAAATTGGTACCAAAAACAAGACCAGTAGGATCAGAGCCTGTCAAAGGTTGCATGATACTGCTACCATGGGTTGTAGGTTTCTGCTTGGGGTTTCTGTAGACAAATCTATCCAAAAAGTGCGCAAGAGTGTACAGATTAAGATCAGGCTGGATGGGCTTGGGGGCACCTTCAGGAGCAAGGCCCAGGTAGTGTTGAGTGTAGAAAGAAACTGTGGGGTGGAAATGATTAAGAAGAGGAATAGCTTCCCAAACCTTGGTTTTACCAGCATTGGCAAAAGTAGGATCACGTTTGCGACCGTCGTACTTGTCAATAAGCTCGACTTCTTTGTCTTCATCTTCAGCCTTTTCTTCAGATTTTTCTTCCAGCTTTTTGGCCACAGCAGCCACAGCAGGCTTGTCAGAAATAAGGGACTTCATAGTGGGAGAAGCCTTTTTCAGTTCAGAAATAAGATAAATTACACCAGAAATAACGCCAATGTTAATCCAGTGATCAGCGACTTGAATCAAACGTTTGGTAAAAGCCTTGGCACGGTCTTGATTGGTATCCTGTTTAAGAGCCTTAAACATGAGATTAAGGTAAAGACGCAGCTTTGAAGACGAAGCAAGGCGAGGGTCAAGCAAGGATTCGTAAAGAGTACGGTAGAATCTGTCGGAAAGAGACTTTTCGCCTTGAGACATTTGGAAAAGTAGAATGAGAGCTTGAATACCAGTGTTGAAATTTGCCGAGTGAGTGACGCGGTAAATGGTATTAATGTGGCTTTCAAAAACGTCCTTAGGAAGATCGGCAAAGGGGTAAGCACGGTTCATACCAGTGAGAATAGCAGAAATAAGCTTGTCAAATTCTTCTTCTTTGACGGCCTCAGAAGTTTTAACTGGAGTTTTGCGTGCCTGTTTGCCCTTGGTGTGCTTATGACGAGGCTTCTTTTGAGGCTTAGCTTCTTCAGCTTTGGCTTCCTTATCCTTACTTGTTTCAGCCAAGAGAAGCTCAAAAAGTGAAAGATAAGTTCTAATAAGAGAGTTTGCGACATCTTTATTTTTGTGGGTGAGAATGGTTTGATTAAGGGTGATTGTTGAGTAGTAACGAGCATGGTAATCAGAACTGGGGCGGAAAATAAGTTCAGAAACAGAGTCGGCAATGACCTTATTCATTACAGGATGAACTTCTTCAATCTTAAGAATAAGGTACGAAACTCGAGAAGCAACTTGTTTATCATTATCACCAAGTTTGTTAACACCTAATCTTAGCAAGTTTGCTTCCTGCTCGGGCTTGGACTTGAGGAGATCCAAAATGTGATCAACAGTGCTTGAGCGGACGTAGGAAACAGTGTCGTGAGAAAGAATTTCAAGGATTTGGACAAGAGAAAAGAAGAAACCCTTGAGCCAATCCTCAAAAGCCCAAAGAATAAGTACCTCAGGTGGTGTTTTGTTAGAAAGAGTAGGTTGGTTCTTAAAGTAGCGAAGCTTTCTATCAGGAAGAACACCATTGATGAACATATCCTTGAGAGCAGCGATACTTTGAAGAGCATTACCACGGGACTTTTTACGGCAAAGACCCAGCATGGCGTTGAAATACTTTACTGAGTGAAGAGGCGATTCTTGAACAAGCAGAGTATAAGCAGAAATCTTATCACTAAGAGTACCTGCAGAAAGCAACTGGGAAAGAAACTGCTTTTGGGCTCCAGACTTGTTTCCTTCGTGAATAAAAATTTCATTTTCTTTGGAAAGAAGGGCTTTGGCTTGAGTGTGGAGGGCCTCAATGCGAGAATAAGAAAGAGGAATTTCCGGTTGCTGGGTGGGGATTTTGACAGATTCACCAGCAGTGGTCACGTCAAGATTGTACCAGTCAGTTCGTGGATCAAAAACAGCCTTGTTTTCCTTATGAAGTTCTGGGATAAGAATAGAGGGGACTACAGCAGAGTCATCCAAAGTGTTTTCAAGGGTCGTGACAATGTTGTCAATATCTTTGAGAGCACCACCTTCTTTTTTAGGCCGAACTACTGTGTTTGAGGGTTTCTGAGATTTATTTTCCTTGTTAAAAGGTTGATGTTGTTGTTGCTGATGGTCGTTATTTTCCTTTTTGATGGATGTCTTGTTGTTGAAAGACTTTTCCTTTTTGAAAGACTGCTGCTGCTGTTGTTGCTGTTGTTGTTGTTTTGGTTGTTTGCCATTTTGCTGATCCTTACGATCCTTGATTTTGGCATCCTTTTTGTTATTCTTTTTGCCGGATTGCTTGTTTCCTTTTTGAATGTTATTAAATCCCAAACTATCAATCAGATCACCAACATCCTTGGCCAGATCCTTATCCTTGACTACTGATGCTCCACCTGTAGCCTTATTTTGTGTATTTTTCTTATTGCTTGGTTTCTCTGAATTTTTAGACTTTTTATCAGTATTTTGAGAAGCCTTTTTAGTATTATTACTATTATTATTGCCTCCCTTTTTGCCTGTGCTAGATGCTGTGTTTTCACGTAGCTTATTGGCAATTTTGTCGCTCAGCTTTTGAGAAAAGGCCTTGCTTTCGAGATCCAAAGATTTAGACATTTTGTTTTCTCTTTTTCTTCTCTTTCTCAAATATTTGGAAAAAGCACGCTATCTAAAAATCAAGCTATGCTTCTGGGTATGAATGGACATGTATATACAGACAAAAACGCTGTATATACTAGTGGTAGTTGTTTAGAGGGGAGTGGAGGGGTGGTGAGCTTGTAGGGATTTGAATTTTTTTTTCTTTCTTTCTTTCAATGATCAAAGAAGCCTTTCAATTTTTTTTTTTTTTTTTTTTTTTTTCTGCTTGTGAAATTTTTTTGTGTCGTGCAACCGGAGCAACTAGATACTCTGCGTATTATTCAGCACTAAATATATCTTGGTCCATTGATATGTAATGTATTATGTAATTCAACATGATTTAGGTCTTGCCAAAACCATTTGTTAAGAAGAAGATTGAAAATTGAATTGAATTGAATTGAATTTTTACTGAAAGTTTTTTTTTTTGAGGGGGGAACTTAAAAAGTTTCCAATCAATTTTAGATGTACAGGTTTTCCAAGGTATTATTGTCTGACGGTTAAGAGTTGCAATCACTCATTTTAAAGATGAAGAAAATTTTACCCCCAAAAAAAAAAAAAAAAAAAAAAAAAACCAAATAAATAAAGTCTTCGAAATCTGGGGATGGGAGTTACTCCTAAGGTTTTCAAAAATAATTTGAATAATAATTGATATATACATGATTGATGGTAATAATTAAAAGTTTTTTTTTTTTTTTTTTTTGGTTATTCTTCTTCTTCTTCTATTTCCAACAAGCTTAGTTAACATTGTATCAGGATATATACAAAACGTTCATGAACTTGTTTTGTTTTATTTAAATCTCTTTTACAATCCCTCCTCGAGAACTTTTAGTTTTTAAAGATAATCATGGCATTTGAACATGGGAAATATCTTTCCCATAATTGCTTTTTAACTGGAACAAACATCCTTTAAGATATTAAATTGAAGGGTTTCCTTTAAAGACTTTGAAATAATTATTCTAATGAAAAAAAAAATAAATAAATCAATAAATACTCTTTTTTTTTTTTTATTGTTTGATTATAATATCTGTAAAAAAAAAAAATAAATAAATAAAAATTAAAATGAGTAGAAAAAATACAATAATAATAAAAAAATAAAAAATAAAAAAAAATAAAAAAAAACCACGCACCAAAGACGATGATGATGGCTTTTTATTTTTATTTTATTCTGATTGATCAAGGGCTAATCTGTTAGACTCCGAAGCCCTTCGTGTTAACATTCAACGATTGTTCATGCGCCCTTTATTATTATTATTATTGTTATTGTTATATTATTATTTTTATTGTTCCTGTCCATGACGTATAATTGAGATTTCATTTAAATCTGTGCCTTAATGAGCCACTGAGATTATCTCGTTTGTTAAAACATTTTTTTTTTTTTTCTCTCTCTCTTTTAAATTCTTCAAATACAAACTTATCTTGTCCCTTTGCCCCCTCCCTCCCTCCCTCCCTTTTTTTTTTTTTTTTCGCTGTAAAATCTTCTCCTCTTCATTGAGTTCTTTGATTGATCAATTTAAAAGCAATGATAAATGTTTTACCAGTATATAGTTTAACTATATAATTAAATATAATTAAATATATTTTTGTTTTCTTTTAACTAAATATCCCCCCACGCCTTGTAGACAACCTTTCTGGCTAACGTTATCCATTCAAGATTATGTGCCGGCAAAACCGAATAAACCAAAAATAACAAAATAAATAACATAAAAAAATATCAAAAAAAAAAATAACAAAAAAATTTAGTAAAATACTTTCTTTCTATATTTATTTCTCGATGGAGGACACATTCAACGGTGACCGGTACTCCGGAAGGTATTATGGAGAAATAATTAAACTTTTTTTTCTTTCTTTCTATTTTTCTTTCTTTTTTTATTAAAATCAAAAAAAAAAAAAAAAAAAACCTATAAAATAGAGCCTTAATCCTTCCATGCTTTAATTTTGTTATCTTTTTTATTTTTTTTTTTTATAAACAATCTTTATTATTTTTCTTTAATCAAATCAATCAACAAATATAATGTCATCATCTCCAGTTATCATTGTTACCGGTGCCTCTAGAGGTAAGTTCCCCAGATTTTATTATTATTATTATTATTATTATTATTATTATTATTATTATTATTATTATTATTATTACTTTAATCATTCTTTTAATTGTTAACTTTTTTTTTTTTTTTTTTTTTTTTTTTTAGGTATCGGTGCTTCTATTGTTGAGCAGCTCATGGCTGCCCCTGAACAACCTCGTGTTGTTGGTGTTTCCCGTTCTTCTGCCGGCCTCGAGGCTTTGGAAAAAAAGTACCCTGAGCGGTTTACCTACGTTACTGGTGACGTTGCCAAGGATAGCACTTCAGATGCCATTATTTCTCGTGCTCTTGAAAAGTTTGGTCGTATTGATGGTGTCATTTGCAATGCTGGTGTTTTGGAACCAATTGCTCCTGTCGCAAAAGCTTCTCTTGAAGATTGGAAAAAACTTTATGATATTAACTTCTTTGCTCCAGTATCACTTTCCAGCAAAGCTATCCCAGAACTCAGAAAAACTCACGGCCGCATTGTGTTTGTCTCTTCAGACGCTTCTACTATCTTCTTCAACGGATGGGCCGCTTACGGATCTTCAAAGGCTGCAATTAACCACTATGCAGGATCTATTGCCGCAGAGGAAAAGGATATCTTTGCCATTGCCATTGCTCCTGGTATCGTCGATACAAACATGCAAAACAATATCCGTGACAACTTTGGCGAAGGCATGTCTTCTGATGAACACAAGTTTTTCCATGAGCTCCACAACACTGGCAAGCTTCTCCCCCCACAAATCCCTGCTGCTGTTGTTGCCAACCTCTCCCTTAGAGGATCCGGCGATATTAATGGTAAATACCTTAGCTACGATGCTGAGACCCTTGCCAGCTACCAACTTCAAAAATAAATGTAAAAAAAAAAAACTTTTCTTAAAAAAAAAATACTTAATCTATCTAATTTTGCACAGTTTTACATACCTCCGCGGAGACGAAGGACCAAGTGAAGAGTAGACTCCTTTTGAATGTTGTAGTCAGAAAGAGTTCTACCATCTTCAAGTTGCTTACCAGCAAAGATAAGACGCTGTTGGTCAGGAGGAATACCCTCCTTATCTTGAATCTTAGACTTGACGTTATCAATAGTATCTGAAGACTCAACTTCAAGAGTAATAGTCTTACCGGTAAGGGTCTTGACGAAAATCTGCATACCACCACGGAGACGAAGAACCAAATGAAGAGTAGACTCCTTTTGAATATTGTAGTCAGAAAGTGTTCTACCATCCTCGAGTTGCTTACCGGCAAAAATCAAGCGCTGTTGGTCAGGAGGAATTCCCTCTTTGTCTTGAATCTTGGACTTGACATTGTCAATGGTGTCAGAAGACTCAACCTCCAGGGTAATAGTCTTACCAGTAAGAGTCTTGACAAAGATTTGCATACCACCACGGAGACGAAGAACCAAATGAAGAGTAGACTCCTTTTGAATATTGTAATCAGAAAGTGTTCTGCCATCTTCAAGTTGCTTACCAGCAAAAATCAAGCGCTGTTGGTCTGGTGGGATACCTTCCTTATCTTGAATCTTGGACTTGACGTTATCAATAGTATCTGAAGACTCAACCTCCAGGGTAATAGTCTTGCCGGTAAGAGTCTTGACGAAAATCTGCATACCACCACGGAGACGGAGAACCAAATGAAGAGTAGATTCCTTTTGAATATTGTAATCAGAGAGAGTTCTGCCATCTTCAAGTTGCTTACCAGCAAAGATAAGACGTTGTTGGTCTGGTGGGATACCTTCCTTATCTTGAATCTTGGATTTGACATTGTCAATAGTATCAGACGATTCAACCTCAAGAGTGATGGTCTTACCGGTAAGAGTCTTGACGAAAATCTGCATACCACCACGGAGACGAAGAACCAAGTGAAGAGTAGATTCCTTTTGAATATTGTAATCAGAGAGAGTTCTGCCATCTTCAAGTTGCTTACCAGCAAAGATAAGACGTTGTTGGTCTGGTGGGATACCCTCCTTATCTTGAATCTTGGATTTGACATTGTCAATAGTATCAGACGATTCAACCTCAAGAGTGATGGTCTTACCGGTAAGAGTCTTGACGAAAATCTGCATACCACCACGGAGACGAAGAACCAAGTGAAGAGTAGATTCCTTTTGAATATTGTAATCAGAGAGAGTTCTGCCATCTTCAAGTTGCTTACCAGCAAAGATAAGACGTTGTTGGTCTGGTGGGATACCCTCCTTATCTTGAATCTTGGATTTTACATTGTCAATGGTGTCAGAAGACTCAACTTCAAGAGTAATAGTCTTACCGGTAAGGGTCTTGACGAAAATCTGCATACCACCACGGAGACGGAGGACAAGGTGGAGAGTAGACTCCTTTTGAATGTTGTAGTCAGAAAGTGTTCTACCATCCTCGAGTTGCTTACCGGCAAAAATCAAGCGCTGTTGGTCTGGAGGAATGCCCTCCTTGTCTTGAATTTTGGACTTGACGTTATCGATGGTATCAGAAGACTCAACCTCCAGGGTAATAGTCTTGCCGGTAAGAGTCTTGACGAAAATCTGCATACCACCACGGAGACGGAGAACCAAATGAAGAGTAGATTCCTTTTGAATATTGTAATCAGAGAGAGTTCTGCCATCTTCAAGTTGCTTACCAGCAAAGATAAGACGTTGTTGGTCTGGTGGGATACCTTCCTTATCTTGAATCTTGGACTTGACGTTATCAATAGTATCTGAAGACTCAACTTCAAGAGTAATAGTCTTTCCTGTCAAAGTCTTGACAAAGATTTGCATGCCACCGCGAACACGAGGGAAAAAAACAAGTGTTGAAGTCGAAGCAATGCCAGCTTCGGCAAGAGTCATAGAGTTTTCGAGGTATTGACCACCAAGAGAAAGGACTGAGTCAGTATTGCCAAGCATAGACTTTACATTTTCGATAGTTGAAGAGTTATCAACCTAAAAAAAAAAGTTAGGAAAAGATAAGAAGAGGGGTAGGAATAAAATAAGAAAAAACATCTCAAAAGTAGTATATACTTACATCAAAAGTCACCTTGCCATTAGCGGGTGTATCAACAAAGATTTGCATATTGTTTTAAATTGAGTTGAAAGAAGTTTATATATATGATTTTCTGGAAGTTTTTGTTTTTTTTTTTTTTGGGAGGGGTTAAAAAAAAAGTATGTTTGTATATATAAATAATTATTGTATAGATGTGTGATGTTATCGGGTGAGCGGGATAAGATAGCAAAGTAGAAGAAAAAGAAGAAGGAGAAGGAGAAAAAAAAAAAAAAATAAAGAAATTTTGGAGGGAAAGCCCTGATATTTATACTCGTGGAGGCTTATAAGAAGTCATCACACATAAAATAAAAATAAAAAAAAAAAAAAAACCCGCCTTCTTTTAAACATTAAAAAACAAAATAAAAAAAAAAAAAAAAAACATCAACGCCACCCAAATAATGCGTCTTACAGCGCAGTTAACAAAAAAAAGTCAGTGCATTTGTTTTTCTATATAAAAAAAGTTAAAATTATTATTTTTATTATTGCGCATAGACTTCCCTATAAGTGTAAAATCAATTTTTGTTTTTTTTTTTTTTTGTTTTTTTCATTATTATTGAAATGAATATATAAGATATATATAAAAGATAACGCCTAAAGCATTAAATTATACAAAATGGTATCTAACGATATGCAATTTCCCTTTAAACTCGATGAACGTAACCTGTCGGTTTCTCGTTTTTTTTTTTTTATTTTATTTTATTTTATTTTTTTATTTTTGACAGATTTTTAGTCACAACCGCGTTTTTTTTTTTTTATTTTTTATTTTTTATTTTAAACTGCGGGGCCATCCGTTAATCTCCACCTTCCACCCATCAATTGAAAGGTCCTTTTTGATGGTGGATGATGGTGGATGATGGTGGTGGTGGTAATGGAAGCAAATAGAAAAATATTATGCGGTGGGTTGCATACCGTGTCATGTGATTAATTAATCATGTGAACGTCAATCTTTTTTTCTTTTTTTATTTTTTTATTTTTTTATTAAAAAAAAAAAAAAACGGCTTCCGCGGCAACGCAACGTGGCTGCGGCTTCAAAAACTTTGAATCATTTTGCTGGTCCGATTAAACATACCCGGTTCGAGTTTCTATCTTCGGGTCTTATAAATTAACCAGCGGCACACACACACATACTTCTTTTTTTTTTTTAAAAAAAAAAACAATAAAAGTCACCGGGACACTTGAAAAAAAAAAAAAAGAAAAAATTTGCTTATTAAAACGGAGTTGAAAAAAAAAAAAAAATTTTTTTCATTTTTATTGAAAAAATTTTCTATTCGGGCTGTATACAAATCTTAATATTAAGTAGTAAGCTTTACTTGAGTCAGAAAAGATATTTAGCAAAAATGATAAAAAAAAAATTTCCAAATTGTTTCTTTTATTATGGACAATCCTTCGTGGATATTACTTGAAAGTTTTTTTTTTTTTTTTTTTTTTTTTTTTTTTCTCCGGAGAGCTCCGAGAGTCTTGTAAATACTTTCTGTGTAGAGAATTTCAAGGCCTTCAATTCAATTCAAGTTATTGATTTTAATAAAGAATTTTTTTTTTTTTTATTTTAAATTTTTTTTCATATATAGGTTATTTTATTTTTTTTAATATAAGTTATTTTATTTTATAACTATATATAAGATATAGCCCACTATTTAGATTTATGATCCATTTCAAAAAAAAAAAAAAAAAATAAATAAAAATAAAAATAAATCAAATAAACATTTCAAGTACTAGTATTTCAATATTCCAAAATTTCAAAATTTCATCATGGTAGATCTACATACAAATTGACCAAAAAAAAAAAAACCACATTCATAAAATCAAGGACCAATTGCATACAAATAAAAAATTTTAAATATTCACCAAAGGTCATTTAAATACGTGCACTTTCTTAGGAGAGTTCTTTCTTTCAAATTACTATATATAGTTATATAGTTATCTCTATTATAGCATAAAATTTAATCAAACACAAACTCCTCGTGAAAAACGAGCACTAAGCTCAGATTAACACAAATACCTTTTAATTGCTAAAAAAAAATACCTCTTAGACAAACTATATATATATATATATATTGTTCTTAGAATCATACTCTTAACTTCAATATCAATCAATTGAAATTTTTTTTTTTCTTTCTTTCTTTTTTTCTTTCTCATTAAATATTTACTTCTCATTTTTATCTTATCATTTATACCAATGCCGTCTTCTTCTACCTCTTCTTCTGCGTTGACAATTCGTAAATTAGAGTACAATGAAATTGAACAGGCTGCTCAAACCCTTGTTGAATCTTTTGAAACTGACCCCTTTGTTGTCTTTTGTCTCCCAGATCCCTTGTCTTCTAAACATGAATCTTCCAACTCTGATCAGATTTCTCCAACTGTCAAGACCCAACGTGATGCTTATATCCGAGCCCTGTTCTACTTTATGACTTACCAGGGGACTGCATACACTATTGGTGATGACTATGGCTGTGTGGCCGTGTGGGTTCCTCCTGGATCCCAGTTTGTTGTCACGACATGGTCCTTGCTCCGTTCTGGTGCTTGGCGAGTTCTTTATCAGATTCCTATTCGTGGCATTCGCCGCACTTTTATGACCAGTGATGCAGGTGCTGAAGCGAAAAAAAGAGCCCTTCTTCCTCAATCATCTAATGTCACAAGTTTCGATAAAAGTTCTACTTCTACTTCTTCTACTTCGACAAATATTAATAATAATAATAATAATAATAATAATAATACCCCGCAAATTAAAAACGATTATGAAAATCACTGGTACTTGGCCATCATAGGGACTAAGAAAAAATCTCAAAACCAAGGCCTAGCTAAAACACTCATTCGCCATTTTACTGAAAAGGCAGACCAGGCTGGTATCAAATGTTATCTTGAGTCTACCTCTCGTAATAATGTCGAGTATGTCTACAAAAAGGCAGGCTTCCATGTGGTAGAAGAAATTGTGCTTGAAGACGATGGCGTCACGTGTACTATTTTTTGTATGGTTCGCAACCCAGGTGCTGGCCCTCAGCCATAATTAGTTTGAAAAATGAATTCATTTTTCAAACTAATTAAAAAAAAAAAATCTTCTCGTTTTAATTTCACAAATTCTACAAAAATCAATATATTGATAATATATATTAATCTTTAAATTATATCTTTATAGTTTAATGTACAATAAAAATCAAATAAGTTTCGAATATATATAATTTATATATATATATATATATATTTTTATAAATATATCAATGTGTTTCTCACTTTTTTTTTTGTTCTCTCCCATATCATATCATCAAATAATCCGCGATAGAGACATCATACGCCGCGCATCATTATCTACACTTTCTCGCCGCGCCTTTTTATGTGAGGGTGAATGTTGCAACTGTTGTTTTTGATGTTGATGTTGAGAAGTAGGTGCAGGCGTCGATTCAGTAATTGTGATTGTTGGTGGCACCATTTGGGCGTTATTTTCATCTCCAAAACTGATTTTGTTTTCCTTTCTATCCTGTTCATCTTTATTTTCTCTTTTCTCAGCTTCATCATCTTCTAAAGGCTGCTTGCGTTTAGATAATGGATTTATCGACTCCGGGTTAAGAAGCAATGTTGATACTGTTACACTCCCACTAGGTCGTGAAACTGGTGTTGAGCCATTCATCTTAGACTCAACAAATACTGGCTCACTCAAGGGATTTTTTTGTGATTGTGGATTCTTTAACTCAGTCCCAGAACCTAAATTACCCTTGCGGCGTGCAATGAGCTCCTCTAGTACATCAATTCGTGCTTCCAAAGCATCCCATTCAGCCCATGGGTTCTTTCTCTCATCTTCAGGCTCCTTCTTGGGTTCATCACCACTTGAGCTATCCTCTTCATCATCTGCATCAGAATGATCATCCATAGGCAACGTTTGCGAATGTCTAGATCCACCAAATCTTCTGTGATGATGGTGTGTTCTTCCAGAGTTACTTCCAGAGCTACTTCCAGAGTTACTTCCAGAGTTGACTCCATTGCTGCTGCCGCTGCCGCTGCTGCTACTGCTACGCCGAGATTTTCCTGACACTTTGGTCTTTGATAATGATGGCAAAGATAATCCATCAACTTCTTCACCACTAGCAGTAGGCTCAGGGCTTGCTGGATCAATAACTACAGTTGGAATGTGTGAAGGTAGTTTATCAGCAATATCATCACCGTCTGATGAACTCTTAAATTTTCTTGGCGCGGCTCTAGAAACGTCAACACCCTGTTCAAAACTTCCCGTATGAGAGTTCATTAGTCCATCGCCTGCCCGCGGAAAAATCCATTCATGATGGCCAATCCCTTGTAAATCAGTCGCCATCACTGCAACCACCGTCTCGTCCTCAAGTGGCTTATACTCAGCATTCCCAGTTGCCAGCGTTGCGGTACTTGTTGCTGCAGCTTCTGCACGTCGAAACTCGCGCACAAGTAGCCGCACAAACCCATCAATGTACCGCCCATAAACGCCATAAACTGTGCGTGCGCGCGATGCTGCCCGGATCGCTGCAACAAGATCCCGACCTGTATCACAGTCCTCAAAAGCAAATGCAACTATTGAGCATTGCCAAAGATGCGTTATAACCGCGTCATTAGCTACTCGCGAAAAATTCAGGTATGCGCGAGCCCAAAACTTGTCGTCTTGTATTGGCTTATTCGTGTCACTGCAGCCGCCAAAAAATAGCAGCACACGGCGAACAAATCCACGAACAGTTTTGGCACCATTGTAACAGGCATCAGCGCTACGTTGAAATTGCGCTCGAGTGGCTATGGGTGAAAAATTTGTGCGCATTAAATTGTGCTGCGCATATTTAACAACTATAACTATGAAGAACCCCTTGTATTCTAGAGGCTCATTGAGTTCAGAATCGAGCACGTGTGCCGGTAACAGTGCCCAAAAAGTTTCAAAATATGAATTAAACGTATCAATCGTTAGTTTTGACAGTGACACTTGAGAAGCCAGAGTGCGGCATGTAACATCAGTCATACGAATAAGATGCACGACAACGTTGAAAAGCCTAGTATCTTCATCTAAAGACAATTGTTCCGGCTTTTGGCCTGTAACTCCATTTGGCAAGAGATAAGAGCTCGGCAAATATCTCTCGTGAATAATAACATCGCGACCCCAACGCAGAGCAGAAATACGATCGGCTGTAAAAAGAGACCACCAAAGGTGTTGGTCAGCAGATGTTAGACCAGCTGCAACACCTGTTCTATATGCAGCTTGTATACCTTGAGACAGCCATAAAGAAGCAAGAGATCGTCTATTTGTCTCTTGATAATACATATGATTAAGCATTGCTGTATTGATCCAATCATGGTTAAATGTTGACTCAGAATTAGGAGACAAAATCATAAGTCGTTCTGAAATAGCCATGAATTCGTCACCTTGTTTCATTACAGAAATATTAGGGTCAATATCATCACGAACGCCCAGCGCCAATACAGCAAAAAACCCAGAAACCCATGTTTGGCGAGGAATAAATTTGCAATATTCGTCTTCAGATCCTGGCTTGTGCTCCCATTTGATTTGGTTCTTGACATAAATTTTCAAAAAGCTCCATTGTTGCGATGGTAGCCAAATCTGATATGCATCATAATAATTTTGCATCAACACATCAACGGTTTTCCGTGTAGGAACGTAGCGAGCTAAATTATGAGTATCAATTTCTTGTTCGTCGGGCAAGTCGCTGCTGTGAGCAGTTGAGTAGTCAACATAGCTTTTTTTAGAAATGGGTGCAGGGCCTGTTGCTGAAGTTTTAACCGGGGAGGAAGACAATGGTGGTGGCTGCGGAGTAAAGGAATACCCTGGTGGCGGTGCAAAAGCGCCTTTGTTATATTTTTGCATAAAGCGTAAAGCTTTATTTAGGGCTTCGGAAGTAGCAGGTCGTAAAGCATAAGGTATTGGCTGTACTAAAGCATTTCCTGGCATAGTACTCGGAATCAATGCAACAGAACCAGTAATACCAGATTGGACGGTGGGTGTAACTAGCTTGGGTGACATAATGAGTAAGTTTGGAGAAGCTGAACCATGTAAAGAAGATGGAGGTCCTGAACCAGATTGGGAAATTCCACTCAATGTTGATGGCCGACGGATCGACAAGCCATATTGACCCCAGCGTTGTTGATCGTCATGAGGCTGCAAGTATGGTGAAACTGAAATATCAGAAACTTCTGAGTTGCGTCGTGAGCGTTGATTCCATCCATTAGTTCCGTCATGAAGACCTGGTGAAGATAATGGTGATGGTGACAAAGATTTGTTGCGAGAAGGAACAGCCAGTAGTCCGCTAGAGGAGTGGTCATTTGTCACAGAAACTCCACCAGGATTAGGTGAAAGGCCATTTAAGCCACCAGGCATGTCGCTCGAAGAACTGTAGTTTATATCCGAAACTGGAGTATTAGCCCGTAATGGCCCTGATGTGGCTACAGCTAGTGGATCTAAACAGACCAAATGGGACGGTACGGGAACATTGGCTTCCCGAAGAAGTGCTTGGTACTCATCAACGCAAGAAAGCAGGTGAGAAATATTGCGCTCCATATCTTTAATTTGCTTTGATGAACTCATACGGCGATTCGTATCTTTGGTAAATTGGCATTTAAGTTGTCGATGAATACATTCAGAGCACGCAGAGGTTTCTGTAGCATTGCATTTAACCTTGCGTTCACGACAAGAATCACAGGATGGGTCTTTGCGTCGCTGTCGAAAAGGCCTTCGAGTAGCTGGATTGATTTTGGTTTCACCAGAAACACTGTCGATCCCAGCACTGACTGTCGAAGCTTCATTGGATGATGAGACAGATGGTGACAATGGGACATTTGAGACAGGTGCAACGACATTAGCAGATGTTGTTGATGGCGAAACTGATGGAGAATAAAATGGTTCTGGCGTTAAATAGTCACTGTTGTACCCACGTCCTGAAGTTGAATTAGTAGTAGGAAGAGATAAATGTGATGGACCAGCATTGAATATTGAAGCATCTCGTTCTTCTTGTTGAGTTGGGGGCGGTGGTGACGTAATTTGGAGTGTCGGAGGTGGTGCATCAAGTGAAGATGAATTTGCAGAAGATGAAATTGAAGGTTGGCTTACAGGAATTGTCAATAGTTGTAACGATTGATGTTGCTGCTGTTTAAGATGCGCTCCTGAAGGTGGTGCTGTCAATAAAGGACTGCGCAAGCCTGGCCCAGTTCCTGAATTTTGGGTATACAAATGGAGGGTATTGCTACTGCTGCCAGTCTTCCCATTACTAACACTACTACTGCTGATACTTGGAGGGATAGGTGATGGTGACCGGCCTGCGGCACTGGCACTTGGCCCTGTTGAATGCAATTCTGAATCTGAGAGCAAAGGAGGTAATGGTAACCGACTTGGTGATGGCGGAACAGGCGAACCTTGGCTTCTAAAAAATGTATGAATGTTAGATAATCAAGCTTTGAAACAAGAAAAAAATCCATCTATCTATCTCTATTTCTTACCTGTAATCCAGCGTGCTAGGAGTTGGATATTCAAGAGGGGAATAAGGTGGATGAATAATCGAACCACCCGGTGATGATGGAGTGCGGTAGGGTGAAGTTGCGTATGGAGGCCGAACTCCAGTGTTAGAGCCGCCAGTAGTATTTCCACCAGATGGAATCTGTAAAAACCCGTCTGCAGATGTATGGGGTGCTGAAACGTGCTGAGCAGCTGTCGATGATCCATAAGGAAGAATATTATGGTTGGGATTATTTTGAGGATGACCATTGTGATAATAGTGGTTAATCAATGGGGGTAACAAGTTCTGTTGTTGCTGTGGTGGCTGTGGCGGATTTGATTGTTGTGATTGCTGTGATTGCTGTGATTGCTGTGATTGCTGTGATTGCTGTGATTGCTGTGATTGCTGTGATTGCTGCTGTTGTTGAAGTTGAAGTTGATGCTGTTGTTGTTGTTGTTGTTGTTGTTGTTGTTGTTGTTGTTGTTGTTGTTGTTGTTGTTGTTGTTGTTGTCGACGAACAGCAAGTCCCGAGGCATTATCAACACGAAGAGAAGCAATCGGCGGTAAATGTCCCGGCGGAGCTCCATCATGCTCACCAGTGTCCGCAGAACCGTTGGAGGCGGACTCTGCGTGGAAGGAGTGTTTGGTGGGCATATGTTAGTATCACCGCATGGGATAGCGGGTTTTATGTCAAGAGTCGCTATAATATGAATAAATTTAGATCCTTCAAGTCAGTCAATATATTGGTTGATCGATCAGACAGTCGGTCGCTTGAGGCGAAACGGCAGCAGAGCGCGTGGTTGGAGACTGCGGTCAATCGATGTAAGTCGGTCAGTGTTGTAAAGTTTTATATATATATATATATATATATATATATATATATATATGCTGTTAAGTGTCGGGTATTTATTAGCGTTAAAAAAAAAATCTACAATTACAAAAACAGGTGGCTGGGATTTTCAAAAAAATAAAAAAAAAAAAAGATTTGGGCGGGTTGACTAGCGGGGACAGGTGGGTCTCCGCCCTGAGAAAAACACCACCACCATACTTTGTGCCCCGAATGCAAAAAATTTTTTGCTTATGTAATATGAAAATGTAACAAACAGGTAGGTAAATGTGACGTAATACCTCAACTTGAGGACTTCAATTTGAATACATGTGTAATAAACTATCTAAAGTAACCTTCTCTTTTTTTTCTTTTTATTTATACTTCATTTTCTGGCTTTTATCTTCTAAATGGGAATGCCAGTGTACTCGCCATAGCCCAGAAGCAAGTTAGCATTCTGCAAACATTGAGTGGCAGCACCCTTAAGCAGATTGTCAATGGTAGCAACCACAACAACACGGTCACCGCGGGAGGAAACTCCAAACCCGCCAATAGACACGCTGTGCTTGCCAGAAATATCGCGAACCAACGGCGCCTCACCGGTTACGTGGATAAGCTTCTCACCAGCGTATCGGTCCTGGTACAGGTTGCGAATTTCACGCGACGACAGTGGTGTCTTAAGAGGAATAGAAATAGTGTGTGTAATGCCTTGGAACCATTGAGCAACATGGGGAGTAAAGGCAATTTGAGTACCCAACTGGCGAGACACCTCACGCTCGTGAATGTGATCAGTAAGAGAGTAAGGAATCAAGTTGTTGGTGAGGACCTTGATGTCATTCTTGGGAGAAGGCTTGGTACCAGCGCCAGAGTAGCCAGAAACACCAAAGACAGAGGGCTGGCCATTGCCCAAGTGTTCAACAAGGGGAGAAATTGCCAGTTGAGCAGCAGTAGCGTAACAGCCAGGATTCGAAATCTTACGGGCAGTAGCATACTTAGAACGGTCTCCAAGCTCAGGGAGACCATAGAGCCACTCATTGGTGTCGTCGAAGCGGTAGTCGGCAGACAAGTCAATAATCTTGGAAGTTTTAGCCGAGTTTGCATTGTCAATGGCATCAACAAAGGGCTTGCAAACGCCATTGGGCAAAGCCATGACCCAAATATCAACCTCACCGCGCTCTTCGAGACGGCGGATGTCCTCAACCTGAAGATTATCGTAAATAATGCGCTTCTTGTCGTAACCGTTAAGAGGCTTACCTGCTAATTCACGAGAAGAAACGTGAGAAAGCTCGAGGTAAGGATGCTGGTTAATCAGGTCAATGAGGGCCTGGCCAGTGTAGCCGCGTGCACCAATAAGAGCAACCTTGGCAGGCTTGGTGCTAGTTCCCTCCTTGAGAGGTGGGTTAGGGTTGGTAGTGCTCTCAGTGCTGTAAGAACGGGCACCCATAATACCGAAGGGGCGGCGAGGCATAGAAAGACCAGAGCGAGTGCTGAAAGATCTAGTTTGAATCTTAGGGCCACTGGCAGAGGTGGCTTGAGCAGCAGCTGTTTGGGAAGCAACTTCCGCGGAGAAAGTGGAAATCAACTTTGAAATTTCAGCAGAGTCTTTGAGACCATACCAAAACAAAATTTGGCCGTCCTTGGCAAAAGAACCGTCGGCTTTGCTGAAATGCCAGGAAGCATTCTCATCTTGATCAGAAATAACCCATTGGAGAACGGGGTAGTCCTTGCGGATGGCAGTCCAAATATTGTCAGTAACATTGTTGAGCCAGCCGTTCTTGCTAGGCAAGAACTTCTCCAAAGTAGGAATGGGCTCAGTGTTCTTAACAATGGCCAAAACTTCAAGAGGTTCGTCACCGTAAGCTTTAAAAGAAGTTCCTTCAAGCTGACGAAGGTAAGAGGCAACAGAGATAGTCTTATCGGCAATCACAGGGTCGCGCTGAAGGGCCTTGCGGAGGGCCTCCTGAGAGGGGAATTGCTCGAGGTTTTCACGTGAGAGCAACTTGTAGCCGCGTCTAATCAGAGTACCGGCACCAGAGTCGGTGAAGAGCTCCTTCTGAAGATCGTGAACAGAAATAATAGCGACAGATGATGATCTAGGAAGGTAGGTGAGAAGTTCCTTAATTTCCTTAATTTTGAGCTTGGTGCCGTACTTAACCCAAGGCTCCTTCATGAGATCGTCGTACTCCTCGTCAAGGTTAATAACCGAAATCTTTTCGCCGGTAGAGCCATTGATAAGACCACCCTTTTCGTTCAGGTAAACAATCTTGAGGGGCTCAATAACACGAGCGAGCTCACCAGCAGCAACGTCAGCATTGACGTTCAAAATCTGGCCATCAGGGGTCTCAGCAAGTGATGTAAGAATGGGAAGCGCACCAGCATTAATGGAGGCTTCAATGGGGGTTTTGTCAACAGAAGTGATTTTTCCAACAAGATGATACTTTTCCTTGTCAAGGTAGTCAGCACCGAAAACACCACCAGTGATGGGGCGGGCACGGACACCGAGTTTCTCAAGAGCCTCAACAAGCTTGAGATTTTGTTGAAGGAACATCTTGCGAACAACAGACATAGTCTTGGAGTCTGTGATACGGATACCATCAATGTAGTCAGGAACAATTCCTTGAGACTCGAGAACGGCATTGATCTGGGGACCAGTACCGTGGAGAATGATGGGGTAAAGACCAACATGGTACAAGAAAGCGAGAGCAGAAGCAAGCTCGTTGAGATTGTCAGTAATGATTGCACCACCAACCTTGATGACAGCAAATTGCTGGCTAAATTTTTGTTAATAAAAGTTTTTGGTTAGTCTGCATATAAAGTAATAAAATAATGGTAGTACACAGAATATATAAAGTTTTTTGAAATAGAGAGAGGGGAGAAATAGAAAAGGTATCCAACAAAAAACTTTGATAAGAACTCGAATCGGGTATTGAAAAAAAAAAAAAATAATAATAATAATAAAATTGCTCAACAAGTTGTACCAAACACCAATTTAACAACACAACACATACTTGGAGACGGAGGTGAAGTACTTCAGGTATTGCTCAACTTCACGTTTAGAGCCAATGCTGTCAAGTAATTGAATGACAGTAGAGCGAGTCGAATAAGAGCGGCGAGCAGCGGCACGAGCAGCGTTGGGGAATTTGGAAGTAGTAGAGGACTTGGTAAGTTGCAATTGTTGCTGTTGGACGGAGCGAGCATGGTGAAGGCCGGCAACTGCAACAGTGGCCTTTGAGACCACTGAACGAGCAGTGGAGGCTCGCAAAAGAGTGGCGGAAGATTGACCCAAGGATCGAATCATCTTAAATGAAAAAAAAAGAGTGGTATAAAAAAATAGTAAGAAAAGTACGAAACTTGAAGAGAAAAAAAAAAAAAAGAAAGAAAAGGGAAAAGAAAGAAACAAAAAAAAAAAAAGATTTTTTTAAAAGAGTCAGAGGAGGGGTGCAAGAAAAGAAATTTGCCAATTTTGTGAGGGAGCGTTTTTTTTTTTTAAGTGGGCGAAGGTTAGGGTTCCAACCCCAGCCCGAAAAAATTTTTTGGCTATCACACGTGACTTGGTACTCATTTTCGATGGGCCACCACCACTAACAGTCCAGCAACCACCACACAACCTCCAAGGATACCCCAGCATGTATAGGCGACTTTCGCACCGGCCAGTCGGAAGACTGCGGCACCTCTATTTGCATACTACGGTCTTGTCAGCAAAAAAAAGCATATTTATTATATGTACAAACGGTATTAACGATTTCGAAAGATGATCCAGCCCTTACATTTAGCCCCGGCGCTCCAGACGATTCAGCTTCTTGGCTGTCTTTGCGTTGTTGCGTGTGCTTTGACCACGCACTGGCAGACTTAAAGCGTGACGACGACCAGCGTAACTACCAATGGTACGCTTGAGAGTAATATTTGCACGTAGCTCATTTCGCGCCTCATTTTCAATCGTATATGTTGTTAATTCTTTAGCTATGGATAACACATCTTGTTCGTCTAGTTGATGCATGCGCTTCTGGGGGTAAATTCCCAGCTTGGAGCAGATCTTAATGGCATTGTTGATGCCCAGAGCATAGAACTTGGATGCGAGGCCAATCTTAAAAAAAAAAAAAAAAAAGAAATCGCTAGTTAGCAAAAACAAATAATACAAAAGTAATAATAAAAAGAATAAAGATACATACCGAGACCAGCTGGTTGCCTCTAAAGGACTTTCCCATAATATTTGTAACCATTTTTGCTGATATTAATGTTGCCTTGAATCCCTAATGGCTTGAAATTTTCACTGGTTGCAGTGTTGAATAAATAATATTAAAAGCTGCAGGCCTAAAAAAAAATTTTCCCTCAAAGCAAAAAAACTGAGGTTAGGGTATCACGTGATTATAACATTTACTGACCCACAAAATACTCTTATCCCAATGTTGGTAGATAATCGATCTTTGCTTGACACCACCACAGACTATCTTCATTAACCATTATTATATTTTACTTAGCCATGACTGAGAAATTTGTACTTCCTGGTATGTGTTTTTTTTTTTTTTTTTTGATTTTTCTTTACTCGTTCTATACTAACTATTCCTAGGTATTCAAGAAATTAATACGTATGTAATAGAATTTTTGACAATTTCTTAATATCACCAACTTACAGCCCCACCAGCCCCATCTCTGTAGAAGAGCTTGAGATTCTTCGCCACCAGTATTACTCCGAGGGTCAGTTTGTGAGTTTACAAACACGCTTCAATTACGCATGGGGTCTTGTGCGTTCACAGACTGTTTCCGACCAGCAGTTCGGTGTTAAGTTACTTACTGATCTCTTTAAAGATTCCCCAGAACGTCGCCGTGAGGTCCTTTACTATCTCTCAATCGGTAACTACAAGCTCCAAGAGTATTCTAAAGCCCGCAAGTACGCTGACATTTTATTGGAGATTGAACCAGATAACCGCCAAGCAGCTCAGCTTAGACAAGTCATTGAAGATAGACTTGCAAAGGAAGGTCTTATTGGTGTCGCAATCACATCGGGTGTCATTGCTGCTGCTGCTGCCGCAATTACTTTCTTTGCAAAGTACCACAATACTCGGCGATGAATTAGATATCATTTATCACAATACCATGGGGAATCAAAAAAAAAAAAATAAAATAAAATAAAATAAAATAAAAGGGGGAAAAAAAAAGAGAAAAGAAATAAATAAAATATTGAGATTTTTTTTTGTTATTAAAACTATTTATCATAATCAACTATCATTAGATGTTTAAAAAAATAAGCTAGAAAGAGAAAACAATGGGAAAAAAAATTGGTTCGTGAATATTTATCTGAGACATTGGTGATACCATTAAGCATCAGGCATTTCAACATCCTCGCTATTAGGCTTCTTTTCATCCTTGGCTTCGGTCTCAGTCTCCTCCTCCTTTGATTTAGGTACATCAGCCATCTCGACATCCTTAGGTTCTTCATCAGCCTTGGGCTTTTCATCAGACTTCGTGGTAGTTTCCTTATCTTCTCCAGTCTCCTCAGACTTTTTAGACTCTTCTTTAGCTTCTTCTTCCTTGGATTCTTCCTTGGATTCTTCACCTTCCTCGGCTTCCTTATTCACCTCTATTGTATCTTCGTCCTTAGTTTCTTCTTTAGACTCTTCTTTAGACTCTTCCTTGGATTCTTCCTTGGACTCTTCCTTGGACTCTTCCTTGGAATCTTCCTTGGACTCTTCCTTGGACTCTTCCTTGGACTCTTCCTTGGACTCTTCCTTGGACTCTTCCTTGGACTCTTCCTTGGACTCTTCCTTGGACTCTTCCTTGGACTCTTCCTTGGACTCTTCCTTGGACTCTTCCTTAGAATCCTCCTTGGATTCCTCCTTAGCTTCCTTGTTAACTTCTTCTACAGCCTTGGACTCTACTTTTGTCTCTTCCTTGACCTCCTTCTTTTCCTCTTCTTTAGGAAGACCAGCCAAAACACTAAACTGACCACCTGCTCCAGCAAAAACAATTTTAACACCACGCGTCGCAGTGTTTTCAATCTTAGTAGGAACTTCTTCATCTTCAGGGGAATCTTCACCAGGAGGCTTACCGTGACCAAGTTGATAGGTTTCACCAAACCCCCAGGTATATGCCGATCCATCAAGAGCAAGACCCAAGGAATGATCAAAGCCAGCAGCAATGAACTTAAATTTTGGAACATCGGGACCCTCGAGTTTGGTAGGAATAGGAACGTAGCCAGGAGTACCATTGGCCTCACGTACAGTATATTCAGGAAGGTTGGAAGGGTTAAGACCAAGTTGATGAAAGTTCATTTCACCAAACACGTAAACATCTCCTTCCTTAGTCAACGCAAGAGAATGATGGTTACCTGAAGCAATTTGAACAATGTTCTTGTCATCAAAAAAGGGTGCGTGAGTAGGCTTTTTGATTACAGCTCCACTACCAACATCCTCCGGGTTTCCGGCCTGGCCAAAGTTGTTGAGACCCCATGAAAATACCTTAGAGTCTTGGTCAATAGCGAATGAAGTGTACTCACCAGCATAAACGTCTTTAATTTTCTTGAGTCCAGGGATTTTCAGGGGACCAAATACGTGTGTGCGCAGGTTGGCATTAACGGCCATACCAAGCTGGAACGAAGTGCCCACGCCCCAACTGTAAACATCGCCATTCTTATCAAGAAGAAGGAAATGTTCCTTTCCAGCTGCCATTTTGACAACATGGCGAATGGTATTTATGTGGACAGGTTCACGCTGATATTGAATACCAGTCTTGAAGCTCTTTTTTCCGTCGTCGATAAAGGTACCCCAGGCCCAAAGATGGCCTTCTTCAGTGATGGCAGCAGAGGCATCATCAGTGGCTGCAATATCGACAAAAACAACATTCTCAGGAAGACCCTCGACTAAAGCTGGTGTAGACTCCTTAGAATTAATGATCCAGTCATCATCAATCTCATCTTCAGATTCTTTGGTGGGGCGGCCCAACACACCCGAGTCGTTTTGACCCCATGACCAAACGCGACCAGCGTGATCAAGAGCAATAACATGGGCACCACCAATTGCCAGCTTAACGATACCCGCAGAGTCAATTGGAAGCAATGGGTTAAGACGTGGTCTCTTAACTTCGGTTACCAAAGGTCCCAAACCAAGTTCGCAGATAGACCCTGAGCCAAAAACGTAAACATTGAGACGCTGTTGAGGCAATTCTGGAATGGGATTAAATGAAGGCTTAGTGGATCTTTTAGGGGTAGCCTTGATAACAGCAGCAGCAGTTGCAGCAGCACGACTTCGGGGAGTACGAGGTGCCTTAGGCTTTGGAGAAGTAACGGCAGGAGCTTCAAGGGTAGTGGTGGTGGTGGTAGTGGTTGCTGTAATTGCAGCTGTCGACTTTTTAGGCTTAGGTTCTTCCTTTTCATCAGTCTTAGTACGCGTCTTGGATTTAGGTTTTGCAGTCTTAGGTTCAGCAGTGCTCTTTGAAGTTGAAGAAGGTTCACGTTTAGACGTAGTGGTAGATTTCTTTGGGGTAGAAGGCTGTTTAGCAGTCTCCGCTTTGGATGTAGGTTTTGTTGCACGGCGAGATGTTTTGGCAGTAGATTCTTCAGTCTTTTTGGTGGTTGTGCGGGCTTTCTTAACAGGCTCCTCAGTAGACTTTTCAGGAGCATTGGCAGTTTTACGCTGGCGTTTAGTACGCGTCTCTTTGCCATTGGGCTCAGAGGCAGCGGTCTTGCCGTTTGATCGAGAGCGGGCAGAGGTAGTCGCAGGAGCCTCCTTCTCGTCATGAGACTCGGTCTTTCTTTTGCGAGTAGCTGGCATTTATTCGGCAAATAAAAATAACTGTAATATAGAAATAAACAGGAAGCTAATAGCTATATGGATGAATTGCTTTTGTGAATATATGAATTTTAAAATAAAGAATGGTTTAATGTTAAAAGAAAGGAAAGCAAAAAATTAAAAAATTTAAAAAAATTTGGGGCCCAAAATGCTGGAGGTGATTTTTTCGTTTTCAATTTTTTTTTTTTTCGTGTTTCGTGCGGTGGGCTTCCAAAAATTTCATACTGAAAACCAAAGATGGGCAATTTATAATCATGTGATATATTACAAAATAATCCTGTAATATGTTACTAATAATAATAAAAATATTTTCAAGGTAAGGGTTTTTTTTTATTCTTTTAGGAAAAAAAAAAAATTTTGATCTTTTCATGATTATTTTTTGAAAATCTTTAATCGTGGTTACTGAAATACTTGCTTAGATATACCCTGTATGCCAGGAAGGCCCAAAAGGAACCTGAAAAAATCGGAGTATAAGAAACAGTTAAATTCTGAAATTGCAGAAACACCCTTAAATATAATTCCCAAAAAACGGTCAGATTTACTACTACTAGCAACAATGCCTAAAGACAACTCTTCCAAAAACAAGTCCTTGAGACACAATCCTCTCGAAATAGAACTTAAAGAGAGTGAGGGTAGACTGAGACGTGCCGGGAAAAAAAACGGTGCTACTGATGATGACGCGCTTGAAGACGAAATGGTGATAGATTCCAAGACTTCATCCAAAATTCTTAAGTTGGCCAAGCAACAAGATGATGAAATCAAGGCTGAAGCTCGAGCAGAGATCATTACCCAGAAAAAGCTTGCTTCAGGGCAAATTTCCAGCAAAAAGTACGAGTTTGACGAAGAAGACACTTATGCTGGTGCCTTGGATAGTGACGAAGATGAGGAAGAGGAACAAGACTACAGCGATTATGAGTACGAAGAAATCGAAATCAACCCTGAAGACGAAGCTTTGTACAATAAGTACGTTGGTGGAATAAATGAAGATAGCGATGAGCCTCAGCAGACTCTTGCAGACAAGATTATGGAAAAGATTCGTGAAAAGGAAATGATTATGGCAGGGGAGCAGCCTGAACCTGAGGAAGAGGAAGAAGAGGAAGAGGAAGAGGAACCCCATGGTGTCATGCTTCCTGAAAAGGTCATTGCAGTTTATGTCAAGGTTGGCGAGCTGTTATCAAGATACAAGTCCGGTAAGCTCCCTCGTGCGTTTAAAATTATTCCTACCTTGAGAAACTGGGAAGATGTATTGTACGTTACACAGCCCGAGTCCTGGTCCCCTCAGGCTATTTATGAAGCCACAAAGATTTTTATTTCATCACTGGATTCAAGACAGTGCCAGAAGTACGTGTATAGTGTGCTGCTTGACCGATTCCGCTCAGAGCTGGAAAGCGGTGGTGAAACCGGTGTTGCTGCTTCCAAAAAGACACTCAATTATCATACGTACCGCGCTTTGAAAAAGTCTCTTTATAAGCCTGCTGCATTTTTTAAGGGTTTCCTTTTTCCCCTTGCCGAGTCTGGTACATGCACTGTTCGTGAAGCAACTATTGCTGCTTCTATTCTGGCTAAAGTTAGTGTCCCGGTGTTGCACTCAGGTGCTGCGCTGATGCGTTTGTCTGAGTACGAATATTACTCTGCGCCAACGTCGCTGTTTATGAAGGTGCTATTGGACAAGAAGTACGCACTGCCTTATAAGGTCATTGACTCGGTGGTGTTCCATTTTATGCGTTTCAAAAATGATAAGAAAAAGCTTCCTATTTTGTGGCACCAGTGCTTCCTGGTTTTTGCTCAACGATATAAGAATGATATTACTGAGGACCAGCGTGACTTTTTAATGGATGTTCTTAAGGTTCACAATCACCCTGAAATCACTCCTGAAATTAGACGAGAGCTTACTTCTGGTACTGCTCGTGTTGTGGATACTAACATGGAAATCGATGGTTAAAAAAAAATTAAGAGAATTAAAAAAATATTTGTGGGGTAATTAAAAGAATTTGGGATTTGTTTTATGCATTGAGATGTAGCCAATATATAGACGTTATTAGAAAACGATGCATCGTTTAACCATATGGTTAAAACATGAATTATGAGAGTAAACTCTGTGAAATTCCAAGAGAACAAGGAAACAAGAGCTTGAAGATTGTTATCCGTTATCGGGGCGATAAGCTTAATAATTATTGAAAAGTTTACGTCCGAGGGTTTGCCAGAAGAATGGACTTGTCTAATTTAGAAAAATGCATACTATTTCAAAGAGTTTTTTTTTTTTTTTTCTTTCAAGAAAAATAACTTTGATTGAAACAAGTTCAAAATACTTTGTATATTTTCGGAGTCCAGGTGTATCATCAAGCCACAAAATTGCGAAATCTACTAAAGCTTATACTACATATTGTAGTATAAGCTTTAGTAGTTTAGTACCTCTGTGGTAACCAACCAATCCACATATCAACTTGTCATCCTTACAAGGCGTAAAAATTTCCAAACTTTACATTTTTTTTACTCTTTTATTCTATTAAGTAAATTAAAGTGGAAGTATTTTTTTTAATTTTTTTTATTTTTATTTTTATTTTTACTTTTTACTTTTTACATTTTACTTAACTTGGCTTGGCTTGGCTTGGCTTCATCTCATTTGAATGCAGGTGACAATGAAATTTTTCACTGGTTTTCTTAGATTCCAGTTATAATATGTCAATTCAAACCCATTTTCAATATGTGCAATCCTTACAACAAGCATCTTTAAATTTTAATTATAGGTTTTGATATGTTTCATTAGATATCTTTAGCTAAAAATCATTCAGGAGTATAAATGAAAATATTGAACCTAGGTTTCCTTCTTTCATTTTTGTCAATAAATTTAATCAGCGCAGAATTTTTTTTTCATTATTCTTGATTTTTCAAAATTGCTCATTTGATTTTTGAAAAAAAAAAAAAAAAAAAAAACTAATTGTATCAATTTTTTTTTTTTTTTTTTTTTTTTTGAAATTTTATAAAGTGTAAAACTATAAAAAAAAATGTGGCTTGCAAGGATTTATTTCATAGAAAATAAAAAAAATAACCCTATCACAACCAACAAAAATTTTCATGTCGATAGTCGTCGCCTATTTCTTTGAGTTAAGTTAAGTTGTGAAAATACGTGGGGAAGAACATGAAAAAAAAAAAAAACTTGCTTTGGAAAAATGATTCTCAAAGTCACTGAAGCAAAAATAGTAAAATAATTCATCACGTGGAATCACGAGAGAAGAAAATGTACCCGAGTCAAACGTACGCTGGTTTTCTTTTCATGATATCTGATTGATGGATTGAAAAACCCATTTTTTTTTTGTTGAGAAACAGTGCGATGCATTGAAGATACCATAACTAGCCAGTAAACTTGATCAACTCATGAGTTAAAGCTATTGATTTTAAACGACTAATTAAAACCCATGGAAAACAATTTTTCAAACTAGAAATTGAGGCTTATCATTACGTAGGTTTTTTTTTTTTTTTGATATTTTATTTTTCACGACAATTAAGTTAATTCAATGTCATTATTCATGCTTGTTAATGATTTTAAATCAAAAAGCAATAATACTTTTGAATTCAATTCAAAATAATCGATAGGGTCCAGTTTTTCTTTTGATCTTTATGTGAAACTTTAAAATATATTTTAAATATGGTTAAAAAAAAAAGAGCAACTGTTTGGTCTTAAATATTTATTGACGATCAGTATGTTTACATTTTTCTAATTTTCAAGGAACTAAAAGCTTTGTGAAATTTAAATGACAAAAGACAATTTCTCTTCTAGCCCATATATATATATATATATATATATATATATATATATATATATATATATTTTCAATTAAAGTCCAGTACCCCTAAGCTTGAAAAGATTTAGGGCACGTTGACACAAATAACCGAAGAGAAAGAGAAAGAAAAAGAGCTATTAAATCCCGTCGGGTTCGGTAGAAATATTTACAAGTTTCCTATATTCAATCTAAATCATATACTTTTTTTAAAAGACTTAAATCATGTGGAATTGTATTATAGTAATTATGTTTCTTCATAAATAATTGTTTCGAAAATAGCGGACATATAGTAGAATTGGGATAGTATTTTTAGGTAGCCTATCTTTAAAAGCCTCAAATTTAATGGCTTACGATATATATTCACCGAAGACAATATGTTTTAAAGGACCTGAAAAAAAAAAACTTGACATATTTGGGAAGAAGTGAGCGAGCCTAACTTGTGAAATTATTAAACTTCCATTTTAAGCAAAAAAAAGTCTTCAGCCGTGTAGATAATTTCAATTGAAAAGGTTTGTTCCTGGGTGTACTTTCTTTTTTAAACTAATATGTCTACGAAAACATCTGAAATAAAACAGGTTTAAGTTATGGGACCACACTTCAGAGCTTAATATCTAAACCGTGATTGTTATGTTGTGATTATTTGATTTTTTGTTAATTTCAACATGTCCTAGTTTTTGAAGGGTTAACACGGAGCCCGTCGTAATTTTCTCATTCGGTAGCCATTGTGGAGTGAAATTTTAATCTATTTAAGAATCTATATTTTTCGCATTTAAAATCATTTTTATCCTTTTTCTTTGGCAGCTCAAATAAAAAATGACATTTGAAAATTTTAAATCAAAGTTCCGAAACTTTCAGCAAAAAATTCATCCATATGTTCCTCATTTGAGAGAAATCGATGAGCAATACTTCATTGATAAATTTTCGTCTAAAGAAAAAACAAATAATAGAGAGCAATTTACAGTTAATCAAGAAAAAAATGAGTTAGTTTATGAAGTGCGCGATGAAGCTAATCGAAAGTGGTGGTCACTTTTTGATGAATACGAATATAAAGAGCATCGAGATAAGGAACGAAAAGTCAATCACAAGTGGTATCATTGGTTTGATGAAAATGATTCACCTGAAGAGCGTCGTCTCATTATCAAACTTGATATATTGCTTTGCTTTTTTTCATTTGTCATGTATTGGGTCAAATACCTTGACCAGTCTAACCTCAACAATGCCTATGTATCTGGCATGAAAGAAGATCTTGGCATGAAAGGTAACGACCTGGTTAATACTCAAGTTGTATATACTGTTGGTTCTGTTGTATTTCAAATTCCTATGATGTATTTGATCCACCGATATCCATCAAATATTTTGCTACCCTCAATGGATATTGCCTGGGGTCTGTTTACATTGGCTATTTATCGCTCTACATCTGTTGGTATGCTACAAGCCCTTCGATTTTTTGTTGGTGTTTTTGAGTCTGCTTTTTATCCCACAATTCATTACCTCTATGGTTCCTGGTATAAGCCAGCAGAGTACACACGTCGTGGTGGTATTTATTACTTTGGTCAAATGCTCGGTCTCCTAACTAGTGGTCTTATTACTGCTTCATGTTATGAAAATTTAACGGGTGTTCATGGTTTAGATGGTTGGCGCTGGATGTATATTGTGGATGCAATTATTACATTGCCAGTAGCTGTTTTGGGTGTTTATATGCTTCCTGGTGTACCTAAACAATGCTACTCACTTTTTCTTACAGATGAAGACATTTTTGTTGCTCGTGAACGTTTGCGCAAAGCTAACATTGCTCTTGAGACTGAAGGGCCACAATTTTTTAGCTGGACTCTATGGAAAGACTTATTGTGGAATTGGAAGTACTATGCTTATGTTATCCTTGGAATTTGGGCTTGGAACAATAGTAATGGCAGTTCGGGTGCCTACCTTCTTTGGTTGAAATCACTTAAAGAATACTCAGTTCCGATGATTAATAAGTACTCTACCATTACGCCAGCGTTAGGTATCATTTGGATTTATTTAACAAGTGCCATAGCCGATCACGCGAGATCTAGATGGGGAGCAATTATATTTTCACAAGTGTTTAACCTTGTCGGGAATATAATGCTAGCTGTGTGGTACATCCCTAAGGGTGCTACTTGGTTTGCCTTTTGTCTTCAATACTTTGGTTGGGCTTCTTCATCAGTCATCTACTCGTGGGCTGCAGACGCCATGAGACATAATCCTCAGCAACGTGCCATCACTGTTGTTTCCATCAACATGATTGGCCAAGCAACTACAGCATTCACGTCTGTGCTTGTGTGGAAAACTGTTGAAGCCCCTCGATACCTTAAAGGTTATTCATTTACTTGTACTGTGATTGTGGTTATGATGATTTGGACAACGCTGATGCTTCCATTTTATAAAAAAGATGAGCGCAAGCATGCACATGAACAAGGCATTTTGTTGTATAACTCGGCCAAAGGGGAGACTCCCCCATCAGTTCCACAAACACTGAGCGATGAAGAGGATTACGTTCAAGAACACTTTGTCATTGAGGAAGAAAAAAAGATTTAGAGTTTTCAGTATATAATATATGTTTTATTTGTTTTTTCTATATATCTTAAAGGGATTTTGAAGAACGTTAGGGCTGTTTGAGCCCAAGTCTTCATTTTCCCACTTACTCCCAGATTCTTTTTGAACTCTCATATAAGCCTTACTATTAATTATGTGTGGCACAGTGGCATCTACCATTTTTTCAAGATAGTTGATATTTGGTAAGCTTAGAATAAGCTTAGTAAACTCTATTTTTTCTTTAAATCTGCTTAACTCCAGAACATGGCAAAAGATCAATAAGTGATAACTTATTGTTTAAACAGATTAGATCATAACGTTTCTGATTTTGACTATCAAAGTTTTTGTAAAGTACTTTTAAAAAACCTATTTATTTCTCATAAACTTGCTGTTGAATACATTTACAAGTATATAAAAAAATTTTAAAGTCACTTAAACTAAAATCATAATCCTTTAAATATCAAGTCCAGCTTTCTCTCTACTTCTATTTGACAAGCATGTCAAGTCCTTGAATGATAAAAATATATTGATTTTTAAGTTGGTGTGGCTGGTGGTAAAGTTGAGTTGCTTATTTTTTTAAATTTAGTTTAATTATGGAAGCTATTTAAACTTTATATGTGTGTTAGATTTTAAGTGTGGCGTCTAAAGCTCATTATTATGAATGATCTTGGCTATGATGCATTTTCCTCCATTATTTCCCAAATTTTAATTGACAGTAACTATACCGGTACCTGAAATATGTTCATCCCCTAAAAAAGAAATATATTTTAAAATGATTCAAAATGATTATTTTATTGCACGTTTTTTTTACTCAACTAGCTCGTTTATTTCTAATTTATTCCCACATAGTCTTGTCCCTTGCAGAAAATATACCGTTTTCTTTTAATTCCACTTAATCATCACTCCTTTTACTTGTTTATTGCTAATCGGCAAAAGTTTCTTTTAAAAATCGGTCCTTTTCAATTTTATTTCTCTTTCCCTTTTTACAATTATTTTTCTTATGACGTTTTTTTTACAAATTGTACCTTGCATCTTTGTAAATTATTTCTTATTTCTCTCCACATTTTCAAACTTTTTTTAAAAAAATACTTTGATATTACTCCTAATATATTTTTTATATATAGGAAATTGGATCTGGATAATCTTTTGATGTTTTTTTTTATATAAACACATAATTATGTCACTTTTTTTTTTACCTTCAAGTTCTTATCTATATATCTTTCCTTTTTTTTTTCTTCTTAATATAACTACTTTTCAACTACTTTTTTCTTTCCTATATTTCAAACGATTTTTAATTTCTTAAATCAATATAAAGATCTCAAAATTTTAATTTTAATCTTTAGTTTTTTTATTGAAAACACATTTCATTGAATAATATCTAATTCTTTTTTTTTTTCAAAATGCTCCAAAATTTAACCATTTTGCATAGTTGCCAATTTCTGTGGCTTATTTCACTCAAAATTGTGGCTTGGGTGGAGAGGGGGAGGGTGAAATGACATTTTAAATTCCTAGCACACCTAAACACACATGTTTTCGGGGGAAAGTCTAAATAAGTATGTGACTGTGGCATAGAGCAGAAGTCCTAAATATTTTTCCCTAAAAAAATCGGAGAAACTTGACTTGACCGACTATTTATTTTAATCAAATGTTTCTTCCCTCTTATATTTTTTTCTTCTTATTTGATATCTCTTGTTCGGATATCCGACATAATCACGGGCTCCGGTAACTGCTAACATTGGACTTTTCTCTTCACTTTTCATACGCCACACAAATACTCATTAACATAAACACATTCAAAAATGAAAGATTCATTCTTTTTTTTTTTAGTTTTTGCATTAAATTATATTCATTGCTTAAACTAAATAATTCTAAAGCACCCTTATGATAAAACTCAAAACTCAAAACTATGTGATGGTCTACAGATAAAAGAAAAAAAAAATAATCTTTGGATAACATATGCAGAATCTATGCTCTAACAAATTGTTCTCAATGAGTTTAGAAATTATTAAACAATCGATTAATTTATTATTTTCAAACATCAAATACATTAAAAAATATTGTCATCTTCATAAAAGTCCAATAAATTAATGATAGTACAAGACTGCAATCTACTCCAGACCTTACAATTTAACGGTAAGCCATATTTGAGCATTTTAAATTGTTTGTTTTATTGTTAAAATTATTTTTAATCGATAAGTTTCCGAAACATGATTAGATTTGATTGTAAAAGTTAAAGATGTAGGCCTAGTCTGAATAATTCAAAATTTTACTAGTGATTTCTACGACACATTTAGGATTGATGTTTAGTATAAAATCTACAGGTTAACTATATAGCTTTCCTGCTTATTTGATGATATTGGTACAGCAGAGGCTTAAAGCAACATTAACTATTAATCACTGGAATTATTTGATACAGTAATAAAGCTAGAAGGATGTCAGACTAAAGTAAATAACTAACTGGTTATTTACCATTTAGTCTTTTGCGATGAAATCACAAACAAGAAAGAAGAGAAATATTATGAAATGTTTTAGAATAAATTTACTCCTACGAATGAATAAAAACTTCTTCAACAAAATGGATTATACCTGGTAAACATGGAAAAACTAATAGACTGCATAAGAGCTTGAATTTAGAGTGAACAAAATATAAGATTAGTCATAAATAAATGGATAGGGAGTATTATGCAAGGGTTTGGGTTTTTATAAATAACTTCAAAAAAAGCTTCTAAATAAGATTTTCATATGGGTTAGGTTAAGATATTGCATATTGCATATGGATCTTAGTTTTCCAGTACCAGTTTTCTAAAATACCAAAAAAGTTTATACTCAGATATACAGCATGACTATGTTTACTAAGTCATAGTTAGGTTCAACTAAGAGAGACCCAACTAAAGAACTCATAACTTTTACTTCAATTTTCAATAAAAAACAACCAGAAGTCTAAATACCAATAATCAATTCATTTTCTAAATGGTATAAAACTTTTTTTTTTTGATTTTGGGAAAGTAAATTACAAAAGAAGTTTTTAAATTAGCTAGTCGTTGCTCGAATGAATGACCAAATTACATCTAAGCACCCCCATTTAGATGCTGATTCATAAAGAAAAAAGAAAAGAAGATAAAAAGTATCCCCAGAATAATACCACAAAAACAATTTTTATTAATAATTAAAGTATTATTACTGATAAAAAAAGCTACTATTTTAAATAAAAGTAAGATACAATTAGTTATGTTTTCATTGAAACAAAAGTGCTCTACAAAATCAAAATAGGTTTACTACCATTTAACAATTACAAAGCTATGTTATATTAAAAACAATTTATACTATGAAAGTAAAATAAATTTCCCATATACATCCCAAAAAACACAGTTAAGTTCTATAGTTTTCTAAAAACAGTGTTTGAATACTATAAAATAAGAGAAATTTCAGGAGCATCTCGTTTTATCACTGATAGCATTCATTTAACTAAAATTTCTTTATAAACTATACAACCAAACAGAAATTAATATTTTAAACCCCCAAAAGTTATCTAGAGACTTCTTAAAATATAACAAGGCTATATTAATTATATATATATTTTTTTTCAAGTTTCACAAGAAGAATTTGTTACAATTGAATGATCAATTTATAAAATTGCGTGAGACATACTTTTGTTCAAAAAATCATGAGCTCAATATGTTATTAGTAAAAGAAATGTAAAAAAAAATACCTTTTTTGACTTTCTTTCATATGTAAATTATTGGATGTAATAAAAATTGACCAGTTTCTGTATATTTCTTCAATATAAACTAATACCATAGGGTGATATGATGTTTATTTTAAAACAATTATAAGAAAAAGTTAATATGACTTCTTGGCTTAGTATTGTGTTAGTGTAGGATAAAAAAATATACCAATGTTAATAATTAATTATAAGGAGAAGAAGCTTTTCCATTCAATTGTTGTAAAAAAAAAAAAAAAAAAAAAAAAAAACATAAATGATGAGCATCTCCAGTATATATCCGATACCTCATTGAACTAAAAAAAAATCTCCAATCATATATTTTAAAATTTGGTGTTATTTTTGATTTTAACCCTTGAATAAAAACAAACAAACATTAGTTTTGATTCAAATTTACAGCAGTTGTATAGCATTACCTAATGCCTGCAGACGATGTACAATAAGCCCATTAACTAAAATTTTTCAACTTATTCTTACACCCTTCAGCACTATGTATTCTTTTCTTTTCTTTTTATTACAGTATAATATAATATAATAAAATAAAATTTTATACGATAACAGAGATAAAGCAAGCTATCCCGTTATTCTGCAAGCCACCTTTGAAAGTGAAAAAAAATATTGAAAAATTTCATTTGTGATATAAGTGAGCATATAATTTTTTTTTTCTTTTTCAACAAAGACCACTCAATCAAAGTTGACCTCACAATTTTCATAACACGCTCCAATAGAATAGATAGACTTCTTTTTTTTTTTTTTTCAATAAACAAATTTCTACTATTTTAAATCCTTTAATGTCAAATTTGCCGTAACCCGTCATCAATCGCGTAATTTTACTTATGACTGGCTAGGTTTCCTTTTTTTTCTAAAGAAAAATATATTATTTTTTAAACCATTCAGAAAGAAATGTTTTCTTCTGTATATAATAGTAATAACTTCATAAATTTCTTTGTTTTTTCTTTACAAATAGCCCTATTGACCTGATTTTGAGGTACAGTTTTTCTGTAACCTTCTTTAAAACTACAGTGAATTGGTCCCCCAACTGAAACATTTTTGTAAATGTCGTTACTTTTCCTTTCATCTCCATATTTTTCTCTTAATTTATCAGAATTGTATAAATATATGTATATTGACATTGCAAATTGCGAATTGCAATTATTCTTTTAGGTTCAGGGGATTTTGATTGCCAGAGCTACTATTATTGCTGGTCTCAAGATTAAACACTTTTTGCTGACCAATGGGTACTTTTTTCTAACGCCATAATTTATTTTTCATGAAAAATCCATTGTACTTTAGTTGAAAAATAAAAAAATAAAAAAAAACTAATATTAAAATCAAAATTTTATCCGCTTGGCAAGCTTAGGCTAGTTAACGTAAATGATTTTTTTTATTCATCTTTGCTTAGACATATATATTTTTTACTTTAAAATCACTTGAGAGTATGATGATGTAGTTACAAGTTTCCTTTTGTGGAAAATGTTCAGCCGTTCGCAAATAAATTTATTAAAACCTTTTTTTTTAAAAAAAAAAAAAATTGAGCAGCTCAATGTCGGTTCAAAGGACCAAAGCGATAACGCAAAGGCTTTCAATTTATTCTAGACAAATAGAAATGACTAAGGGAGCCTATGAATGAATATATCTGAAGTTTCTACTGTATCTTATTCGGCTTTTGAAGAAACTGGTGGATATCATTCAACTTAGCCTCGAGACTCTAACTATAGTATAAAAAAGGTCACGTGGAATTGCATTTTCCAGCCTTGCAGAATCGTCATGTCGGCAAGAGGGTTGAGTGAACACAAACAAAAGAAAAGGTCCTCCCTTGCCGAGCATCGGGATGTAATTTTAAGCTCCAATGGTAGGAACCGTTTTTTTTTTATCAAAGTTGTACTTTAAAAAAAAAAAATTTTTTAAAAAAAAAGGAGTCTTCGGAATCAAAACAAACGAATTGAATACTTGAAGTCTGAAATTCGTGGCTTTTTTTTTTAAAAATTTTTTTTTTTTTTAGTAAATAAACCGAAGATCATTTTGTGGATTAAGTGACTAAGCTTTCTAGTACAGATAATTATCTTTCCCAAAAAAAAAAAAATTCTTATAGCCAGCCGTACTTCCTTGTTTTTAAAAAATTTAAAGGGCAGCTTCTCAACAAAAAAAAAAATCCATGTGAAAAAAAAAAAATCTTTCGTAAAAAAAAAAAATAATTACGGTGAAAACCACGGAGAGCTTCTACTGCCCCCTCCAAAAAAAAAAAAAAAAAAAAAAAACATTATACATTTTTAGAAATAGTAGAAAAATGAATAATAATAACAACGTATCTTTCTTGGCTTTTGCTTGGTCGTTTCTTAGCCCAGCGGCTGATGTTCATAATGCGATGACAGTTGCCAAACCTCCCAAGAAATGAACTTTAGATCACCATCATGGCTTCGTTAAAAAAATATAGAGCTTGAGGATTGTATAGAGAAAAGAAGGACATTTCAAAAGTACTCCACAGTTTCTTTGAAAAGTTTGTAAAACAATTCTTTTTTTTTTTAGGAAGGACCAATATTTTTACTACAACTACTATTAGGTACATTTCATTATATGAAATAGTTTATTTGAGCAGTACCAACCGTTGTACCCGATGCTTGCTGCGAGTGACATTTTGTAAAAAAAAAAAAAAAAAAAAAATTGAAGTGAATTTTATTTTTCTTATTCAAAAATCCTCAATCACTCAGTTCATCTCTAAGTGGATACTTGAGCCCGATTAAGAATAGATTGGTTCTAAGTCATTTTAAAAAGAAAAAAAAATGACGGAAAACATGGTTCTTTTTTTTCGTTAAACTACGGATATGAATCCGGAATTAACAATGAATAAAAAGTATTTAAACAAGACCCATTCTCCATGAAATTTTTTTTTTTGCTTTTTTAATTCTCTATCTTCATCAGCTTTCTATTTTTATCATCTTAACAATGACAGTTAAAGAAAAGTTTCAAGGATTCAAACAAAAGTTCAGCAATATTTCGCTTCCCGCATTTATTCCTCGCTTGAGAGAAATCGATGAGGAAGTGTTTGTTCAAAAGTATTCTACACCTCTCGATGCCGATGGCGAGAAAATCCCTAGCGATAATAAGGTCCGTTTCACTTTAGACCGTGAACAAAAGGAAATTAAATATGAGGTCCGTGATGAGGCAAATCGCAAGTGGTGGGCCCTGTTTGACGAGTTTGAGTATAAGGAACACCGTACTGGTGAAAATGTCACTGAGCACAAATGGTACCACTGGTTTGACGTCAACGATTCTCCTGAGGAGCGCAGAGTTATCATCAAGATTGATATTGTTTTGTGTTTCTTCTCCTTCGTCATGTACTGGGTCAAATATCTCGATCAGTCTAACCTCAACAATGCCTATGTCTCAGGCATGAAAGAAGATCTTGGCATGAAGGGCAATGACCTTGTCAACACTCAAGTCGTTTATACCGTTGGTTCGGTTGTTTTCCAGCTTCCTATGATGTATTTGATCCACCGTTACCCCACTCACATTCTTCTTCCTGCTATGGATATTGCTTGGGGTCTTTTCACTCTTGCAGTCTACCGTTCTACTTCTGTTGGCATGCTTCAAGCCCTTCGTTTCTTTGTCGGTGTCTTTGAGTCGGCCTTTTACCCCACAATCCACTATCTTTATGGTTCTTGGTATAAACCCTCCGAGTACACTCGCCGTGGTGGTATCTACTATTTTGGACAGATGTTGGGTCTGTTGACCAGTGGTTTGGTTACTGCATCTTGTGTTGAAAATCTTACTGGTGTTAACGGTCTTGATGGCTGGAGATGGATGTACATTGTGGATGCCATTATTACCATTCCCGTTGCTATTATTGGTTTCTTTGTGTTGCCCGGTGTCCCCAAAAAGTGCTACTCTCTGTTTTTGACTGATGAGGATATTTTCATTGCTCGTGAACGTCTGCGCAAGGCTAACATCGCTCTTGAGACTGAAGGCCCTCAATTCTTCAACATTCAACTTTGGAAGGATCTTCTTTGGGATTGGAAGTACTACATGTTTGTGTTTTTGAACATTTGGGGTTGGAACAACAGTAACGGTAGTTCTGGTGCTTACTTGCTCTGGCTCAAGTCTCTTAAGGAGTACTCTATTCCCTTGGTTAACCAGTACTCTACCATCACTCCTGCCCTTGGTATTATTTGGATTTACATGACAGGTGCACTTGCAGATCACGCCCGAAGCAGATGGGGAGCTCTGATTTTCTCTCAGACCTTTAATTTATTGGGTAATATTCTGTTAGCTGTTTGGTACATTCCTAAAGGTGCGATTTGGTTTGGATTCTGTTTACAATATTTTGGCTGGGCTTCATCTGCAGTTAACTATTCATGGGCATCTGATGCTATGCGCCACAACCCGCAACACCGCGCCATTACAGTTGTGTCTATGAACATGATTGGACAAGCCACCACAGCCTTCACCTCAGTTCTTGTTTGGAAGACAGTCGAAGCCCCACGCTTCCTTAAGGGCTACTCTTTTACAGGAACCGTTGCTTTTGTCATGATGATTTGGGGCACACTCATTTTGCCTCTTTATAAGAAGGAAGAACGCAAATATGCTCATGAACAGGGCATTCTCCTATACAATTCAGCTAAGGGCGAAGTTCCTCCAGAAATTCCTCCTGTAGCTCCCAGCGCTCTCAGTGATAGTGATGAGATTGAACGTGAGCACTTCGTTATCGATGATCTATCTGATGAAAAGAAGCAGTAATTGTTTGGTTGTTTTTTTTTGTTGTTGTTGTTGTAAATTTTCTTTACGTATTCTTAGTTTCCTAATAGATGTTTCCTTTTATAAAAATAGTATTGTGTGAAGTTCTTAAAACGGTGGTAGCGAAGATATTCCGAGTCACGTGGAATTGTCTTTTTTCCAGGCATCAAGACGCCATTGTGATTTTGATGGTTTTAAAACAAAAAAAATAAAAAAAAGGTCATTTTTTGTGTGAGCGGCAGTATGCGCAGAGTGTCAAAATTGGCAATTAGTCAGTCTCAGCCGTACTGATAACTTGATGTAAAAATTTAAAAAAAAAAAATTTTTTTAGAATATTTGAACTGAAAAAAAAAAAAAAAAATTAAAAATTAAAAATTAAAATAATAAAATATTATAATAAAAAGTTAAAGCAATCGGGAATTTGGACCTTTTAAGGGAAAAAAATAAGCAAACAAAAAAAAAAAAAAAAAAATTTAAAAAACCACTATGAATATAGATAAATATTTTTTTTACACAAGTTGTTGTTGTTGTTTTTGTTTGCAGTTAATTCAATTTTTTTATTTTTATTTTTATTTTTTTTTTGATGGACACATTTATAAATTATCTGGTGGGGGCAAAGGGAAGAAAGAACTTTTATTAATACTAAATATATACTATTTTAGTACCAGTTACAGTTCAGTCCCTTGTATTTAAGCTTGAATTAAGCGTGTTGTACTGAGGACGGACCCCACGTTGGTATTCTCCGTATATTATTTATATAATATATAAAAAATAAAAAAAATAAAAAAAATAAAAAAAATAAAAAAAATAAAAAAGACAATTCTACTCACTAAATCTTTTACATCAAGCCAAGACTTTTTGACTTTAAACAAGTCCTCAAGACGTAAAATTTTCATAGAAAATGATTTGTATTTAATAGTCAGGTCTTTAGTTTAAAAGGACATGGATTTCCCTTGGTTTTTTTATTTTTTTTTTTATTTCTTCTTTTTTTATTTTTCATCATCATCATCATTATTCTCTTCTTCTTCTTTTTTCACATCTATTTTTTTTAATTAAAAGAAAAAAAAAATAATAATGACTTGGAGAGATACCTTACGACCTTACTTCCCTCATCTCAAAGAGATTGACGAAGAGTACGAAGCCGAGCGCCTTGAAGCCATCATCGCGACTCGCCGACAAGAAACTTCAGAAAAAGATGAAGAAGCAACAACAGTAACTACTTCATTATCAGAGCCTGAATGGGAGATTCGTGATGAAGCCAATCGCAAATGGTGGGCCATTTTCAACGAGTACGAATACAAAACCAAATCTGAGAAGCAGGCCCAACACAAGTGGTACCACTGGTTTGATGCTAGTGACACACCAGAGGAAAAACGCTTGATTTTGAAATTAGACCTGGTGCTTGCCTTTTTCTCGCTTTGCATGTACTGGGTCAAATACCTTGACCAGTCTAACCTTAACAATGCCTATGTCTCAGGTATGAAGGAAGATCTCGGTATGAAGGGTAATGATCTTGTCAATACACAGATTGTCTATACAGTAGGCTCTGTTGTGTTCCAGATTCCCTTCATGTATCTTATTCACCGCTATCCCACTCACTACATTTTGCCCTTTATGGATCTTGGCTGGGGTCTTTTCACCCTTGCTTCTTATCGCGCTAAAACCGTGGGTCAGCTTCAAGCCTTTAGATTCTTTGTTGGTGTGTTCGAGTCTGCCTTTTACCCTACTATCCACTACCTCTTTGGGTCTTGGTACAAGCCCCACGAGTACGCGCGGCGTGGCGGTATCTACTACTTTGGCCAAATGATTGGCATTCTGACGGCTGGATTGCTACAATCCGCGGCCTACCAAAACCTGCACATGACCAATGGACTTGAAGGCTGGCGCTGGATGTTTATTATCGATGCAATTATCACTATACCAATTGGTGTTATTGGGTTTTGGTCACTCCCGGGGACCCCGACAAAAACTTATTCCATTTTGCTCAACAACCAAGACGTTTATGTGGCTCGTAAGAGATTACGTGAGGCTAATATTGCGTTGGAAACTGAAGGACCTCAATTCTTTAACATTGAACTTTGGAAAAACATTTTGGGCGACTGGAAGTACTACGGTTATGTTATGCTGAATGTTTTATCTTGGAACACCTCCAACGGTTCTTCTGGTGCCTACCTCTTGTGGCTCAAGAGTCTGGGCAGATACTCCATCCCTAAAGTCAACCAATTGTCAACTATTACCCCAGCTCTTGGTATTCTCCACATTTTCACCACTTCCTTGATTTCTGATCTCGGCCGGTCTAAGTGGGGGGCCATCATGTATTCACAATCCCTCAATTTCCTCGGTAATTTGCTTCTGTCAATCTGGGATGTACCTGAGGGAGTCATCTGGTTTGCCTTCTGTTTGCAATATTACGGATGGGCTGCATCTACTGTCAACTATTCATGGGCTGCTGATGGCTGTCGTCACAACCCTCAACACCGTGCCATTACAGTAGTTTCAATGAACATGATTGGCCAGGCAAGTACAGCGCTGACATCTGCATTTGTGTGGAAAACTGTTGACGCTCCAAGATATCTCAAGGGTTACTCGTTCACAGCCACAGCTACTTTCTGCATGATTCTGTGGGCTTCGTTTTTCCTTTTGCCATTGTATAAACGTGAAGAGCGTAAGCATGCGGCAGAGAATGGTATTCTTTTGTACAACTCTGCAAAGGGAGAAGAACCTCCTGTGCCACCACCCAGTGTGTATTCTGAAGATGTGCGATCTATTGAGAATGAAAAGACCGGAAGAATTTTGGAGAATACAGAGTCCAAATGAATTTAGTATTTAATATTTAGTGATGTTTGTTTAATAATAATAATAATAATAATAATAATAATAATAAAACCTTTGTTTCTGATTAAAATTTTGCGGTGATGTAATAAAAGGCTGATGATATTTTGATAAGCTTATCGATAATGAAATCAATTTGTATGTGAGAAGAAGAAGGTCGTAATGTATAATACTTTTTTTTTTTTTTTCTAAATAATATCAAGTTTTAAAAATTATATATATTTTTATAAAATATTTTAATAATCTTATTGTAGATTTTTTATTTTTTTAAAGGTAGGGTAAAGGTGGCAAATATCTTGAAGTTCATTTTGATATTTGGTAATTTTTATTAAACACTGGTTGAGTTTTTCCATGAGAGAATGGAGGGTGTGTATTATAATTTTTCCGAGTGGCTGGTAGTGGTTGACAGTTAAAAAAAATTTTATCATTTTTTTTTTGTATGAGTAGAATGTAAGTTTAATTTTTTTTTATGGGCACTATTTACTACTTTTATTCTTAATTATTATTATTTTTTTCTCCCCCCCATTTTATTTAGTGTGGCGCGTAAAAATTACCCCAGAAAACCAAAAAATAAAAAAAAAAAATTGTTTACCACCTTAGTACAACAGTACCTTACCATGATTCATTATGATTCAAAAAAAAAAAAAAAAACCAATAAAGTATCTTAAGAAGTACCTCAGTTACGCCCATTTCCTAAAAAAGAAATTTATAATAAACTGATTCTGATTAATGATTTCATTGCATACTCTTTTTTTTTTTTTTTTTTTTTTTTTTACTCAACCAGGTAGTTTCTTTCTCTTTCCATTATTAATTTTTTTTATTTACTCAACCAGGTAGTTTCTTTCTCTCTCCCTCCATTATTAAATTTTTTTTATTTACTTAACTAGGTGTTGTCCCTTGCAGAAATCAAACGTCCCTTTTTTTATTTTATTTTATTTTTATTTATTATTATAAATATTTCCCCTTTTTCTAGTTCATTGTTAATCCGGTTAAAGTTTCTTATGAATAATATCTATTTTATTTTATTTTTTTTTACAATTCTTTCTTACGTTTTTTTTTTTTTTTTTACAAAACTTACCTTGAACATTTGTAAATTCTTTCTCAAGTCTTTTTTTTTTGTTTTTTGTTTTTTTTTTTATTCTTCTAAATGGGGGTTTTCCCTCCCCATAAACCTTCCTTAAATGACCAATAATAACGATATTTCCTTTTGTTTGCTTTATTTCATATTAATCAAAGATCCATTCACTTTTCTAAGCTTTCTTATATAAACCCCTCTTTTTTTCCCTTTTTTTTTCTCTCTTTTTTAACTTCTTTTTTTCTTTTTCTCGCAAACGTTGTTTCTCTTTCCTTCAAACTTCTTTCTTTCTTTATATTTATCTTGAAACCTAATTTCTTCTATATTAATCAAACTGTATATTTTATTCTATATCCCTAATTCTTTAATTTTAATTTAATTTAATTTAAATTTCTTTTCTTATTAAAAAAAAGATTCATTTCTTCTTTTTTTTCTTGATTCTCTCTTTATTTTGCTAAAAATTTGACCTCTCAGTAGCCAATTTCTGTGGCTTATTCTATTCAAAATTGTGGCTTGGGTGAGGGGGGATTTAAAAATCTTATGGAGCTCCAGTACTTATTATTATTCTTTTTTTTTATATCTTTTTTGGTGGAGAATCCGAAAATATGTGTGTGGCTGTGGCACAATGTTTTTAGAAAATGAGATCATCTCACATGTACCCAAAAGTATGGCAAATTTTGGAATGTAGATGGTGTTGATGTATGTATATATATATATATTGTTTGTTACATTTCAAGTTTAGTTACACAAAACCTGGTAATAATTACTTAACCGGAGATGAATTGAGTTGACCATTTTATTTTAAATCATTATATCAAATGATTTAGTATTCTTTTTTCTTTCTTTCAATTTATCAAACACTTGATATTATCTTTTTTTTTTTTTTTTTTTAATCTCTTTTATTTCGGATTTCCGATTGAATAAAAAATTACGGGGCTCCGTTGGGTGTACAATATACTTCTATCCGCTGTTGCTTGCATTTTTGGTTTTTTTGGTTTTTTTTTTTTAAATAAACCCTTCCAAGATCCTCCTCACAGCCATGCGCCACACATTGATAAACATCTCTCTATATTACATTTCTGAACGAATTCTAATCCTTTCTGACTAAACTTAGGTATTAACTTTATGTAATCGTATCCTTAACCATACCCAATTTTTTTTTTTTTTTTTTTTTTTTTGAATCAAACATATTGTATTGTACATTTTTAGGGGAACCCCCCCCAAATTATTAGAAAGCTACGCCTATCTAGATGTGAGCGTAGCGAACCACTGAATTTTAAAGAGAATTATTTGTTTGGATTAACATGGGGCCGATCTTGTGTAATAACGTGTTTAAAGAAAGCAAGAAAGAAAAAAAAAAGAACCCACATGGTTGAAAAAAAAGTAGTTTAGTGTAATTACCATGGCTTTGGATAGCAAAAAAAAAAAAAAAGAGATTTATGACATCAATATACGCTTTTTTGTTTTGTTTTTATTTAAAGATAAAGATAATGATGATGAGGATAAGAATCAAACAATTATTTATTGGCTTTGCAATTGATATAATTTCTCATTTCAATGTTAACAAATGCTTATTAATAGAGTTAGTTTTGATAATATTCTAGCTATGTTGAAAAAAAAAAAAAAACCTATATTTGGTTTTTTTTAATAAAATTATGCTTGAAATTACTCAAATGCAAAATTTGTTTGTTTGTTTTCATTCAAGGGTTATAGAATCATATAACATCTGCGCTATCCTTCTTGTCCATACTATATGAATATATGTATATATATCTTTTCATTTTGGCTTCAACATTGCATCTCCAACAGCCCGAAAATAAGTTCTGATGTCAGCTTACGAGGAACAAGGGGGTTAAAAATAACCAAACCTTCCCAACTTATCTCCACTTGTCTTCATCAACGCTGTATTTGTATTTCTTAATCCCTCCAAGCAGAGATAAAGCTTACAATCTCTTGTAAGCCAGTTAAACTGTTTAAGAGAGTCGACATGTCCATCTCTGGAGATATCCGTTTCAATCCTTTTCTTTCATCTTCAAGCAAAGGACACTCAACCAAAATATGATGAACTGGTCCCAGCTCTCCACATTTGCAGTTGTAACCATCCTTTTCAATTCCAAACTTTTTAAACCATGCGCCAAAGTTGCCATGGCCTGTGCGAAACTGAGTAATATTACTCAAGATCCTTCGATTATCTTTCTTCATGATCACTCCCGTGACAATTTTGGAAAGATTATCAGTACATTTCAACGCTGGAAGTGCAAATTGTTTGTTTGTTTTTATTCAAGGGTTTCTGAGAGCGCAATTGTTTGTTTGTTTGTTTTTATTCAAGGGTTATAGAACTATATAACATCAGCATCTGCGCTATCCTTTTATTGTCTGACTATGTGACTTGCCGGTTTTCATTTGTACCTTTTTAGCACGGGTGGTTTCTGTTCTGTGCGTCTCCGGTAGCCCGGAAGATGGGCCCTGATGCCAGCTTACGAGGAACAGGGAGAACCAGTCTGTCGGTCCCAAAACCTTCCCAACCCATTTCCACTTATCTTCACGGACGCCCATGTATTTCTTAATGTCTTCCGCCAGAGATACGGCCCGCAATCACCTGCAGGCTATTTAGACTGTACGGAAGAGTCGGCATTCCTGTAACCAGGGTAGCCTATGGTTTTTCAGTCTAGGTGTATACTCCCGTACACATCCTCAGGAAAAGGGGGTATTCTGGGAATCGAACCCAGTATCTTCCGCTTTTGAGCGAACGTGTTATCCTTTACACCATCTAGCCCTTTCCCTTATTGAGAGTGCAAAAATATTTTGTAAATTGTAAATTCTAAAGAAAATCACGACAAAACAAACTATAAAATTTTGTTTGTAAGAAATCCGATATAGTGTAATGGTTATCACCTCACGCTCTCACCGTGGAAATCGGGGTTCGATTCCCCGTGTCGGAGTAACTTTTTTTATTATTTTAAAATTTTTTTGAAATAAAGGTGTGGCAAATCTAAGTTTTTTTTTTTTTTTCATTTTCCAATTTTAATATTGATATTTATGTTTATTTAAAATTTTTTTTTTTCATTTTTTCTAGGCTTAATCTTACAAAAGATTGTTTTTTTTATTTTTTAATTTTTTTTTTTTTTTGTTTGGCAAGAGTGTAAGTTATATAGTAAAAGAATACTTAAAGAGATTTTTTTAAATTTCAAGTGGTTAATGCTTGATCAAACAAATATTTTCATTTAGAGGCCTATTTTTTTATTTTTAAAAAACTAGGAAACCCTCCTTAAGGAACATAAAATCTTATTTCCAAGCACACGTGGCTAGAAATGAGGTGGGCACCAAAAGACGATAAGGTTAAAAAAAAAAAGGTGTTTAAAAGATGGTTTTGATTGGAATTGTTGTAGATGATGATAATGATTTTTTTTTCTTTCTTTTTTTTTTTCTCAATATATATCTTATTTTACACTGTGTTATTCCGATATTAGTGATAGTTGAAAACTATCTGAGATACTGTTGCTAAGTTCCAGAATCAAAACAAATCCTTATTAAGCGGTCTTTATGTTTTATTTTTGTTTATTTTTTTTTAAAAAAAAGCCAATGTTATTTATACCTAAGACCGTTATGACTAGTTAATTAATAAAAAAAAATCTTCTAGAAGCAAAATGATAACTACCTCAGTTAAACCTCAGTTAAAGTCAGGTTTCCCCTTAAAAAAAAATATGAAAAAACTTGATTGCTACTACTACTACCACTGATTACAATCAATCCAAAGCTGGGGAGTTTATTTATTTATTTATTTTTTTTTTGCAATTTTTGTGTGTCGTCACGGGACGGTCCGTGGCTGAGATCCGAAAGAAAGAAAGACAAAAAAAATAACCCAAAAGGCTGTGTTGATGATGATGATGATGATGATGATGTTGTTGTTGTTGTCACATGAGAGTAAAGCAGCAGTGGCAACATCAGAATCAAAAAGCAGCAGTGGCAGTACTAGCAGAAAGAAGCAGTCAACAAAGACCGGATATCCGAAGTCGGTTTCTATCGGGTTTCCCACCGGACCTCCGCATGATTGTAAATTATCAAAATAAGAAAATCATACTTTAAACGATGACGATTTGCTTAGAAAAAATATTAAAAAAAAAAAAATTTATTTTATTTTTTATTTCAACGGCCAACTTCAATTAATTGAAGTTAAATAACAATATTGTTTAAACAATTTGATAAAAATATATTAATATATTCAATCAATTATAAACATAAAAATAAAAAATATATATAAAAAAAAAACCAGCAAAATGGAAGTTTGCTCTTTTTTTTTTATTTATTATTAAATCTGACGTAGGATTTTGTATATATATTAACAAAAATTAAAAAAAAAAAAAAAACACGAGCAATCTGGGTCTTTTCTTAATTATTATTATTATTATTCAAAAAAAAAAGGCCCTTTAAATTTTAATATTTTTTTTTTTTTTTTTTTTTTAAAAATTTAAAAATTTAAATTTTTAATCAATGACAGCGCCTTTTCTTTTTCTTTTTATATATATTTTTTATAAAAGGGATGTTGTAACAAAACTTTTGCTCTAAAAATGCTTAGTCATAAATACCGAAAGGAGTTTATTTTTATTTTTTATTTTTATTATTTCAGCTGAGTCATCATTTTGGTTAATTTTTTTTTTTTTTTTTTTTTTTTTAAAAATTAAAAGGAAGCCATAATGACATTTCATTTAACAACCCAAATCACCGAAGGTTTCCGAAAAGTTACATTTTATGTGGTAAAAAGTTTTTTTTTTTTTTTTATAAAAAGACCAAAAAAAGACTTGGTTTTTATTTTTTTATTTGTTTTATTTGTTTTATTTATTTTTATATTATTTCCATTTTAACAAACCCAACGTTCATTCATTTCATCTATTCAACTATTCTAAATTAAAATATTCTCCCTCTAGTTTATATATTATATTATAGTACATATATATATATAACTCACTTAATACCCAATATCTATATAATGAACACCGCATTTCTAAACCCAAACGCCGCTGTTCCGTCAGCATCCCATAACTGCTTCTCTATTGTGGCTCCAAGCTCAACCGTCACTCCAATCACTCCTCCATCAGAAACTACCCCATCCTCCATCATGGCCACTGCACAGACAGTGCTCAGAGCACAGGCGCAGGCGCTTGAGCACATCGCTGGTCTCTACACTGCTGATTCTCACACCCAGTCTCAATTTTTCCTCAGTCTTCAGTACCTTCACAATGCAATCCTCTCAAATGGCAAAATCGTCATAACCGGAATGGGAAAAAGTTTTAAAATTGCTGAAAAACTCGTCGCTACACTAAACTCATTAGGCATCCATGCTGCCCCTCTACATCCTTCTGACGCTCTTCACGGTGACCTAGGTGTCATCAAAGCCACTGATGCAATCATCATGATTACTGCTTCAGGAAATACCCCAGAACTCCTTGCTCTTGTCCCACACATTCCTGCAGGTATCCCGGTTCTTTGTCTTACAAATACTCCAAACTCACCATTAGCTGCTGCTCATGCTTCAGCTACTCTCTCAGCTCATATCCCAACTCATTTATCTGAAAAGGCAGTCTATGGTCTTCCCGCTCCTACAACCTCTACCACAGCATGTCTTGCTGTTGGTGACGCAGTATGCATAACATTGGCAGAAATGCTTGAAGCAGATGTGCGTCAGCGTAGTCGCAGCTTCGCGCGGTGGCATCCAGGTGGTGCCATTGGTAAGGACTTCAAGAAGGAGGGTGGTCGCAAGTCTGATTCTAAAGATGACAATGGCAATAATGATGAGGATGACGATTTGGCTCAAGAACGCAGATTGCATTCAATACAACGCAAAATCGTTCCATGGCGAAATGTTGCACAGATTGAAACAGCACAGGATCTTTCTGAAGTCCAATTTCTGCGATCATGTGCAGGTAAACCATGGGCCATTGTCGACTCGCGGTATTTGGTTGCAACAAGTCCTGTTGTTGATGCACTTGAGGGCGAAATTTCGGTAGTAGAAGCTCTTACCAAGGATCCTAATGTTCCTCGACAGGACCTGTTTTTAGTTCACAAACACAAGGAAACCCAGCTGGATACTTTTGACATTGATGAATATGAACTTGCTTTGATTTTGGACGCAGAAGGAAAATACTGTGGTATATACGACGGGCGCACTTAGCAGGATTAAAAAATGAAAAAAAAAACGGAATTTGTTGTATATAGGGGTTTGGTTCTTTTTTTCAAAAATTTTTTTTTTTCTGAAAATGTTTTTGCTTTTCTTTGCACACTAAAAATTTCTTTATTTTTATTTTTTTTTCATTTTTCATTTTTTTTTTTTAAAAATTGGAACAATTGGTTTTTTTTAAACTTGAGAATGATGAATTTAATAGACTTTATTGCGTAATAGCATTAATAAAATCACAATTAAGGTAAAAAAATCATTTAAGTATTTCTATTTTGTTTAGTTTTTTTTTTTTTTTTAATTCAATGTGACAAGTAAGTTACTACTTTCAAAATTGTCATAATCAACTACTAGTTATAACTATACTTAGTATAATGTAGTATATAAAAAAAAGGGTAACCCTTTTTTTTTATATATATATATAACACTGAAAAGTCGTCTGCTCCGGATATATTAGTGGATCCTCTATGCCCTAAAGTTCAACTGTACAATATGCGCGTGCACTATTAAAATTAAATCATCGTGATAGAAATATTTCTCTTTTTGTAGAAAATTTCGTAAATAAGCCAATCATATCCTTAAATTTAATGTTTCTGTTCCAAATAAGTGCGTTAAGACGGATATGTGCGGCTCAAATCTTCTTTTTTTAAGAGGTATACTTGCATACTCTAAAGACAGGTCTGTAGTTAATTAAGACATTTTCATGATTTTAGCGCGATTTCTTAGGAAACACAATAGAAAATGGGCCGGATGGATTTTCAGCATGACTTTCAAAATTGTCATCATCAACTATACTACCCTTTTTTTTTTTATTTAATAATCTAACTTTCGGTGACTTGCTGTCTTATGGATGTACCTTTTCAGTACGAGAATTTTTTTTTTTGTTCAATATGTCCGTCTCGGATATTTCGGAACTTGGGTCTTGATACCGGCTTACAAGGACCAGGGACATCTAATCTGTCGGTCTTAAACCTACCCGATCTATCCCCCCACTTGATCTATCTATGTATCTCCATTGACGCCCGAATATTTCTTAATCCCTTTTCCACCACCCTACAGATGCAGCCTGCAATCAGATGCAGCCCGCAATCACAACAAACGGAAGAGTCGGCTTCTCCAGTTTGTCCGGATTGACTAGGAGGGGTATGCTGTTCTGTAAACTCCCTTTTAGGGAAAGGATTTCTTCAGGAAATCAAAAACTGTATAATTTATGGTAAAACAAATTTAATTTTTCCAAAACACTAACCAGACTTTTTACATAAATCACCAAAGTTGAATGAAAGGTTTATACATGTCACATTAGTGTTATTTATATAGCAATATTGGCACTATGGCCGAGTGGTTAAGGCGACTGACTCGAATGAATTTCGAGATTATCAGTTGGGATTTCCCGCGCAGGTTCAAATCCTGCTGGTGTCGGTTTATTTTTAGGCATTATTTTTTTAATTTTTTTTTTTTTTTTTTTTTTTTGAATGGGATTGGTTATTTGCTCAGTTTCTATACGATGTTAACAGGATTGTTTATTATTTTGAATCTCGTTTAAACAATAATAAAATTATTATTATTATTTTGCTGTTTTATTTGAAGTTTTAATATATATATATATTTTTTTAATCTAAACAGATATGAACAGCGAAGGTTCAGAAGAACTAAAAAAAGATCTTCCAGGGATTTTAACATTTTAAGATTTTAATTTCTTTTTTCTTTTTTCTGTTGCCAAACCACCATATTTCCAGCCCCCTCTCTCCCCCCCCCCCCCCCTCTTTTTAAAAAAGAAACGAAAATACGGAACACAATGCACCAAGGTTATCAAATAAATATAAGACGAAGAACGTAATGAAAATGACATCAATCAAGGGGAAAATAGTTTAAGAATTGAACTTTTAGGCGTTTCTCTGACATCATAAGTTGCATCAATGTGTAATTGAAAGAAAGAAAGAGAAAGAAAAAAAAAAAAAAAAAAAACCAAAAAGAGGCATTTTTTTATGATTTTTTGGGGACGGTAGGAGAGGTTTATTTATCTTTTAAAGTAAACACATACATATAGATACTTACTTTTTGCACTGTTTCAAATGATAGTATTATTATAGTATAAACCTTAGTGGTACTTAGTAAAAGTATCACGAAAATAAAAAAAAAATAAAATTTTTTTTTTTTTTGAACCGATGAAACGGAGTAAAGTGATATCGGAGAAATGAAGAAAGAAACTAAAAAAAAATAAAGTATCAAAAGGGCTGTGGAGATATATCATAATTAGGATTGCAAGGAAAAATAAAAATTTTTTTTTTTAAATTTTTTTTAAAAAGATATTCAAGATTAAATAATGGTCAAATATAATTATTAAAAACAAACAAACAAACAAGAAAAAGAAATAAATTCCTTGACTTGTCTATAATTGGAATCTCTTCAGTCACCCGTTAATAATCAAGTTCCTAGTTTTCAAACATTAGACTTTGTAATTGTGATTATTCAAAAAAAAAAAGAAAGAAAGAAAAAAAGGAATGTTGAAGAAAGGCTTAGCAAAGAGATATTGAAGATGAAAAATAAATAGATGAATGATCAATTTTTTTTCTTTAGTAGCCCTATTCAGACAATCTTCATCATCATAACTACGCAGTAATGACTAAAATAAGAAAGAAATAAAGAAAAATAAAGATTAGGAATCAACTTTATTTTGACAAACTTTTTGATTACGAACCATAAAATAAAATAAAATAAAAACAAAAAATTGATATACAAAATTCTACAGAGTCATTTATTTTTTTTTTTCTTTTTTAAGTGATTGAACTTGGGTTGTAGCTGAACCAATCCAAGTACCTGGTCAAAAATGTGTTAAAAACTCATGAAAGGAATGATCAATATATAAGTACAACAAACGTCAGGCATCAAATTTCAAAGAATAAAAAAAACAAACAAGAAAAAGTGTTGTTTGTTTATAACATAGCAAATAAACGGACAAACTAACCAAATAAAACACCGCAACCTATCCCCGTTTTTTTTTTGTTTACATGTTGCAAAAAAGCAAAAAAAAAAAAAAGCATCAAAAGCTTGATTAGTCAAGCTGATTAACAAACGTCAGATAAACCTGCTATTCATATATTCTTAAATAGAGAGTTATTAATTCTTATTAATAGACAAAAAAAAAAAACTCCTGACAGATATTAAAAAAAATAATGATGATACTACCGTAACAAAGTGTTATTGGTTGACCTTAACCTGTTAAGAATAAGAAAAATAAAATAAAAAATAAAACATTTTGGCCCTAAATTTGAAATGACATGGATTTAAAACGGTTGTTCCAAGTTTGGTTAAAATACCGATAATGAGAAAAAAAAAAGTATTGGTATCGGTTGAAGGTGTATGCGGCTAATGGTACAAAGCCTATATATAACCCACAAAATATAAACTACTAAAAAAAAAACAAAGAAAATGAATTTGGCACAGATAGCTTTCCAAATTACTTTTATTTTTCTTCTTATAAATATTTAAAGGACAGCTAGCTTTTTGCCAAGTTTTTTTTTTTTTTTTTTTTTTCAACTATTTCATATAACTTCATAGTTCTTGGTTATTGTTTACGATATCTTAAAAAGTTCAAGTTCAAACAACAACAAGTGTAAAAAGTTTAATTTTACCAATTTTTTTTTATTTTTTTATTTCATTACAAAACACTGTAATCTTCATAAAAAAGCAACACCTTCCCCTGATATCCATTTTCTCATCTTTACTTGATAGTATAATTATAATATCCCAAGAATATAGAAAATTTATGAATACCTATTGCTCAGTTTTCAACTTTAAAGTTGAAATAATAATTTTTTTTTTTTTTTTTACAATAAGAAAAATACTTATTATTATAATAATATTTCAATTTTGAAATTACTAAATACCTTTATTTCTCTTACCATGATAACCCCATATTTATTTTAAAACAAACCTGCCGTTAAAAGATCACCACTTTCATTGTTATTCATCGGAATGAATTCGAGAACAAAAAAATAACAAATATTTTACATTAATAATATCTCATCTAAAATTGGTTTTTTAAGATTTGAATAAAAAAAATACCAAATACAAACAAACTATTAAACATTAAAGATTTTTCTTTAGTAGTCAATATTCTAACTTTTGATAACGAAAATATACTGCTAGAATAATTCAAAACACACAAGTTCGTGTTTCTTGTAAGAAGAAAAGTTACTAGAAAGAGTACTCGATGAAACAAAGACAGTAACCTCCCTAAAGAAAATTGTGGCACGTCGGCGCTCAAGGGTGATTTGACTGGAAGATAGGAAAATTTGGAAGGAAGAAAGACAAAATTCTTGATCTTTGAAGCAATCTATATTTCATTAGTTTCAAAATCCCAAAAGTGGATTGTAAGTGAAATTCTTCTGGCCTTAACACTAAATACCTAGTCAATATTAGCTTGTCTCTTCTCAAGAATCTTAGGAGTCGAAATTGCATTTCTATCCACATGATCTCAAAGAATAGATATCCTTAGAGTTATGTTGTTGCTCTTCTTATTTTTTGGCTCGCCTAATGATGGTATTAGAAGTGTCGAAAATTCTTCTTCTCATTGAGTTGTTTTGACGCGCCAAGTATGCACTTCTTAGGACACCCGTGCCTTAAACATGTTTTACTCTCATCGTATAAGCCAATCTTTTCATCATTATATAATTTACTAAATTAAACAGATTGAATAAACAGTGAGGATTAACGGGGAAGAAAGGGTCCATCCGAAGTTTAAGGAGTATCTGAATCACTTGCTCTATAAATCATTGGGTTGTAAGTATGTATATCAAAGCAAATTGAGAAAAGAATATGAGAAATAAGGTGGATCTAGAGTGTATTATTTGTAGAACGAGAAAAGGAAGCAGAATGAAAAGAAAAAAGGAAGATGCCAGAAAAAATAAGAAAAAAATTGAGAAATTAAAAATTTGTGACTGGTTGAAAAGTAATCTTAAAAATGTATCTGTAAAGACAAGGTAGTGAGTTTCGATTTTATGGCATTAAATAATAGTCGCCAGAAACAAAAAACAGTATAAATAAAGACGGAGCAGCGGTAGCGAAGCAAGAACAAAATTTTGATTGTGAAAGGCAGAACTGCATGACTCTTTGGAGAACCGACATGTTCATAACAACGCTGAGGACAGAGCTATGACTACAGGAAATTCAGATGGAGCTACAGCAGCGATGACGAAAAGAGCCTTTTTAGGAACTTTTGTAAAGGAAGCTAAGAGCTAGCATGGGAAAAGGGTTGGGACCTCGTAATGGCAGACAGAGGATAGTTAAAGTTTGGAATATGTGAAAATGTTTTTTTGTATAAAGTGACAAAAGTGCCAAAAAAAACCTTTTATTAGCAAAGTAACAAGAATGATCATGTTTTTGTAGACGAGAAGAAAAACAGGACCTCAAGACCCCGGGGTTTCCCCAAAAAGATTGCTTCAACTAGTAGTGTTCTCGATAAGCATCAAAGTCCTGTAAAACAGATGCATCTTTTCAGAGAAAGGGCAAAAGTAGTCTTGTAATTGCCGTCCATAAAACTTGTTTTCAAGAACTTTTGACGAAATGGGAACTTAAAGAGCAAAAACTGTTGGGTGTTTTCTGGTCTCGAGATCTCCATATTTCTTAACAGTAGAGAAAGCTGAATTTCAAAAGAAAATGGCAAGAATGGGTATGATACTGGGTGCTGGCTGATGAAGAAAAGAACCACCGAGATACAATCAAGGATAGGAGTCATACGATAGGTATGACTACTCAGATCTTTTTAAACAAATAGCAAATACCGGACACGATATATCGGATCGAAAACGTATATAAAAAAAAGAGAACTTGCAAAAAAGATCACAAAGCCGGGGGAAAGCTCGATAAGGTTGGTATCAAAAAACCAAGATGTCAAAGTCATATTGTTTCTGATACATTTTCCTTGAGGTATGATATGGTGAGAAAGATAGACATGTGTTTTCGGAGTAAGACGACTATTGTTCTAGTCTCCACGGCTAGAAGTGAGACGATGATTCGATTACCCCATCCAACTTAGTGGTGTGTTTCAAAATCGGGAAACGAGTTCCACAGGTCTTCTTGAGTCAGTTCCAATAGCGGAATAAATTCCCCAATACATAGAAAGCAGACTGAATATTTAGAGAGAAGTTGGATTGTAGATTCTTAGTATCGGAGCCATTTAATTATGGTACAAAATATAACAAAAGTATTACTTAGAAACAATCTTCAGGCAATAGTGTAAGGTTAAAAAAAATCATATTTAGGTTAAATAGAAAAGGTTTGAAGGTTTCAACACAGAGACTAGGATATTTCTCGCAGTTAATAATCAATGGAAGAGGTAATTTGTTTTCGATAAGGTAAAGAAGGTATTAAAAATATGGATTAAATGAGCTATTGACCAATATATCTAAAAGATAGATAGTTATTCTATATAGATACATATTATCAGTTTTCTCTTAAATTCTTATTTGTAATTGATCATCTTCAAGAGAAAAGAATTATTTTTAAGAAAACTTCAGCCACTTCATGATTTAGTTTGTATAAATTAGACAATAAAAACACTAGCTATCTCGAAACACACTTAGTTATTTATAAAAGGATGAATTTTTGTGATTTATTTCTGTGAACTTTAATGAAATGATGAAAAGAGAGAGAAGAACTTGTATATGCACTAGTTTAGATATTTTGATAAAGATAGGGAAAGCATTACTTGTACAACAATGTTTCCCCCTGGACTCCACACCTCACAAAAAAAAAAGTGGCAGGGAAATGCATTTTTCACCAGTGTTATATGCTTCCCAAAAGACAAGTTGATTACTTTAATGAATTTATTTTTATTGGAAGTGTTAAAACTTCGTAGCATTTTTAGCTCGTTTGTTGTTTGATATTGGACGTTTTAATAATGTTAATTTGTTTTAACATTAATAGGTTTGATATCACAGAATATTTTGGGGGTTTTTTTTCTTTTTTTTTTTTTTTTTTTGACTATTGTGACTAAGGTCATTAAAATAAAATAGAAATAGATTTGACAGTAAGATAATACATGAAGGTCTCAATTCATGAATGAAGATAAAGATAAGAATGGTTTTAAAATGATACCGTAATTATGAATATATTTTTAAAGCAGTTTATATCGTTAGAAATATTTTGTTGAGTACCAATTTGAAAAAAACCTTTGAAAAGGGTGTTGTATGGAGGAAGCCAAAATTATGGGAAGTATTTATGCCAACCTGAAGCCAAAAAACTTTTCAGATTCCAAAACTTTGGTTCAAAATATCTTACTTGTTTTCATAAAGTAATTAGTTTCTTAGTACCGGATCATTGGTCTTTCTGCTCGGCTCACAATAAAGTAAAATCATCTAAACGATACACATCACATTATTTTGTTTGAGGTTACCTAGAAACTGGATGATGTCCCTATGGTATGAGGCTAAGATTGGCTTATATTTAAATTTTAAGCTTATGCATTCAGTTTAAAGTATTTTTTTATTTATAAACTTTTATCAAGTACAACGTGAATCAAGCACATCCTGGGCCAAAAAAAAAAAAAAATGATATCTCTTTATCAGTGACATTCTCCTTATTATACGTAAGTATTTTAGTTTCTAACATCCACCCATTTGGTTTTGGGGGAAGGATCTACTTTCCCGAACAACTTAATTAAGGCTTCAGTTTGTTTATTACTATCAATGTTATTTCTGTCTTTAAAATGCGAGGTATCTATTGGCTGATAATTTGGAGCCAATTAAAAAACGTAGCACAGTAGGTACAAGTATGCTATATGCTATTCTATTTCTTTGCTGAGGTATTTTTTCAAGCTAGTTGTCGAAATTATTTTAAGGAGAAATAATTATAACTTTGTTTACGACTGAAGTTTTTTTTTTTTGTTAAGTTCAGGTTCAAGTAAGGGCATTAGAAGCTCAAACTTTAATTGAAAATGTCGCTAGACAAATAAAAAAAATGGTGTTATTTTAAAAAAGCAGTCGCATTCCAACATCGGTTTCATATCTAAAAAGGAATTTTTGTGGGCAGATGAAAAAAAATGAAATTAATAATATAATTGACATGATATCTTATTTGAAAAAAAAAATCGAGAAATAGAGATTTCATTAATCTATATCAAGACATTTGGTTGAACTTATAATATTTGAAAATACTATGAATTGAGAAGACTGGTTGATCATATCAATTGATTGATTTATAAAAGTGTATCTTTTAAATACACAAATTATTTCTAAAAATACACTAGATCTATTGAGGCTATTGAAATAGGTATATTGTAATTGTCACTCCAATGAAAACTTCAATCTAGTGGCGATATTATTGAAATTATGTAAGAACATGGTGGTTTGACCGAGTACCTAATTAGGCTTCCCAGATTTCTTATCTAGATAATAATTATCTAAATAAGAAATCTGGAGAACGTCAACAATTAAAGTTTGTAACAAAAGGTTGTAACAGTTTCATTTGAGGGGCCCATGTAAAAATTATTTCAACATAAAGTCAAATTTAACTTTAAAAGCAACTCTTTAAAGATCAAGGTTCTTAATTGATTGAATTTTTTATAAGTTTTTAAATAACCTTTTCACCTTATCATTTGCCAAAAACTAATTTTTGTCATAGTAACAAATCAATAGACTTGATATTATTTTTTCTTTATAAATTTAGTTTTCATATGAACATATTTTAGCTACTTGAAGGTGCTCATTAAGATTGATTTTTTTTTTTTTTTGATAAAAGAACATAGGCGACGTATGTACTTTGAAATGAAGTGGATTCATGGGGTGATGTAAGCCACCAATTTAATTAGCAGCTGAAATTCAGCTGCTAATTGAAAACAAAAAATGTAAATTTACATATTTTTGTTTTCAAACATCTTCTTTTTAATAAACTACTTTTTCTTTTTCTTTTACTTTTTCTTTTACTTTTATATTTTCATTTTCATTTTCATTTTCATTTTCATTTTCATTTTCATTTTCATTTTCATTTTCATTTTCATTTTCTTTAAATCTAACTATCGAATATTTGATGAAAAAAATCAAAATAGCTAAAACTACGCCATGATTGAAATTTATAGTCAAGTTTTACTGCAATTTTTGCTTACCATTATTAACGTTCTTTTCTGGATATTTTGTTATGTGCTCATCAACTTTCTTTCCATTTTTGACAATCCTGCTACCCAAATGGCAACTGTTCTTTGCTCAATCAGCTCTTTTTTAAGTACCATATATATGGAGATTAAAAGACGCCAATTGAGAAAAAAAGATGAAAGCTATTTGCTATCAGACTACCCAGCACCACCACCAGAAGAACCAAAACTACAAGAAGTAAAAATCACACAAAATGCATACAATCCTGGGGAAGAAGGAGGTCCAACAGTTTTATCAGGTCTCCCAAAAGGTAATAAGCTTCACGTGGGAGTCACTATGCTTTTTTTCGTTTTATTGGCTTTGGTACAGTACGGGCCTACCGCTCTTGTCTTGTTACTTTCTTATCTGGCATCCCCCGAGCCTGAAACATTGGTTTCGCTAATTAGTGAAGCATCAAAAAACTATACAAACTATCAACTTTTTCAAGGCGATAACAGAATTTCACCTAAAAACCTTTACTATGAACTGAATGTCAACTATACTTCTTCTGATTACACAGAGACATATGATCAAAGCCGTTTGACTCAAAGTTCGTCAGCCTTTTATAATCCATGGTTTTTGCGTGGTGCTGAAGTTTATAACTACACTTTTGATAATGGAACCAAGGTGACATGTGGACTTGAGAATAAGTGGGTTGATACAGTGATGCAAGCGGGCCCTGTTACTCATAGATTTTTCTCACCCATTGTTCCATTTATTCCCCGCCCTATTTGCCAAATTCTTAGTGAAGAAATGTACACTTCTAGTCCAACTGTGTCATTTATTACTCAACTAAACTATTCCAGCTCACAGCCAACTAACTTCACTAATACTTATTTAAATCCAGACTTTGTGGGGTATCCGGGTGAAAACTATACCTTGTTTATGACGGCACCAGATGAAAAGAAAATCTTTGCAACAACCATTATGTATGACAGTTCATCCTATGCCAGCTTCTCTGTGTCAACTTTAAAAAAGGATTCTTCGGAGGTTCAGCCTAGTTATTTTGAAGATTCAATTACATTGTACAACACAAGTTTTTCTGATCCAATTGTTTGGTCTATCCTTAACAATGATACTTCAAGTTACGCTTATTACCCTTATCAAACAATTCAAACTGGCTTGGAAGATTTTCTTGTTTCTGTGAATAACGAAACTGATAACAATCCATGCCTGGCATTTACTGTGATGAAAAACGATTCGTCTTCTAGTGAATGGTTTTCGTATAATACGGTTATTATGAGCTACCGGAACCCTGTAAAAAGTGTACTACTTACACAGCTCAAGTACCGAGTGCGAACGCTTGTTTATGACATTCAAACAGATTCACCAGACCCACAACCTGTTTTAGCGGTATATCGATATTCCAACAGCAGCATGAATATCCGAGTTCCAGGACGATTTTATTCAATTGTGTCAAATATTAAAATCAGTCCTTTTTTGTATGGACCTCTGCAGCGTGCGACCGGTTACACTATTGAAGGATACGACTCGACTTTTTACTCTTACTCAGGCCGTTTAAGATACAATGTTCAACCTATCATAATTACCATTTGTGCAGTTGCGGGTGCTTCAATTTTAGTATATTTCGTATCTAGAACTGTATTGAGAAAAATTCCCCAAGGAATCCCATCTTATTATTCACTTCTCCATGAGTACCATGAGGGGTTAGGCCATTCTACATTGCCATTATCATTTATCATTAAACCTGCATATGAAGGTATGGGATTTGAGGATACATTGCAAGCAAATCATATTGGCGTGCTAAGCAAGGACGCTTGTTTAAAGGGGCCCATTTCTGGAGTGAAATATTCATAAAGGGTTATTTTTTTTTTCACTATAATGCAAGCATATAGTATTAATGGTATAAAAATTAATTAATAGTTCATTTTAAACTTTTCTCTTATAAGGTATTATTTGGAATATTTATCTGATATAGCAAACTTTCAAGATTTCTAATTATATCTTTTAGACCATTGTTTCCATCATTTAATGACAAAAAATTATGGGTGGTTTTGTTGTGTTTGAGTTCAAGATTGTGATTTTTGTTCCAAAGTTTCTCCAAATAAGGCCATTAATTTCATCCAGATTATTTCACTGTTTTATTAATGACAAAGTTTTTCATTTAATTATTGTAAAGTATGGTATTATAAAAAGAAACCATTAAATCATTTTGGCAAAAAGTGAAAGGCTTTTCATTTTTTTTTCTTCATGTTCTATATCATTTATGAAAAAAAAGGTATTCTAATGTTAACTAATTCAGTATTTTGTCATTTCGTTTTAATTTTGTTTCTTTAAATGAAATCTGCTTGGTTTTCTTTTTAAATGATTAGCTCAATCTATAGTAAGAATTTTGGCGCATGAATGCACAAAAAAAAATAAAAGAAAGAAAGAAAGAAAGAAAAGGCACCTGGCATATTTAGATTCTATTGGCAAGTACAGGACACTCTTGTATTGAATTCGTTTAACAAACAGCAAGCATACATTGAGCTTTAAACATTTGGACTTAAGGGTAATAAATACAGAAAAATTAAGCAAGGGATGAATTGATTTGTCATTAAATTAAGGAACAACTAGAAGCATCATCCATGTGATTGAGAAATTCATTAACTACCCATGAAGCTTTTTGATTTTGATTTTGATTTTGATTTTGATTTTGATTTTGATTTTGATTTTGATTTTGATTTTGATTTTGATTTTCTTTTTTATATCTTTTATGCTTGTGAAGTTTGTAAAAAGAAAGCGCACCACCGTTCACATCCTTTTTTCCAATCTAGACTTTCTATTTAACAAAAATGCCATTTTATCCCTTATTTCTTAGATGAAACCAATAAAAAAAAAAAAAAAAAAGAAGAAGCCACGATAATATGCAAAAAATGCTTTAAAGAATGAAAAGTTAAGCATGCAAGCAAGTAAACCTTAGAAGATGATAAAATATTGAGACTTGTGAGTTGAGACTTTTATTAACCATAAACTATGACCTATTTTGTTAACTATTTCAAATTATTAATAATGGAAAAAAGAAGCAGTTTTAGGAGTATTATGATTATCACTGTATTACTAGCTCCCCTTTTTTTTTTGGGTAAAAGCCAAATAAAGAACATTTTATTTTTTCTTTTGTTCGGATGGATCTTTTAATGTGAATTTATAATATTAATTTATGTCAATAATTGCCAATATTGTTTTAAGAAAACAAAACAAAACACAACAGCAATAGCAACAGCAACAGCAACAAATGCTGAGATTTCTTTAATATTCGGATAAACTTGAATAAATATTAAATATATTATATTGAATATATTCAAACATTAAGCTATATATAAGCTTATATATAGCTTACATACTAAAGAATGCATTAAAGATGGAAAAAAAAATTGAGGCTAGCTCTATATATTAATTTTAAAGAGGAGGAGGATACCATTTGCAAATAAAAACAAAGAGGTATAAGAGAATATAAATTTCCAAAATAAAAACGAGCCAATAATTTGGAAAAAAAAAACGGTGGTTGCAAAAGTCATTACTGGTACAAAGTTTAAGAAATTCTTTGAGACGAAAGAGAAATATATTTGGGAGAAAAAAAAAAGGTTGCTATTGAAAGAAGCAAGAATCATACGTATACTGACCCTATAAGGAAAGACAAATACAAATATAGATAAATTCATTACAAATATTTTAAACGGCCGGTTTATTTCAGGCTGATTAAAAAATTGTTTTTTTTTTTTTTTATATTAGAAAAATGCTTATAATTGTACATATAAAAAGAGCGTATAAGTGTGAGATCGTGGAAGATCTATAACAAAGGCAAATTAGGAATTTAGTTTATTGCCGTGAATTTCTTATTTCTAGTCACTATTGGGGAAGTGTAGCATGGGATTAGTTTGATAATAGAAAAGAAGAAATTCCATAGGCAAGATCTTTTTTTTTTAATTTTTTTTTTTAAAGAATCTATATATATATTAAAAAAAGAATTGTAGTTCTGTATTTTATTTTCTTTTAGATCTTCATTTTTTTAAAAAAAAAAAAACAATTTAAAAAGGGCAACTCTGTTAGATTGAAAAAAATAGATTTTAACTAAACTAACATAAGTTTAAAGGAAAGTTGCAGAAAGGGAAATAGATGAAAAATAAAAAAAAAAAACAAATTTTTACTGGAAAAGATGATATATGTAGTATATACAAACGTTTAAAAGGAATAATTAATTAAAATAACAGTGACCAAAATACTTTTTTTTTTTTTAATTAATAAGAGAATTTGATTTCTGCATAAATATGATACGAATTATTATTTATTTATTTATTTGAATTTTTATTCAAAGGTTATAACAATTAAAAACTTTTTTATTTAATAATGATGACCAATTTAAAAAAAAAAATTATAATTATAATTTTTTTTTTTTTTTTTTTGCAGGAGCAAGTATAGAATTGCAATACTAGAAAAGGAATTTATTTAAATGTAGTATTAAAATTAAGAAGAAACATTTACAGAGCGACTCAATTATTTATAATAATGTATGATTGATGAGGTCAATTACATGCAAGGGGTTAAGAGAGAAGAGATAAAGCAATTAATATTATGGAAATATATCAATTTTGATAGATATGAAAGGATCTGTTTCAGTAGTTAATTCTATGCATCTAAAAGAAGAAAACAAATACGACATTTTTTCTATGGGAATATATCCAATGAAGGAAATAGGAAATAGGAAATAGGAAATAGGAAATATTAATTAAAAGAAAAAAAAAATAAAAAAAAATTATTTTAAATTGATTTTAAAGAAAGCTAGATCTAGATCTCTTTTTTTTTTTTATAAAAAAAAATATGAGGTTATATATAGGAATAAGAGAATCAATTAATACATAAATAGAAAAAAAAAATAATAATAAAAAAAAAGAAAAAGAAATAGAAGATAAATTTGGGTTAGATTGTATTTATATGAGATCCAAAGTTACGGAATTGGAAGATTAAAAAGAAATTCAAGTTTAGATACAAGCAACCAAGGTAAACTTAAGCTTACCTTGTAAGCAAGAAGAAGAGTTGTGAAATATATATATATATATATTTATTTATTTTTATTTCTAAATACTTTAGCGATTTTAAAAGTTAACCGTTTTTGAATAAAATATTATCTGTGTGTGAAAAAAAAAAAAAAAAATTAAGAAACTATTAACTTTTATAATGCAACAATCCAAACCATTGGGTTAAGCATAGTTGAAAAACTTTTGTGATTGGAAAGATGGGTTTAGTTAAGGTGAAATTTCCTGTTAATTTTTTAATTTTATTTTATTTTATTTATTTATTTTTTTTTTAATTCACTGAAAAATTTCTAGGGGTATTTTTTTTTTTTTTTTTTTTTCTGATAGAATAAAAAAAAAAAAAAAAAAAAAAAAAAAAAATTTGTACCTTAGATAGCTTAATGTTAAGTTTTAAGTTATAAGCCTTAATATCTAAATTTTATTTTCTTTTTCATAATTTTTCACCCTAACCCATATTAATTATGTCAGTTTAATTAATTAATTAATTAATTTTTTTTAAAGATATTAATTAACTATTGTTGTTATTTTAACCATTTTAACAAAAATTTAGAGGGGAGGTGGGAAGGGTTATAGTTACTTTTTAAGTTTTGTTATTTTAACAAAATGTTAAATTTTTAACATGAGTTAACTTATTATTATTATTATTATTATTATTATTATTATTATTATTATTATTATTATTATTATTATTATTATTATTATTATTATTATTATTATTATTATTATTATTATTATTATTATTATTATTATTATTATTATTATTATTATTATTATTATTATTATTATTATTATTATTATTATTATTATTATTATTATTATTATTATTATTATTATTATTATTATTATTATTATTATTATTATTATTATTATATAATACTATATATAGTATTATTTGGAAATAAATTTTAAATTGATAATAAAATTTTTAGTTATTATCAATTACAAATACCGTTAAAAAAAAAAAAAAAAAAAAAAAAAAGGAAGGTTTTTGATATGTGCTCTATGCTTCCGTAGGTACCTTGAAATTCATTTATTATGACTTGTGATAGTATCTATACTGACAACAAAGAAAGTCATCTCGTTTCATTTCATTCCATTTCATTCCATTTCATTTCATTTCATTTCCTGTTATTGTTATTGTTATTGTTTTTTTTTTTTTTTTTTGCCCCTTAATTTCTCAATTTCATTATTATTATTCTTCTTCTTCTTCTTCTTCCAATTCTTTTCCTTCTTCTTTTCTTTGTCTTTTATCCACTTAGGTTCTTCTTCTTCTTTTAATCTCTAAAAATAAATACAAATCATACAATTGTTAACTGTTGAGCTATTTATTTTATTTTATTTTATTTTTTTGTTTACTTTCTACTTGGGGTTCCGGTTTTCACCGTTATTTTATTTTATTTTATTTTATTTTATTTTATTTTTTATTTTATTTTTTTTAATAAACAAAAACCCTTGACTGTATTTTACAAAGTCCCATATTGTTAGTTAGTTTGTTAATTATTTAGTTTGTTAATTAGTTAGTTACTTTTTTTTTTTAGTTAGTTACTTAATCACTTTTCTTTCTTTTTATTTTTTATTTTTTGGCCCTGATTCGTCAACTTATATTACTAGTATATATATATATACATCAATATATGTATATAAATATATGTATATACCCCTTACATCCCTCATCGCCTTCTTCTAAACGACCCACTGATATGATTCATCATCATCATGACATGTTTTTTTTTTTTTTTAATTTTTATTTTTATTTTTTTTTTTTGCTTCCCACATATAAATCATTCGGTTGTAATGTTGATATTCTGATACACACATATATTTATATTGAACAATCTATTTTACTTCTCAAAAAAAGGAAAAAAAAATTTTTTTTTTTTAATAATTAACATTATCTTTAATCTCATCATGATGATCATCATGATATGATTAATTAATTATTTTTATTTTTATTTTTATTTTTATTTTTTTATTCTTATTTTTGTTTCAACTTAGTGTTAACGACCCAATCACGTGGCAATTTCTTTATTTGTAACTGTGCATAGTTTCCGTGAACTCCCCCCCCTCCCAAAAAAAAAAAAAAAAATGGCAGGATTGTTGCTGCTGCTACTGCTACTGCTACTAATACTACTACTGCTACTACTAGTACTACTACTAATACTACTAATACTACTACTAATACTACTAATACTACTACTATTACTACTACTGCTGCTACCGCTACTGTTGCGCATATGCTGCTATTAGCTACTGCTGTATTATTATATACACGCATATCCATCAAAAAAAAAAAAAAAAAAAAAACCAGTATGAGATGAGCAATCCCGCCGATGAGCAAACAGAAATGTTTAAATAATAATAATTTATATCATTAAAAATAAAAATAAAAAAAAAATATTAAAATGCAATTATTAGTAGTATTACTAATAATAATAATAATAATAATAATAATAATATCGTGAGATTTAAAAAAAAAAAAAAAAAACTTCGTTTTTGTACAATAAACGTACGAGCAATCCCTTTACATTAGAGAGAAAGAGAAAAACAAAAAAAATAAATGTCCAGAAGTGTCAAAATAAGAATTTTTTTATATATAATATAAAAAAAAAATGAAAATATCATAAACTTTGTAAAGTATTTTTTTTTTTTTTTTATTATCGTTTAAGTTCAAAGCGTTAAAAAGAAAAAAAAAAAAATATAAACAAATTCACACAAAAATATACACAAAAAAAAAGAAAGAAAAAAAAAAAAACGATTTCAAACTTTGATTATCAAAGTACGCACTTCTCTTTTGAAAAATATAAAAATATAAATAAATAAATAAAAAAAATAAATAAATAAATATATATATATATTAATTTCTTTTTTATATATGTTTTGATTTCTTTTTATTTTTGGATACATAATTATATAATTATTATAACTTTTTGTACATATTTATTTATTTTTTTTTTTTTTCAAGTCATAAAATCTTTTAGACACATGCCCTGTATCGCACGCACAGTCGTTTGAAATAACAAAAAAAAAAAAAAAAAAATGAACCTTAAATAAAAAAAAAATGTATATATATCGTTTTTTCATTTATAAAAAAAAAATATAAATTTATAAAATATATTTATATATATATAATGGCTTATGGAAATTCTTTGTGAAAGAACAAAAAAAAATCCCCTTTGTGCCATATATATATTTAAAAACAAGACTTTATTTAATCAAGCAAGATTTAAGTGAATTATACAATAAATTATGAATGGATATTATATATATATATATATATATATATAATAGATACAAATGCTTATATACATTTTTTTGAAATTATATTAACTCTTTTCATTAATCATTTTTTTTTCTTTATCTTTTTGAAATGTCAAAAAAAAAAAAGAAAAAAACCTTCCCCCCCGTAAAGCCCTTAAAAAAAAACCATACATTCCTCTTGCTTATCAATAAATGTAAGCATACTTAATACTAATTTATTTAACTTTTTCATCTGTAATAAGTTCCTTGTTGTTGCGCAGATGACGACGGGGGTTGTGGAAGATATGTTCCTCTGGTTGGATCGTAATATCGTCCAGATGATGCCACATTAGCTGGGATTTGGTCTTGTCCATACTGCTGCTGCATTTGTTGTTGTTGTTGTTGTTGATACTGCTGCTGCTGTTGATATTGATATTGTTGCTGCTGCTGCTGCTGCTGCTGCTGCTGTTGTAATGGGGACATTCCTGCATATTGTTGGGTATATTGAGGATACCCTTGACTTCCAGAAAGAGGCTGGACCATTGGTGGAGGGAGTCGTGAACCATCAAAAGAAGCTTCCGATTTAGCGCGCTTCATTGCAGAAGAAGATGAAGATGAAGAGTGACGGGAAGAAGAAGAAGAAGAAGAATGACGAGAAGAATGGGATGCTCCAGGAGCCAAGGCCGAAAGTGGAGGAAGTCCATGAGCAGATAAACCTTCTCTAAGAGGTGGTAAAGCAGATGTAGATGCAGATGGTATTAATGTTGACGAAGATGAAGATGAAGAAGATGAAGAAGAAGAATGTCTGTGTCTATGAGAACGAGTTGCTAAATGTGCTCGTCTTGTTAAAATTTCTTGTTCTGAGCGGCCATTTAAAAGTAGAGCCAATTCATCTGGTCTAAGATCGGTACGTTTTGCAATGAGTTCATCTTCTTCGCGGGACCAGGGTCTATCAGGGTATGATCCGTTTGCATAATGAGAACTTAAGGTTGAAGAAGTAGCGTGGTGTTTGAGCATGCGGTGAGAGGAAGAAGATGAAGAAGAAGATGATGATAAAGAAGCAGATGATGCAGAAGTGGAGATTGAACGAGGTCTATCATGGTGATGATGGTGATGATGATTATGACTTGAAGAAGAAGAAGAAGAAGAAGAAGAAGAAGGAGGGGCTGGTGAGACAGAGGGAGAAAAGGAAGGATGTGGATAGTATTGGTCCATTCCATGGTGGCCGATTGATGCTTGTTGGGTAGGTGGGGGGACACCTTGTGCTAGAGATGCTGAAGAGGATGATGATCTGAGGGTTCCTGAAACCAATCTACGCCAACGAAATTGGCAAGCGTTTGTTGTTCTATTTGGAAAGTAAGCTGCGATTTCTTTCCATCCTAATTTTTTTTCTTCCTTTAGGTGACGAAGCATGACATCGTCATGAGGGTCCCAAGAAGCGGGAGTTCTATAATGGAATGTATGATTAGTATATGATGATGATGATATTGATAGTGTGGACATAATAATAATAATTATTTTAATATAATTTTTATTATTATTTATTAGGTATGCTTGGTAGTGGTATTTTTTATTAGTGCATAGTACAAATGCAGCAATATTAAAATGAAAACAAGTGTGATGTGTGTGTGTATGTAGACAAAAAAGGACAAATAAGGCGATGAGCACAAAAATGTGAATTTTTAGTGAGTGTTTTTTTTTTTTTTAGATGAAACTTTTGGTGAAGATGGTGAAAAAAAAAAAAAAAAAGATGATGATGAATTCGATGAATTTGATGAATTTGATGATGGCGCAGGAAAAAAAAAAAAAGGCGATGGGATGAGATGCGCTGTTTGTTTCTTTTTTTTTTTTTTTTTTTTTTTTAAAAAGGGTGGGACCACTTTTTTTTTATTTTATTTTAAGGAACCTTTTAAAAAGTGATTTGATATCGAGAAAGCACAAAAAACAAAAATACAACAAGATATCAAAAAAAAAAAAAAAAAAAAAAAAAAAAAATTAAATGTCTTTTTTTTTTTTTTTTATAATTTTTTATTTTTGAATAATTATAATAAATAATTATAATAACAATAATTAATATAATTATTTATTATAATTATTTTTGCACTGTTAAAAAAAAAAAAAAAGGCCTCGCCACAAAGAACCACACAAAGAGAGATAATAAATAAATAAATAAATAAAAAAAAACTCATCCACAATTTTTTTTAAAAAAATAAAATAAAATAAAAATCATAATTTTACTTACTTTCTGCGATCACCAGGAACTGCAGACGATGGAGATACTGCAGATGAAGAACCTCCAGGAGAAGTTGCAGACGCTGGAGAAACTGGAGAAGCTGAAGCTGAAGCTGATGATGATGATGATGATGAGTGGAGTAGTGGTGGAGGAGGTACTTGGCCTGGAAGTAGTTGTTGTTGCTGTTGTAGTAGTTGGTGTTGCTGCTGCTGCTGCTGCTGCTGCTGATATTGTTGTTGTTGTTGTAGTTGTTGCTGACCCAAAAGATATTGAGATTGTTGATGTTGAAGTTGTAAAGCATGAGGAACTGGCAAAATTGTAGGAGAGACTAATCCGTCTACTGGAGGTTTTTGCCTTGAAGAAGAAGAAGATGAAGAAGATGACGATGAGGATGATGAGTGATGAGAACCAGATAAATTACTGGAACTTTGTCTGTGATGGTGATGATGATGACTAGAAGAAGAAGAAGAAGATGATGATGATGATGATGACCGTCGAGCAAGCTCATTGATTGAAGGCATACGTTGTGGTATGGAAGCCAAATGATGATGATGTAAAGACGGTTGTGAGGGTTGTCCTGGTAGAAGCTGGGGTTGAGAAGTATAATGAGCTAGACGTTGACGAGCAGCTGCTGTAGGTGTTGATTCTTGATAATAGTTTGACATTTTTGTGTATATATATATTTTTTTTTTGATTGCTTTTTTTTTTTATTTAATATTTTTTTTGATATTATTACTATTAAATAAATGAAAATGGGTATTTTAAGTCTATGATGTTAAGAAAGAAAGAAAGAAAGAAAGAGATGTAGTTTGTATTATTTTTTTTTTCTTTCTATGGGGAAGTAAGTGGGTTGTTGTTTTTTTTTTTTGGTTTTATCTATTATATATATATATATTAGAATTGTTCAAAAAAATAAAAAAAAAATTCCATATAGAAGTAATTATAATTTAGTAAAAAAAAAAAAAAAAAAAAAAGGTTTATAATTAAAATACTAAAAAAAAAAAAAAAAAAAAAAAAAATTAAGTTGATAAATTGATGATGAATGATGATGATATATTGATATAAAATTTTAGGATTGGATGGATTTGATAGAAATAGGAATGAAAAAAAAAAAAAAAAAAAAGGAGAAAAGAAAGAAAAGAAAAGAAAAAAAAAAAAAAGAATGCAAATGCTGAGGTTTTTCTAAAAGAAATTTCTTAGTGACAACAACAAGCAACAACAACCCAACCCAAATATTAGGGAAGGCAAAAGAAACAATAAGGGCGGCAACAATTTTAAATTTTTTATTTATTTATTTATTTAATTAACTTTTATTATACACAAACTAAATTTTACTTTAACAATAACTTAACTAAATAGTTAATTTAAAATTTAAACCTCGTATTTTTTTTTTATTTTTTTATTTTTTTTTCTCTTCTGTTAAATCCCATCCCATCCCATCTTTTTCTCTCTCACTCACACACACACACACACACACACACACACACACACACACACATACACACACACACACACATATATTAAAATTATTCTATTAAATTTAAAATTTAAAATTTAAAATTTAAAATTTAAAATTATAAAATACCACAATCTAACAACATTAATATTTAACAAAATCAAATCTTTACAAAAATTAATGTTCAACTTCTAATATATCTTATATATATAAATTTAATTTATCAATACTAATACTAATATTAGTATTATAATACTATTACTACTAGTACTACTAGTATCAATATTCAAGCCTTGGAGTGGCGCCACTTTTTATTTTATTTTATTTATTTTATTTATTTTTTTCATCATTATACAACAAAAAATAACTATTATTAAAAATATTTTTTTTTTTTTTTTTTTTTTTTTTTGCATGCCAAAATTATTATTATATTTGTATTATATTTTTTAAGCTGAAACAAAACATAAAAATATAAAAATATAAAATAAAATAAAAATAATAAAAATAATAAAAATAAAAAAAATAAAATAAAATAAAATAAAAAAAATAAAAAAAATAAAAGAATATACATTTAATCTTACTAGTAAATTACTATACAATAACAAAAAATTACTTAGTAACCTCTTTCCATTTACCATCAGTATCCTCCTCCTCTTGCCACAGCCGCACAAACAGCCGCGCTCGCTTATACTCCCCTCGAACCGGGTCCCGTAAAGGCACGTGCCGGTATCCCTTCGTCAATCCAGCCACTCGTGCCATGTACGATCCAACAAGTGCACCATCACAATCCATTTCATTCCCATCAATAACACTCACAATCTCATCTCCAATCCCTATCCCTATCCCTATCCCAACTCCCTTTTTCACCTTTACTTTGGACCCAGCAGTTGGAGTATCCTTACACATCCGCACTCCAAACCGAATAAAGGCATACCCATAATCTTCACAACTAATAACAGAACTTGTCCATCTATTGCCCTCTAAAAGAAGCCCACTCTTATGCTGAACACTCACCCGTCGCCCTACTTCCTCTTCATTAGAATTACCAGCAATACCTAAAACAACCCACCGGTCTTTATCCCCCCACTCAGCATTAAACGTATTGTTCCGAATAGGCTTGCTATACCAAACTGGATCTGCTCGTGAAATCTTCTCAGGATCACACTTGGCTCCAGTTCGGCTACTCCCCATCAATACCTTTCTTAATCCTTCTCCCTTACTCTCTTTAGGTAAATAATTCTGTTGCTCAACTGTCCCAAACAACTCTAAAGAAACAACAATCCCATTAGTCGTCATCATCATATCATTCAACCCTAACTTTTCATCATCACCAACTTCCCTTTCAATTCCTCCTCCTCCATTATTCCCCCCATCAACTGATAGCTTCTTCTCAATAAATGGCGGCCGAGGTAAATGTCTCAATGACAAAACTTCAACAACTACTCGTCGTCGTCGTTTTTGCTGCCGAGTTTGCTCACACTCAGGTTTCAAAACAAACCCATCCGTGCCCTCAAACATAGCATCATTCAACTGCTTCGAAGTATCACAATTTTGCCAATTCAATGCTACCATCTGTACCCCCCGTCGCCAATATGGAATAGGATCATAGTTGCTGCTACTAATCCGCAAATTATGTGGATACACCCGAGAAAAAAATCCCTTATTGTGGTTAATAAATAGACCCTCCTCACGACCTGCCCCATTAGCATTGTCCTTGTTCAAAATAATGGCATTGACTTTGGCGTCATTAAATGAAAAAATATGTGATACCATCTTAGTCTCCGCAGTGTTGAAGCCTCTAAACTTGACTCCTTGAAAATAAACACCAAGACTCCCAAGCTCAGGTGTAATCTTGCTCTTCACTTCCTTTTTTTTCGGTCCTGAAATTGTTGTTGATGTTGATGCTGATGATGATGTTGTTGTTGTTGCTGTTGTTACTGTAAATGTTGCCGTTGTAGTACTTGTCCCCTTTTCATCTCCACTAGAATCGCTATCAACTGTATTACTAACAATACTAGCCCCACCACTAATTTCTTGCCCAAAATTCTGCCCAACACTCCATTTACGTTGATTAGCCCCAGAAGCTGCTTTTACTTTAACCAAGATTTTATCAAGCAGATCCTCAGGCGCAGGACGATAATAGGAATGTGGCATTTGTATCTCCTGGCTCTCAGAGCCTTGTACAGTTCCTCCTCCTCCTCCTCCTCCACCAACTCGAGTCACTAACTTATCTCCAAAAACATCCTTCATAATCTTAACCATCTTCACCTGGTTCTCTCCACTACAATGAATCTCAAATGATAAAATCACAGGCAACCGTGACTCAACAAATGCAAACTCATTGATTGCATGAACAACAGATGAAAATTCAACAGCTGAAGTCCATGTACGACCATGTGTTACTATCGGACCAGTGACTCCATCCCAAACATCAATCTCAACACACCGACATTTGTCCAGCAACCCCCGCACATATGGCTCTGGCGACGAATAAGACATTACCTGCCACCCTGGCAAGTAAGTGTTGTGCGACGATGAAATAAAATAATTGTGGATCCCACGCGTCAAGTCCTGCTTGGGCGGGTCAACCAATGGTAACGACTCTAAAAATCGTAATAACCCTCGTGCATTCAACACTCCATTTGCCTCGTATTTTTCAAAGTCCTCCAAAGTAACTTCCATTCCTTGGGAATTTCGACAAAACTCAACAAATGCTTGGAATGTCATTCCATTTTCAGTATCTTTATGAGCCTCCCATACTCGGTTAATTTCAGGCCGCTCATTTAACAAATCAAGAAGTTTGACAAACTCCTTTGAAGAAAAAGTTTGCTTCATTCCATTAGCCTCGCGCTTCTTTCTGTCCAGGAAACTTTTCGAACAATGAATATTGTGCTTTAACAATAATTCATCTACCTTGTCACTAGGTAACTCTAGAATTTGCAATTGGCTCCACTCTGATTCAATGACACTGGGATCCAAATCTAAAATTGAATCTGCATGCTGCCGAAATGCACACAAATTAATAATGGTTCTTGAAAATAACTCAAAGTCTCTCTGGTTCTCAGCAACAACATGCAACTCTCTTACAATCTTATTGTCTTTATATCCAGGAGCATTTAATGATGGAGAGTAGACAATTGTGATCCACTTGTTATAATCTTCTGGTTGTGATTTTTTCTTACACAACTCGTTCTGGTAATACTTGGCCATATGGCCCAATCTAATTCCTGTGATATCATCAAGGTCAAAAGTCGAAGATTCCTTGTCGTCCTCCCATGAAATCACAAAAGTTGTTCCACGCGGATGCAACTTGATGGTTCGTGGTTTAACTTTTTTGTGTGTTACTCGATACATTGTAATTCCCTCATACAACCTTGCCGAAATTGTAATTTCCTGACATGGGTGAAGGCCTCCCTGAGGTTGGTGTAGTACAATTGACCTGCCACCCTCTTCCACAGGCGTGAACAATGTAATTGGAGAGGTAGGTGAGCCCAACAGCGACCCTAGGGACGATTTGCGAGAGTCTAGGGATTCTGTTGATGATGACGTCAATGGGTCCAATGGGAAAGTCAGGCTATTTTTTAATGTTCTCTTGATTGTTGTTGGACGACACGAGTCCATCACAGTAATGGGGTCTGTGTGGACACGGTTAGGTCTCTGGCTTGAGGATCTAAGCAGTCCAGATATTGGTGATGTTCCTCTACGAGAGGACGTTGACGCATGCCTGGAAATAGAGGAGGACCGGTTCTTATGTCGAGACGAAGTTGACGTGTGACGTGTGATTGATGGTGAAGGTGATGACGATGTGGGGGACATGAGCCCCGAGTGAGGGAATCCTGTAGCGGCAATGTTTGCAGCCACTGCAGCAGTTGCATTAAGAGGGATAGGCCGCCTTACAGATGGCGTAGAATGAGCACGCGACAATATAGGAGGAGGAGTTACTTTGGAAGGAAGAGGCAAGGATAGGGTTGGTGGTGGAGTAGTAGTAGTAGTAGTAGTAGTAGTAGTAGTAGTAGTAGTGGCTAAAGCTGTGATTGCAGCGGTTAGAGCAAAAGTTGAAGGAGGGTGTTTTAAAGTTTCTTGTGGTTCAACAAATGCAGGTTGCAGCTGAGGTTGCAGCTGAGGTTGTGGGCTATTTCTAGAGTCGATTGTTGTTGGAGTTGTTGAAATGGACAACGGTGATGAGATTCTGCCTGGAATAAATGACGGGTGGGTTGGAGAGAGCGGGGCCAAAGTTGTAGGAATATGCAAAGGGTCAGTCGATTCAGTGGCCAAATTTGTTAGAACAGGCGAGTTATCTGGAGAAACCTCAGGCGATGCAATGATCATTGAGGTGAATGAAGGTGGCATTGTAGCATGAAAAAAAATGGAAGAAGGGGGATGATAAGATAGATGATGATAATGATAAAATATAAGATAAAATATAAGATAAGAATAAAAAAGTGAAATTTTTCAAAAATCAAATAGTTGAAAAAAAAAAAAAATAAAGTAAATAAAAAAGAAGAAGAAAAAAAAAAAAGAAGTTTTAAAAAAAAATGTGTGTGTGTGTTTGTGTATATGCAAGTTAATAAGTTGGTTAGTTGGTTAAGTGTGAAATAAATATATTGGGGCTTGTCAAAATTGCGGAGACGAGGCATTATTATTTTTATTGTTATTTATTTAACTATATAATAACCAATTTTATATATATATATATATATATATATATATATTTGTTAAGGCGATTTAAAAGGGTTAGGGTTTTATAGATTAATAAAATATAAAAAATAGCCAAGAAAAAAAAAAAAAAAAAAAAAAAAAAAAAAAAAAGGATTTCAGCTGCTAAGCATCGCAAAAAAATCACGTGTAAATGCGGTTAAGTTATTAGTAATATCAAGTAGTTTATTAGTAAGAAAAGTTATCTAAAAATAATAAAGTTTATAGTCATGTGATAATGCGGCTGTATAAATAAGTTTAGTTAATTAATTAGTAATCTAAATGAGCCTCATTCTAAAAATTACGCGAAATATACACGTATAACGCGTCAATTATTTAAATAAATATTTAATAAATTAGTTAAACGCGTCAAGTTTTAAAAATAAATCAAACACTTGAAATATCAAAATCAAAATATTAAAAAAATCAAAAAAAAAAAAATATATATATATATATATATATTTTTTAGAAATAAATTTAAATATTTTAAAACAATTTTAAAAAAACAACTTTTCAAATAAATAAAATAAATAAATAAAAAATTAAATATAACAACTTCTTCTTCTTTTTCTTTTTTTATTATTCTTTCATCCCCTATTCTTCCTTTTTCATATTCTTCTTTATTTATTTATTTATTTTTTTCTTTTCTTTTCCAGGTTGCTGGGACCCCATTTGTTTACTTTTAGCCTTATTTTGGAGGGAGAGGGGGATGGCTGTTGTTGAAAACCAAAATAAACAAATAATAAAAACGCGACGACCCCTAAAAAAAAAAAAATCCTTTAAATGTTTTTTTTTTAAAAATAAAACCTCCTAAAAATATAAAAAACATTTGAAAAAAAAAAAAAAAAGATTTCATTTGCTTTTTTTTTTTATTTTATTCTTAAAAATATCCCTTAATATATTTATATTTATATTTATATTCAGATATATATATACATAAAACTTCATCTATCCACTAAATGGATCGCCATAACGGTATGCTTTAGTCCCTTCATTTATGTCCACATCTAACTCTCTCATCTCAAGGATACCGCCGTCCAGAACAGGATGGCGACGACGGAGAAGATGGTCCGTACCATGTCTATGAACCCGGTGAAGATAACGATATTACAGAAATATCACGCTCTGAATACGACCGTCAACAGTTTGAACAGGCCCAACATCATTACGCTCCAGATAATAATCCTTACGAACCTCACCATGATGTCGATGACTACTACTATGACCCCCCAGGTGTCGTTTCCGGGACCCCGGAACCTCCACAACAGCAACAGCAACGACAGCAACAACAACAACGACAGCAACAGCAACAACAACAACAACAACAACAACAACAACAATCTACTCTTCAAACAAACCCCCTAACAGCTCCTGTACCAGCTGCTTCTTCACCATTACGGTTCCCTGATCATAGGCTCTCCTACCTCGACCAAGGCAGCACAGCCATCCAGGATGCTCCGGAATCATACCTGCTTCACGACATGACCATGCCCGAAGCTGCCCCAGCACATCCTAATCAACACTTCCCAACTTTTCTTCACATGTCTCCACGCCCACGTCCACGTGCCCCTGCTGCCTTTGATGCCGTTGATACCTCCTACAACCCATACTCGCCGGATCCCAGTACTCCAACCCCGCGAGGCGCAGCATCTCCAGAGTTTGATCCGCCACAGCCTACTGTCAGATTTGATAATGATGAAATCCACAACTACTATGTAGGAGCTCAACTTGGCCGTAATCAAAATAATAACAATAATGAAGACGATGACGACGATGATGATGACTATGACTTCATGCCTTTCCCTATGGCCCCAGGTGACAACTACCAAGTCAATTCGTACATGCCAAACTACCGGCCAGATGAAGATGATGAAACGCTTTTGGAGTCGTCACCCCAACGGGCTCCACCCGAGGGGGAAATCACACACATGCCAGAGCCCCAACAGTACCCCGGTGACTCCGAAAACCACCAGATCATGCCCGAAATGCCCGTCATCCCACCCCAGCAATATGCCATGGCTTCTGATACTCAGCTCATCCAACCCCAAGGCCCACAAATGTATGGGCCTCCACCCATTCAACAGGGCCCTTCACTACCTCCGGGCCCACCACCAGGACTGCGCCCCCAAGATAATGCTATCATGGTGCTTTTCCATGGTGCGCTTGTCATGGACTGTCCCATTTCTTTGCACATTCGTCGTGAATTCCGTACATATCTCGAAAATGCGCATAAGGCTTCCGTGGCTGCTGCAAAAGCGGCTGGCGAAGAACCTCCAGCTTCATTACCCAAAAAACTGGAAGAACCACGCGAATTTCAATACATGAGATACTCAGCTGTCACATGTGAACCAGAAACCTTCTTTTCTAAATTCTCATTACGCCAACAATGGTACGACCATACTCGTCAAACTGAAATCTTTATTTGTGTCACCCTCTATAACGAAAATGAAATTCTTCTAGCCCGCACACTCCAGGGAATTGCTCGTAACATTGAGTTTTTTTCCAAGCGCAAGTCGGCCCCTTGGGGTGTCGAATCCTGGCTTAAAATTGTTGTCTGTGTCGTGGCAGATGGCCGTGATAACCTTAATCCACGCTCGCGTATGCTCATGGAACGCCTCGGAGTGTTTCAATCAGACGTGTCTCAAAATATGGTTGGTGATGACGAGGTCAAGGCCCATTTATATGAATACTCGACGATTCTCGGAGTCAAAGACATTAAAAACACCGTCACTTTTAAAACAATGCGTTTCCCCATGCAGTACATCTTCTGTGTTAAGGAACACAACAAGGGCAAAATCAATTCCCATAGATGGTTCTTCCAAGGCTTCTCCAAAATTCTGCGTCCAAAAATTTGCATGCTCATCGACGCAGGAACGGTTCCAAGTGACCATGCCATTTACCAGATCTGGAGCGCTTTTGAGCGTGACCCGTTCGTGGGCGGTGCGTGCGGCGAGATCCGAGCAGGCCTGGGTAAAGGTTGGCGCAAACTGCTTACTAATCCGCTTGTGGCTGCCCAAAACTTTGAGTACAAAATGTCAAACATTCTAGACAAACCCATGGAGTCTGTCTGTGGTTTCATCACTGTGCTACCAGGTGCTTTCTCAGCTTACCGGTACCTGGCATTGATCAACATCAACGGCCTAGACGGAATTGCACCCGAAGACCTTGATAATGAGGGACCTCTACAAAAAGTCCCTTCTGAAGGTGCCCGTGGGCCTATGCAAGACCCGGGGGAAGAGCCTGGAGCAGAAGCTGTGCGTGCTTACGACCCCATTGGCACTGACCCGCTTTTGCGTGACTCTCCACTTGGACAGTACTTTAAGGGAGAAACCGAGAAGCTGCGTGGCAAAAGTGCAGGTATCTTTACGGCCAATATGTACTTGGCTGAAGACCGTATTTTATGTTTTGAGTTAATCACCAAGCGCGGAGAGCGCTGGATCTTGCGTTATGTCAAATCTGCTCACGCAACCACTGATGTCCCTGAACACCTTTCGGAGCTCGTTCTGCAGCGCCGTCGTTGGCTTAATGGTTCCTTTTTCGCCGCCATCTACTCCGTCTCACACATGTATCATCTCTCGCGTTCAGGCCACCATCTTTTACGCAAGCTGGTACTTTCCATTGAGTTTTTGTACCAAACAGTGTCAATTATTTTCTCATGGTTTGCCATTGGAAACTTTTTCCTTGTCTTTCATATTCTTACAAGGTCTCTTTCGGACTCCGCGCTTAACTTTTCCCCAGGCGCCGCACTTGCCCAAATCTTCCTATGGATTTATTGTGCATCAATCATCTCAATCTTTGTTCTTTCCTTTGGTAACAGACCTAAAGGTACTCAATGGTTTTACATTCTTGTTGTGGGATTCTTCGCAGTTCTCATGGCTTACCTACTCTTTGCCTCCATCTACATCTCTGTCAAGTCCATCATCTACACTTTATGCATCAGTGGCGGTCACATCACTATTTCATTTGTTTTCCGCAATCCGTTGTTCCGCGACCTTGTAGTGTCGCTCATGAGCACTTATGCACTCTACATTGTGTCATCGTTGTTGTTCCTTGACCCCTGGCACATTCTCACCAGTTCTTTGCAGTACTTACTAATTGCACCTTCATACATTAATGTTCTCAATGTGTATGCCTTTTGTAACATTCACGACATTTCCTGGGGTACTAAAAGTGATGACAAAATCAAAAAGGATTTGGGTGTGGTCAAAATCAAGGACAATAAGATTATTGAACTCCAAGTCCCTCAACATATTTCTGCTATTGAGTCGTCCTATCTCATGGCTCTCGACACCCTGAGCACCCCTGCTCCTAAAGAAAAGGTGGTCGTTCCAGAAAAAATTAAAACTACCGACTGGTATGCTTTGTTTCGATCTACTGTAGTTTTGGCTTGGATTTTTAGTAATCTTGCTTTAATTATTGTTGTTTTGAACGTTGCTGGATGGAGCGCTTTTGAAAACTCAGACTCGGATTCCACTTCTTCTTCTTCTTCTTCTTCTTCTTCAAAAAGAGCCATCACAGAAACGGCCCTTGATATGTTGCTTACAAAGAAGGACTTGGTTCCCTCAGGTATTGGTGCGGTTGGCGAGTACATTAAAGCCGTGGCTATTGCCGCACGTCAAACTACGTCAACCAACGACACATCGTCATGCGGCACACTGGGCATTGGCGGTACAGTACGTACAGAAGTTTACTTGACAGTTATTTTGTGGTCTGTGGCAGGTCTAGCAGCGTTCCGATTTATAGGAGCTGTGACCTACGTTGTTTTAAGGCTTCTTGGTCTTCATTGATGTATTTAACTTGTAAAATATATAATAATGATATATATATATATATAAAACTAATTGTCAATATATGTTATAAGCTTAGAAAAAAATAAGAGTACGGATCTCAATACTTTCACGGAGACGAGAAGTGGGACCAGCAAGAGGATTCGTGAAAGATGTGTGCGGGGCAAAAAGCGCAATACCACTTTCAGGGTCGTGCTCGGCACGAGAATCGTAGCACTTGAGAAGCGTGACTTCATCGGTGCGTTGATCAGGAATATAGTACCATTTATGTGATGGGTTATACCGCACGCGGAAAGTTTGGCCTCGGAACTCAGGATAGATGAGATCCGAGGCTGCCAAATCTCCACGCTCACGCGGGGCATCCAAACTTTCAAGTTCTCCAGGAGCAGTGGTAGGTTTGTAATTGATAGAACGGAAATCAGCAAATGCAAGAGGACTATCTTCAAGGTCATCAAAAAGAGGCCGCCAAATGTTGATTAGCTGGAAATTCGGGCGAGGGTCTGAAGCACGAGCATCACCAATTTTCTCACGGTATCTGCGCACACGCTGACGAGCTGCGGCAGGCGATTGATCGACATGGACAGCTTGGACAGGTTGTCTTGCGCCAACCTGATCTTCAGTGGTAGGGTCTCTGCGGCGAATAGTATGGTCAAAGATTACAATTTCCTTTGCATCTGGGAACTTGCGACGTAGCAGGGCCTCAATGCGTGGATAGTATTCTGCTTCGACACGCGCATCATCATTAAAGAGAGTATAATCGAACCATTCGCGAGCAGAGGGATCTTCGAAAAGTTCAAATCCAGAAGTTTCAAGGTTCAATGCTGCAGACTTGGAAGCCACACGCAAGTCTTTGACAGGGACAGTATGGGGTTCATGGGAGACATTTGAGGGGGCCTGACCTGGAGCAGGTTCTCGGATATAGTAATAAGTGTCTTGTACTTGGGAAGCAAGATAGTTTAAAGGCACAGAAACATCTTTAGGGAAGGGTTTAGGAGAAGGAGTTGAGAGAGGTTCTTGGTAAGTTTGGATAAGAGTAGACATTGTGAATAAAGTATGAATTGGTATGAATTGGTATAAATTGATATGATAAAGAAAAGAAAAGAAAAACAAAACAAAACTGAATTGATTGAATAGATAATAAAGAAACAATTGAGATTAAGAAAATTGACTGATTTATATAGTCCTCAGAGTCTTACAAATCAGTCTGGCTTACAAATGATAAAAAAAAAAAAGGAAATCCAGGGACGTCAGATCATCTCGCCATCTCAAGTGACTTTGCGTATCAAGAAGTCATTTTCTCCAATGTTGCAAATGCGGCTTACGAATGTATATTTGGAGGGGGCCTTTTTTTTTTTTTTTTTTTTTTGTGTGTGTGTATGTATTATTTATTTTCTATTCTAAAAAAAAAAAAAAAAAAAAAAAGAAAAATTATGATTTACTTTAAACTCAAAAAAAAAGTTCCACTATAGCAGATTTCTAAGATTAAAATAACGGCTTCAAGTTGAATTATTGTTGATCATCATCACAAACCTTCTTGCGCTAATTTGTTATTCCTTCCCACAAGGTGGAAACTCGTGGGCGCATTAATCGAAACATTTTTTCAAGAAACAGAATATAAATTAGTTTAACTTCGCTTCCATTGACCAAGTTTTATCTTTCTTTTTTTTTCATTCTTTCTCTCTTTTCTATCTTCTTTTTAACTGCCGAAATTTGAACCGGTAGTTATTAAATATAAAATCCCATTTCGCTACTTGTTTTGGCAGCTATAATGATATCAACACTGTGAATCCTGTTAGCCTTCAAGGCAACTGGGAGATTGTTGAATAAACACTTTTTTTTCTATTAAAAGCCAACACTTTCCTTTGAAATTAATTGTTTTTTTTTCCTTCTTCTTCATTAAATTCACTCTTTAAAAAAAATGAAAGCTCAATTTGCCCTTTTCCTGGCTCTTTCCAGCGCGCTTACATGCGCAGTTGATTCTATCGTTGCTGCCAATTCCCCCCGTCGATCACCTCCTTCAAAACCTTTACTAAATCCACGATTCCCTAATGTTGCTCCACTAGCTCCTCCAGCTTGTCTTCTCGCTTGTGTTGGCCAGACTGCCCATGGATGTCCCAAAGAGTTCACCGACTTTGGATGTATGTGTACAGCCAATGGTAAGATTGTAGAGCAATGCCTCAACCAAGCATGCCCCCGAGGCAATGCTCCAAAAGCCCTTGTTGCTTTTAACGATGCTTGCAAGGCCCAACTCAAGGTTGTACGAGCTCCACGCGTTGATTCTGTTGCTTCTGTTGTTGGTTCTGCTTTTGTCAATTCTACAGCATCTGCAGCTATTTCTGCCGTGGCGCCCACTTTTTCGGTGGGTCCAGTTACTACAAAGTCGTCATCCTCAGGGCCCCTAGTTGTTACCGTCACAACGAAAATTGTCACAACGTCGACCCCGGAACCAACAGTTTTGACCCTGACCACGGCCTTGGTCTTGACATCGCAGTCTACAACGTCTAGTACGCTTCGATTCCCGGTGCCTTCTGATACTCCTCCGGTTAGAATTGCCAAGAGGGAAATTGAGGGAACTTTAACTATTACCGAAACTGAATATGAATCCACGGTATATGTTTATACTAATGAGTATACAACTTGGACTGAGACAAAGTATCCTTCTGTTTTTTCAATCCCATCACCAGCTGTGTATATGGGTCTAGCAACATCTGGGCGTGCTTTTATAGCACAACAATATGATGCTGCACAGAGTGTTGATAGTCTTGCAGAAAGTGTGCTTGAACAAATTACTGGCCCACGAGGCCAAATGGATCCCAATGAAATGGTGGCTGCATCTGTAGCTGCATCGATGGCAGCTGCAGATACTGTAACTGAGTCTGTGACGGTGACAACATCGATTGGCAAGACAAAAAAGAAGAAGGTATCTACAACTGTGGCAACAGTCACAACAACAGACGCTAGTGGCATTACAGTGGCAGTTGAGGTGACGCTGACGACTAAGGCAAAGAAGAATGAAGGAGTTACCAATGGCTTGTATGGCCGCACACCGTGGCTTGTTTCTTTTGTTGTTCTTTTAGTTGATTTACTTGCTTAGTGTATATGATGATGATGATGAACTGATATGGACATAAAAAGACTTTTAGTTATAATATACGGCAGTGCTAGTTTTTTTTTTTTTTTATTTTTATTTCACTTTGGAATGAGTGCATAAGATAGAAGTACCAAAGCACTAAAGATAGGCATTGAATTCTCGCGAGACTTTTTTTTTTTATTTTCGTCTTCTTCTTCTTTTTCTTTTTAAATATTACACATCGCCTAAATGAGACACTTGTGAGATGTTTCAATAAAAGCCCTTTCTCGGAGACTTGTCAGTGTACTGAGCATAGTAACTTAAACTTCTTTTTTTTTTTTTTTTACCCTCTCGCGTGTATGACTTTGATACGTTTCGTGTCGTCCGTTCAAAACCTTCTTTTTATTTTATTTTATTTTTTTGCTCTTCCCGCCATTTCACTGTTTCTCTAAGATTCTTTTTTTTTTATCCTTTTCTTTTCTTACTTATCTTTTTCTCTCTCTTTTCATGTCTACAAGTCCATGTCTGCGCCGCCCGATCCTGCCCCCATCCCGCTGTTCTGGAGGCACCGACGACACCCGCCAGTCCTCACCAAAGACTCTTCCACGTTGCGTAGACTTTATGTGCGGCAAGCCGTGTCGTCATCCTCGTCATCCTCCTCATCAACTACCTCATCAACTACCTCATCAACTACCTCATCAACTACTTCATCAACTTCCTCATATACCCGCGGAGCCAATGGATGCGTCGTGTGTCCGACAACTGCACCCTCATGTCCGGTATGCCCGAGCGGTCAGGTATGCTCACTCTCGCTACAGTCCTGTGACACTTGTCCCGAGGTTTCTTGTGTCGATGAATCCATTGTGACTAGTGGAATCTCCGGACCAAAGTCAACCTCTTCCGCCTCTTCATCCCAAACCTCACCAGCATCATCATCTTCTGCAATATCGTCAGCTGCTACCCCTGCAACTAAAGATAACTCCATGATTGGGCCTATTATCGGTGCAACCGTAGGCGGCGTAGCTTTAGCATCATTCTTTGCCTTTTTCTTCTTTTGGTGGTTGCGTCGCCGTAAACTAGCTACTGCAGCTGCACAAGCTTCTTCCCCTACCAATACTGGCAACGAAGATTTCACAGAAAAGTCTCCCATCGATAAACGTCGTCTGCGTCGGCGCGCCACAGGAGATCCAGCTGCTCCTCCAGGGCTTTCAGCAACAAGCCCATTCGACGAAAAGATGCCCGGGTTTGCGTCTTTTGCAACAGATAGCGTTGATACCAGTGCCCTAGCTGGCTTCCCATTAGCTCCCTCTGTGGGTCCCAACCCATATGCTGCTACAAAGGACCAAAACCAACCGATACTAAGCCCAATCGGGTTTGGCCCAGAAGGCCCCAGAGCTCCAGATGGTTCTGGCGGAGGAAGCGCTGCGGCTGCAGCTGCCGCTGCTAATAGTGGATTTGGTGGTGGCAGCAGCACTTTTGGAATGTCCCGCGTATCCCGGACTTCGACAGGTGGTCCTACCGGGTTTGCCAATGGTGCATATGTCACATCACTGGTAGATGACGGGCCTCATAGTTATGTGCAACAGCAACAACAGCAACAACCCCCGACGTTTGTGGACACTTTTATAATGGACCAGCAACTGGCAGCCGATGCACCACTATTTGAACACCGGTCTCGAAAGAAAACTGGCGCAATTGCCAACCCCAAGTTCCTTGAGCCTGCAACCGCAGGAACAAACATATCACGAAGCCCTTCAACTCTGCACGAACAGCAGCGCAATACTTTGCGACAGATGCAGATGCTCGAGCAAGCACAACTGGCAAACTCGGCTGCCCACCGCCAAAAAACTGCAGCAACGACAACAACAGCTGTAGCAGCAGCTGCTGCTGCAGGTGGTGCAGGGCCCACTGCTCATGCCCAACTCCAGGCCCATGCAACAGCCGCGCAGCGTAAGCTTGATGAATATGATGCTGCTGCACGAGCAGCCGCGGCCAAAGAATCTGAAAGTACACGAATGTTTGCAATTAAACCGCCATTTCTTAGTTTCCCCAAGCCTCTTGGAGGCTCTTCTTTTGGTGAAGATACTAATAACAAACCCATGAGTAGCATTGTGTCTCTGCCGGTGCATGAGCAGCTGCGCCGGATTGGTGCACAAGAAGATGCATTTGCACAACAGGTTCAGGCCACGCGCGAACGACAAGTTGCTCGACAAGCACAAGATGAGCTTGAGCGCGAAAAGATGTTTGGGCCTGCAGAAGTTTACCATAGCATTTCGTCGGAAGAAATCATTGACGATTATCTCCCAGAACCGTCTGGTGGTGCTAGCAGTGTCGGGCCACCACTTGCTGCGGCAGTTCCCGAACGTACACAACTGCAACAAGGCCTAGCAACTAGCCAAGCCTTAAACACTAAACTTAATAGTATCCGCCAAGACCCCGCAGCTTCGCACATTATTCCCATCGCCTATATTCCGGGCGTCACGTCCCGGCCAACAGACCCGCGCACCGTCGCAGGTATGGCACACGTCCCGGGATCCCACCTCCCACGAGCCACAGGCCCATCTATGTCTCTGGTGGCCCAGTCACCAATCGATATCCAGTTTAATAATACCCTGGCACCAATTCCCGCCCAAATACCCCCATCAATACCCGTGCATATCCACCCCTCAGCCACAACTCCATCACAAGTCCCGGTCCCAGTACCAACACAAGCACAAACACAAACACAAGCACAAGCACAAGCACAAGCACAAACACAAACACAAATACAAGCCACAGTCCCAATCTTAGAAAAAACACCGTCGCAGATTTCAACGCAACCTCCTTTTGCTGCTGCTGCTGAAGCAAAAACTGCTGCTCAATCACGTATCACAAGCGGATCATCGTCCTTCTCGTACCAACCTATTTATACAACACGCAGTAGTAGCAGCGGCAGTGCTGGTGGCTCACAGCGCCACGTCTCAGGTACAAGTAGTGCGTACCGATCGGGAGCATTGCCCCCAGTATTACCACTGAATACCAGTGTCATAGCTGCCGCATCATCTTTGACGTCGTCAGTGCGGTCGACGGGTTCGTCGTCTTTGTCTCCTAGTCAATATATGACCCCGGGACGCGGTGCCATCATGCCACTTTCCGAGTCAGAATCCGACTCCACATCTTCTTCTTCCTCTTCCGATGATGATGATGATGATGATGACGATGATGATGATGATGAGTACTACGATGATGCAGATGAGAATCCCAATAGTAACCGCAACAATAATAAGAATAATAATAATCTGAAGATGATGATGACAATGCCAAAGTCTATGGCCATGATGAATAATCCTCAATACATAAATACACGGCCGGGCAACTCGGTGGCACCACCACACCAACACCAACACCAACACGTAACAGTCTCTACTTCAGCTACTGCATCAAGTATATACTCGGCCGGCAACTCATCAGATGAGTACTATTCAACATTGCCAGCCGCTGCCTCGACAACTCACTCGGTAGGAGGCATTGTAGACCCGGCAGTTATGTACGCTAATGTTTCGCAAACTCCGTCTGCAATATCAGCATATACTACTTCTGGATCTGGATCTGCAATAGCTTTACACCAGCACCGTCATAACCATCATCATCATCATAAGCGTGGATCGTCGTCCAGTGCTGCATTCTCAATGCCTGTGAGCATTCGGCATTTCGATGGACTTGCAGATGACGATGATGAGGAAGATGAAGAGGAAAATAAAGCTGTGGCCAGGACCCAAATGCATTCAGGGTCAGCAGCACTCTCACTTTCTGAGCGTGTCTCACGCCAGTCGTTGCGCTCACGGATCTCTGCGTCATCATTGTTGGCGCGTACCAGGAGTACTGTTAGACATGCTACTGCTACAGTTACTGGACTAGAACAACAACCACAAAAACAAAAACAAAGAAAACAACAGCAACAGCAACAGCAACAGCAACAGTTACAACAACAACAACAACAACAACAACAAGCAGATTCAGTGGCTCCGGCTCCACGCCGTACACAGATCCCGCCTCCGCCCATTGTTTTACTACATGATCAGAAACAATCTCGCGCCCACCAAGATCTTGCGCAAGCCGCACCGCAACCGCAACAACAACAACAACAAGCGCAATTCCAACCGCAACAGGCTGGCGCCCCGCCACTCGAAGCAACCTCACTTAGCACTCATAGACCTGTGTCGCGGTTTGATCCAGGAAGAAAAGCCTTTGGTAGCTCGAAGGGAGGAGCTGCTAACAGCAGTCTGCCAATGGTAGCGGCCACATCTAAGGAAGGATCCTCTGGATCTTCATCGTCATCATCGCACGTCTCGAGTTTCCTGGAAGGCGTGGCATATCCTGTTTTTGACGAGTCGGTGGATAGCATATCTTATGTGCGTCGCAAAACGGGTCGCTAATGATGCATAATTATGGTTTTTTTTTAAAAAAAAAATGATTTCATCTACGCTCTTGACGTTTTATTTTTTTTTTAATTTATTTATTTATTTAGAACTTTTTTTTTTAATCATTTCATTCGGACTTTTTTTCTATTCTTCTTTATAAACGCTAGTATAATATCCTTCATGTTCATCTATTTATTTATTTATTTATTTATTCATTCATTCATTTCATTCATTAAATCATGGCAAACATAGACACACATAGACACACATACACACTTTTAACTTAAACCTCTCCTCAATTATATACTAATGAATGGCCCGCATGTGTGCACTATCAAGGCCAGCATATCCCGGCGAGACATTTCTGTAAATAGCCGCAGGTACTCGGGTTTGATCCGATCAGTCCCCGGCACAATGGTACTTTCACCAGGCCGCAGCATTGCTTCCACAATTACTCGTAGCATCTGCTGTTCCTTTTCTTCAGCCGAAAACCCTCCATCGTGAGACTCCCCATTTGCTCCAGTATACATTTGGTCCCCAAGCATTGGCTGAGGACCACCCTGTACTGGGTTATATCCCAAAGGTGGCAGTTGCGATGGCATCCCATTGGGTCCAGGTCGGAACGCCATATCTTGGCGTGAGTTGTTACTGTTGTTGTTGTACATGTTAGTTTGACCAGATACTGACTGCTCATTACGAATAGTTCCAGTAGTACCCTGTGCAGGCTTAAGTTTCCACATGAGCTCACAAAATTCCAACATATATCCGAGCGAATGTTTGGGGACTCTTGAGTACAATTCATGAAAGTTGTCGCGCAAAAGCTGTTGCTCCTCCTCAGTCCCAGCAACCACCGCCATCATCCAAAGTGCACATCCACGCATCTGAGTCACGGGATCTATTGAGTTTTTAAATGCATATGTGCGGTCCACATTTTCTTCCTGCTGCGCCTCTTTGGACTGCTGAGGAACCCCCGCATTTAACGACGGGTCGTAATACATTGGTGGAGGAACAGGCAAGGGGAAATCGTTTGTTTGCGAGGCCCCAGAAGATTGTGATTGTAGCAAAAATCGCTCAAAGTCCTGAACGCTCTGGTGGCTGACTGCCGACCGCAGGTACGGATGGATTTCCCGCAGATACTGGAAGGCTTCACGCTTAAGGTCCGAGATGTTGTAGGCCTGATCAAGCAAGAAAGATGAGTTCATGTTGGAGTACACTGCAGCTGCGTTTGCAATTGGTGATGGTGACATATCGTCATTATCAAGTCGCAGCACAAAGTACACCTTGATTGCGCAATAAATGAACTTGATAAGAGGATACAAGTAAGGGATACGAGGAAGAGAATCTAAAAACTGAGGGCCAAAAGAATTGAGGCGGTTGCGA